CTCTCTCTCTCTCTCTCTCTCTCAAAGGTAGAATTAGCAAGAAAATGGCCGCCAAAATCTGATTATTTTCATCGCTTGATAGTCCATGGAAACTGAAAAAGTACATTATTTGTGCCTTTAATCAACGTTTTTCAGTAAAATTCCACCCAGAAGTGTGTTCTTAATTGGACAACAATGGTGTTAGGCCAAAAACCAGAAATTAAATAAAATTGCTAATCTGGCAGAAAAATGCTAGTTTCTTCAATTTTACTATTTTGACGAGCGCCTGATTTCACCATGCTGCCTCGCAAATGTAGGAATATTTAGTCAAGTCGACCCCCCCTTTCCAGATTGTGAAAGTGTTTCATTTGGGTTTCTGGGCTGTATGCGTGAATGATAAGCATGTTTACTTTAATTTCATTGTAATTGTCATTCAGTTCTTCACACATAATAACAATGTTTAAATAATGTGTCCCGCGCGCTCTTATGACCGTATGCAGAATTGCGAGCGCTGTAAAACACAAAAATCTCAAAAAACTTTCACTTTCAGTTCTCAATTTGTTTTTTGTTTTTTTTGGTAAATTTTTGCGAACAATTTTTGTTTCAGATATCGATGAAGCAGAATGTGAAAGAAGACGCCATGAGTATTTGGCAGATATGTCTGAGTTGGAAAAACAATTTTGTGAACTCAAAGAACAGTGAGTACTTTTATTATCAGGATAAAATTTTCTTTGATTGAGAATATAGTATCTATGTATAGTGTTTTTCTTCTTTTTTTAAAAGGTTTTCTCCCGGTTTGATGTCCGTAATGTCAGTGTCTCAGGACATTGCTCTCCTTTTCTATGGGTCACAAGAAATACATTTACCTAGCTTTAAGTGTAGTACTTTTCTTGTGTCTTTGCGCATGATGTTGACATCCTTTTTTTTTTCACTGTTTATTTGTTATAATAATGTATTGTTTTTTCCTGTTGTCACCATTTCCTTTTGTATTACTGGGACACAGCAGGGAAGGTGTAGCTTGAAAGTTGGTTCTCAAAGAGATTGCTGCTTTCAGCAGAAATGTCTTACATTCATGTTTCCTGCCTTATTGTTGTTTTTTAAGAATATATTTGTGTGTTTATTTGATGCACTTCCTTTATTTCTTTTCTTTTCTTAATTTTTGTTAAAGATTACTAGTGGGTTTTTTCCCCCCCAGCTTTTGTGATTTTCTTATGAATTTCTTATTTTGAATAGGCTTTACACAGAAAGACTACAGCAGATTGATGCAAAAATTGAAGAAATACAGAACAACAAAGCTACAGAATATTTGCAACCTCTAGCTCAGCTGGAAGAGCAGATGGAAATGAAAAAACGAGTTGCATGTAAGTTACATATATATATAAGAGAAATATTTTTTTGTTTTGATGATGCTGCCAGGTTTTTAATCCTGTGGAATATCCAAGGTTGTCATGTCGATGGCTTGAAACAAGACTCAACAAATGCCATTGGGAAAATTGGCAATGAGTCCGAGTCTTACTCTCAGTCATTAATGTGGGAATTAAATTTTTCAATTGTGCTTCGTTTAGTTTTTCTAGAGGTTTTACGACGCTCGCAACTGTATAAGGTCATATGAGCGCCAAGGGGTGGATGTCAACAGAGAAGGCCTTACAGGGAATCGGGCTTACTCAGCTCACCTCTCTAGCTTCTACAACACAATGTCGGCTTCGACTATCAAGGCATCCCGGAAATAGCGGGTCACAAGAGAGTGACAAACATACAAAAGAAGTAGAGGAAAAAATGACGATAGTAAGGATTAGGAAAGAAAAAGCGGTAGTTCCCTGTTGCAGTTCAGGCAGTTATGAGCATGACATCAATGAATCAGCCCTTTTACAATTCTACTGTGCATTAGAACAGGTTAATGGCCTAAAGACACTTCGGTCAGTAGCACTGCCCCGGGAGGTTAAATTGTGCTTCCTCATCTTTTATATTATGTTGGTTTGAATAATAAAATACCAAGATCATTCTGAAAATATCACAGAGAAATACACTTTCTTGTTAATAAACTGCTTTTTTTTTGTTGTCCCAGCAAACTCCTCTTTTGTCCTTTGCATTTTTTTCTTTGTTCATTATTTCTAGCATGTAAATTATTGTAGAATAAACAATTTTGCAGACCAATTCTTAAAACAGAAAAAATATTAACATTTTTAATGAAACGTTATTTATTTACATTTTCTCATAAATATAAAAGATTTAATTGATTTATATATAAGAAGTTTGATGACTTACTTTTTTGTCTGTTTAAATTGGTCATGAATTACAGCACAACTATTACCTTTATCTTCCTCATGGCTCTAATTTTTTATATTTTTTATTCAACTGTCTTTGAGGTAAATTATTTCCATGAAATGTGCAATACTAAACTTTCTATTTTCTTTGCCATCAGATATCAGAAGAGAAATGGCTCTAGCCAGCATCAAGCAAAAGTTTGAGAGTGAAGAACTTGCTGCTTTTCAGCACATGGAGGTAAGCAAAGGGGGCATGGTAATGGTATCTGAGTGTCTCTTAGGTTTATAAGACTCTGTCAGCACCCTTATCATGACTTCTGTGCTGATGAAGTATGGAAAGTTTTGTTTCAAGTACCCAGGCTCAAGCACACACCATCATTCATGTATTCAAAGTTTTCTTTGAATTTAACTGAGTTGTTTCCACAATCCTATTTCATGTGGAGATGTTTAAGTATGAAATTAGTTTTGATGGTTTTCAATACTTTTATTTGGGGTCAAATTGAGTTTTATTTTTTCCCCTGTGTATGTTGTTCAATTAATGGGCTCTTGTTTTCATTTTGTTATTCCAGAGTGAAAAAGTCCTGTTGTATGACACCATTAAACAAGAGCTTGAGGAGAAAATCAGGCGTCTTGAAGAAGATCGACACAATATTGATATTACTTGTGGTAAGTTAATTTTTACAATTTTTAAAAGTTGTGGGTGTAGATTGTTTTGCCCGAACAGGTGTAAAACAGTGTTGTAAGAATTCAGCTTCATTGTGATTTTGAATCTGTTGGGCTGTGTGTACGCTAGTCAATAAAGAAAAGGCATAAGAGTTGCAACAATCTCAAGAGTGTTAGCCCCTTTTGTTGTTTATTGACATACATGAGAATTTTTTAAGGGCTTGTGTTACATATTTGAACATGTAAGATCTTATTGAAAAATGGGTACTCCAAACTGGCTTAGTGACCTAACATGGCTTACTGCCCAAGGTTACATGGTTTTTTAAATTTATAGAATGGCAAATTTTAAGTTGTCGTAGAAAGGTGAATCATGTGTAAATGTAATCTGGAAAGAGAACAGCATGTAATGGTACTATTATTTTTCTTTTTTGTCAAAATAAAAAATTTCATTTAGACTACTTATGAACAATATAACCCAGATAAAAATGTTTTCTAATCATATTCAATGGTTTGAATGGTGCATTTAAGCCATGTCTAAGAATGATTGTTTGGTTGTTAGAATGTTGTTTTTTTCTTTCAGATCTGTGGCAAGAATCTCAGACTTTGAAAAAAAAGAAAAAGACTGACCCCCTTCATCCAGAAAGGAGAAAAAAGCCGCAAAACGTTTCTGATATCCTTTTAAAGACAACATTCCTTATACATGTAGTTTCCTTAGAAGTTATATAATCTACTATAGTGACAATGAAGTTCAGCAGACTTTTGATTTGTTGTGAATAGCTATGTTTTGTTTGTTTTAGTTGTTGTTAGTCCAGCAGTGGCTGAAATCATGCCTTTGTGTCATGTTGTAGTACAGTGGAACTCGGATTCAATGAAATGAGATAGATTCCTCTGGGTTTTTTTCTTTAAAATCAATCAAAATAACCCGGATTCAACGAGCACTTAAATCGGCGAGCTCGGATTCAACGAGGTCGCTTCCAGGGTGAACAGCCCCCGCAGACGTGGCTTCGCTCATTTTTCTCCATGAACGAACTTTATCTATTCCCGGAAACCATCCATTGCACCTGCATTGTGAACCATTATTCACTTAGCCGATTGCATGCGACCAATCAGCGGCCTTTTTTCATACTGACACACGCGTTGTTGGCACACGCACGTGTCTACTCTGGCGTGTGTTGGGGTCGAATGAGCGGCCTGCACACGTGTGACTGTGTGTGCGTGTCGGGGAAGGAGGAGGGGGGGGGTGCACTAGCTGTCCGGGCGTTGAACGTCGCAGATACAAACGCGTCAGTCTTTTTTTTCCCTCGGCAACTGATCATTATTACAATGATAAGCTAGTCTTGATGTGGATCTACGTAATGAATTGTGCGCTGGTCTATGGAATCAATAGTTGCCGTATGCTAGGCTCTACTCAGCAACACAATCTTTTGGTAAACAATCGAGATGACACAGGGGTGTGCATTTGAACGAATCTGTCTTTTTTTAAACAGCTCATAATAATAATATGCAGGCATTTCAGGCACTACTTGTGACTTCTCTTTATACATTACTTGCTTAGTGCCTGTAATTATCTACACAAAACCTCGTGTTTGCTATAACGAACACTCAGATTCAACGAGATTTTAGGTCAGGCCCAGTGACCTAGTTGAATCAGAGTTCCACTGTACAGTGTGGTGTTAAGTGATGAAATTTCTTGTATTTGGTTGGGCATTTAAAGAGCAGAAAGTTGACTGTTACTGGTGATTGATGGGTGCTCTGGTATGGTTTTCTCCTTCTCTCTTATCAAACATCTATCCTCCTGATTTCTCCTCCATCTTTCTTGTATTTTTTGTTATTACTCTCTTGTAATACCTCTAATCTTTGGCTCTTGTATGACCTTATTGTGTTGCAAGTGCTGTATAACTCGTACTAAAACTTGAAAAGATTATAGTTGCATAAGGGATTATGGTGATTGAAAGTGGTGGTGTTGGCAGATTGTGGTTTGATCCTTTCTTCTATCCGTTTTCCTTTATATAAAGTCTAATTTTCTAGAACATAAATACAGTCGACTCCACTTGCGTTGAAGTCGCTTGAGTTGATCTTTGGTTGTGTTGATATTTTTCTCTTGTCCCAGTACCTCTTCTTCTTTAAATATATGTTCAAGTCAAACAGATATGTTGCGTTCAACTCTAATGCAATAACCACATCCATTGTTGCTTTTCCTCCCCTCATGTTCGAAGGGTACGGTGCACCACAGAGCAATGAGTGATAAAGTAACATCTCGGTATAGTATACTTTACTGAAAAAGTACTTTGACTGATACTCACTGCAGTTTGAGAAGTTCAAAGTCCCAGTTAGCTTGTTCTCTCTTTTAAAAGCTATGTCTAAAAAGCACTTGCATTAAACATATTTTTTACTTATAACATTCGCTCTTCGAAGGATTTTAGTGATCTAAAGCTATTTCATAAAGGATATTGTACATTTTGAGAATAAAGAACATGGCAAAAAGCTAATGTTTTTTTCATACTCGAGAATACAATGTAGTCAGCTGCCGTGAGAGGGCAAAGGTACATGTTAATTATATGCATACAGTTTTATTTTTTTCTTCTATTTGAGCAACCTTTCTAAACCGAAAACTCTGCTAAACTGATGAAAATCTGATGGTACCATAAACTTCTGTATATGAATATGCATTTTGTATAGAAATTGTATGTTCCTTGACCCTACCACGCCCATACATTGTATACATGGTGCGTGACACTGATGTCATGGAGGATTGGATGGCGATCAAAAAAGCTCTGAAACAACAATCACAGAAGAGGAAAGCTGAATGTTAGTAACAATGTCCTCTCTATGAGGATGTGATAGACACTTTAATTGAAAAAGAAATATGTATAAAATTACTGAGGATTGTGTTGGTCATTCAAGTGGGTTAACAAACTTAACTCTTTACCGTTATACTTTCCCCCCTAGTTCTTTGGAATCAATTTTTGAGAGGGCCAAAGTTTTGAGGGGTAATAGTTCTTATCACAAAACACAGACAAGTTCACATGAAGGTATATATTCGCATTTTAAGGGTAATGAAAATGTTCAATGCATTTACGGTATTGATTTACGTATTAAGTATGATAGTATCTGTGATTTGTGGGGTAAGAATATAAATGTTTGTTCCACCCACTTGGAATAGTGAATCATCAGTTTTGTCACTACCAAAACCATCAGGCCTCTCTAGCTCTTGATTGAAATTATTTTCAGAGTTCTAAAAAAATCGACAGATCTTGTTGTCATATTGGCAAGTGAAACGAACTGGAAGATTCGTCTTACAGTTAGTCTCTGACTTTAAAAAAAAGGGGGGGGGGGGGGTCTGTTAAAATTACAGGTGTAAATTGTCCCAGACATGCTCAAAACCCTTTTTAGATAATTGCATCTAAAGTAAGAGGGAACTCATGAATGATAGAGATCTGATCAATAGTAGTTGCTGAAAATAGGATTGTTGTAAAATAGAAATCACAGAAATTGCAAATATATGTTGCTGCAAAATGAATGAAACTTGTCATGAATCGATACTCCCATCCTCGCTTCTGTGAAACGGCATTTATAATGTAAGGCAATCAGAGCTGCCATCGTCGTTCCGAGGGGAAAGAAAGAGTTATGATGCATTCTGTGCTTATTAATGCTTATTTTAGATTTAGAGACATCAATTAATTTGGCTCGCACAAGAGTTTTTGACAAATTGGGAGCTTGTATTTGTATTGATGTTGTTCTCAAAATGATTTAAAGATTTTTAGGAATTTGCTTAATTTTGTTACTGGGTACTGGAAACAAAGGTAACTCAAACACATTGGGGTTTGGCAAATGTGTTTCACACATCCATAATCCAGATGAACCAACGATTTATTTAGATATCAGTTAACGAATGACAAATTGCTATCAGCGATTTCGAGTTTTCTGTGTTGGTGTTGTCCGTGCCTGCCTGCATTTTTTAAATGGCGCTGCCATACCTAGTGAACAGTTCAAAAATTTTTTTTCCAGTGCTAGCAAGCGGATGATCAAGAATAACTTGGTGCATGATATATACTTTGTCTGATTTGTCTTTTTCTTCAGTGTGACAGTCAAATGGACCAGCGTAAGGCCAGTACAAGTTGCAAAGACTGTCAGATTGATGACTGGACTTTTGCCGGCTTCTGACGACAGAAACAGCTGACTAGGTGATGCAGCCAGACCATTGTTACTGTTATAAGATTTAGCAAGAATCAGCGCCCCAGTGACCTACTATTTTGCACTTCTTGAATGATGGCCTCTTGTTTGGTACTCTATACCTGCAGTATTGTGCTCAATTCAAGTGATAGTATGCAAAGAAAGAGGGGAGCTCATGGCTGAATTTCCTAGTGTAAGCAACTGCCCAGTGCAATTTTCCTTGTGACTTCTTCAGACTTTAAAAAAGTATATATCAGAATCGCCAGTGTCACTATTAACCCTTTGAGCCCTGACCTCCTAAGGCTACCATGCCCCTCTGCCTGAGCTCCTGAGTGATATATTACTAACATTCATACGATCATCAGAATCCCATTCTATGTCCCTCTGAGGGTAGTCCTTGTCATTACCAGCATCTAATTCAGAAAGATCTTCAAAGTAATCAGTGTCTCAGGCGAGCTGGGTTTGGGATGGGGTTCACTCACTGCTATACCTGTGGCTAGGCATACAGGGAGTTTTATACATCACCCAAGGGCTCAAAGTGTTAAGTCTTGTCTTGCTTGTGCAGTTTTAACTCACTGCCTACCCGCCATATTTCTCATTGCTATCTCCTGTATACCTGCCATTTCAGTGTGTATTATAAAAAATCGCAGTTACAAGACTCACATTAAGTCACAAATATAGCTGCAATAACGATACAACCCCCCCCCCCCACCCCCACCCCCTGCTGAACTCAGGGACTGCAGTATCATTAAGCAGTTGAAACAGAACTTTGATTGCAGCAAATTGGGCATGAGTAGACAGTGAGTTAAACAGTACCATGATGCTTGTGACATATGTGTCATTTTGGAGGATCAAATATTTATAAATTAAAGGAAAACTGCCTATCTACGGTATGCTCATTTAATTTTACTCCTGCTTTCAGAGCAAGTTCAGTCCTTGTATTCAGCTGATTAATTAATTCAAGCAGGGATACCTTTAATAGAGAAGACAGTGAGTGGTCGCATTGTTTCAGTTTGCAAGTCCAATGCCTTCTCTCTATGATGAGTTGCAAGATTCAACAAACTTGAACATGTTTTTAGAACCTATCATTACTTACTCCAAAGGTCACAGGATGTAATGTATCCTCAGACATCGTTCTTATACTTGAATTTGGTTTTACTCTCCATTAGGCAGTTGAGTGAATGCTTTCATGAATGGGGAATCAACTGTGGGGTGCCCCTGTAGAATTTTGTGACAGGCTGTGATGTCTCTTATTTTGATGGGTCCAAACAACTCACAGTTTTGTTTTTTAAGTTGAAAGGGCACTCATGTTGAGATCAAATTGTAGAACAGGATATACTTACCTTTGAAATCAAGGTAATAGTAAGATTTCATAACCTGATAAAATATATACACCGACCGACTTACTCTTGAATGTTGTCTTAAGGGTGGATTGTGCATTTTAGCATTTTTGGACACTTGAGTTGGTAGGTTCATGACTTCAAAAACACAATGGTGTTTTCCACGAAACAGCAGGCACAAACGCTTTATCATTGGGCTGTGGATTAAAAAGGTTTCAGTAGTTACTATTATGTTAATTGGTGGGAGAATTTACTTCATTTTCATTTTATTTGTACTATCATATCAGGCTCTTCAATAGGGCAGATATGATGGCTACGTCTAATTCCTCTATTTTTTAGCTGTGAGCCTAGACCTAGTTATGTCTTGAGCTACAATTTTAATTGATTTCTCTGTTTTCGTGAGTTTGTTATCATTACAGTTTAATTAACTTTTCTTCATAGTCAATTTTTTTCCCCACATATAGTAAGATTATGTTCTCATTTTTTTGTTGGGGCTTTTCACATTATCAAAATATATATATATATTTATATGCATCATGTAGTCTCTGCCTAAGATCCCACCGTTTACCTTCCCGATTCATTAAGATCCCGCTGTTTGAAGAAAACAATTTTTACTACATGAAAATCACCCCTAAGATCCTTTGTAGACGGCCAAGATCCTGCATTTCAGATCATAATTTATGGAACAAGAACGTGGGTGGGCACAGCAGATCAACTTACAGTGAAAATTTGTGCCAGTTGCATCACAAATCAGCCACTTTTGTGAATGTGATCACATGTTTGCCCCAGACAGGGTCACAGCGAGGTGTGAACTCGCCAGTGCGTTTTGTTTTCCCCAAGCATCGCAATTGCATCTGAGCTCTATACTTAAACTTACATCACACCTAGGAGGTTATTTGTTTTAACCCTTTAGACCCTGAGTTATTTCCACCGTTTCCATTAGTTTTTTTCTACAGTCACCTAAACCTGGGGCACTATGTCTCATTATAACCCCAAAAGCTTACCTCGAACTTCTAAATGACAGAAACAAAGGCATAGTCATCACCGGTACTAATAAACTTGGTTCGGGAATAGTTCCGAAAAACTAGCACTAAATGAAACGAAACAGTTGTTGCTGGTGGAACATCCGATGGGGAACAGGGTTGTTACCGCTGGATGCTGGTAAGACCAGTGTCCGATGGGGCTTAAAGAGTTAAGGTCGTTGCATCACATGCTGGGTAAGTAGGGCCTACAAGTTAACTCCAGGCGGGATTACATCGAACTGCACACTCTTCCTTGGCTATTGCAGCAGTTGTCTCTACTCCTGAGTTGGCAAGACGAACTGAATTTTAATTGGTAGTGTGGCCACAAAACAATGGTTCGTAACAACTAAGGTGGGGGAGGGGGGGGGGACTTGGTCCGAGATGGAATGCTATAGATTTTGGACAGGAGAATGGGAGGAGCAGATGGATAAGTGTAGATCTTTAGACTCATGATAGGATAATAAGTGTCTCATGCCACTGTGATTGACCATCGAGGTTAACCTCTCTTTGCTCGCCGTAAGTCATAAACCCACCCAGGGTCACGTCTGTTCATTTTAGAGTGAAGGGAGACCATTTTACTGGTTTCTGGCCTTAACTTGGGCATTTGTGGATTCTTCCCTTGGTGCGTCAGCTAAGATCCCATTTGCCCAAGATACTTCATTTTCCTTGTCCCCAAGCACCTGGATCTTAGGCAGAGACGACTGTACTTTGATAATGATAATAATCAAAGAACAGCTTTGAATTTTACGTTAAACTATCTGTTGTTTTCGCAAAAGTAATTAAGTCAAGATGTCTATTCTACTGATCCTAGAAAAGATCTGCAAGTCAGGATTGACAACAAAATCAAGATTTTAGATCTTAGATTTAAAATTTAAAAGTACATCTTCTAATGACAGTAGATCATCTGAGTCTAGCTATTTCCTATGGCAATGATCTCTTTTTATCCGTTTGTTATCTGTCTAGTCTCCTTGCTTGTCAACTTTTATTTCATGTGTCACTATTTGAAAAATCACTTTACAGTATAATAATAATAGTAGTATGTGCCCATTGTGTGCCTGTTGTACAGTATTGTGAGTAATTAATTATAGGTCTTCACTACAGTTCTTAAAAGTATACTTTTGAGTCTGTCAGAACTTCAGTTCAGCTATTGATGTTTTCACCTGTGATTTTTGTACGACGCCACCCTATTACTCACTTCAGGGGTCTTGAACACTACACGAAATAAAATTTCATTCCTTTTTTAGTACAAGTAAATGCATACTGTAAAACACTGATAAAACGAAATTCACAGGACCAGAGAATTTCTTACCGTTAAGTGAGGTTGCAGTAGGCCTACATTGTTAAAGAGGGAAACACCAACGTTCTCCCCAAAGAAAATGAAATCCTTTCGTGGTGACAGGAATTTCATGTTAAATGGGTTCATGTTTCATAGGGTCTCTACGTAGTTTCATTTGTTATATTATTTCATAAAGATTAATAAAAGTATGATCAAATGCTTTATTTAAGCTGAGTAAAAAGGTGAAATATCATATTGATGTGTGCCTCTCTTTGTTTCAGTAAAAATTTGCTGAAAATGTTTTGTTTGTATTGTTAAAGTAATAATACGGATATTGGTCACTAGTGTCATGAGCTCATTCATTTTCAAGTTTCTAAAATTTGAATTGGGTAGCCATTTTTCAAAATTGCTTCAGCTTTAACCCTATCCGTACGCCCAGGGAATACTTCTAGTGCGAAGATCTCTTTGAAACTTTCAATATTTCTCTAATCATGACAGACTGCTATGCAAAGCGTTCGATCAGATTAACGAGTAAATTTCCTCTTTGAAAAGTGGTGGCTCGGAGTTCCCCACTTCGAATGGATACAATAGTAAAACACGATGTACGGATAGGGTGAAGGGGATATCTTTCAAAGAGCCCCCACTCTGTTAATTTTTTCGTTATTAAATTCATGTACATCTCAGGATAAAGATTGGGAGGGAAACGGAGTAATGTACAATTATATATTTTTCATTTGATAGGTTTACATGCCAGTCAGTTACAGTGCAGGGGCAAGACGTTTTAGTTAAAAAGATGAGTTTATCATAGTCACTCTTGGCTGCATCCAGTTTCAGAGATGACTTTACTTCAGTAGACGTAGTCTTCTCATGGAAACACCTCTTCTTACAAAAGTGAGTGACTTCAGAATGAAACCTAAAAACCCTTTTCTATTTCTAATGTTACTTGACATTATTGAACTGCTCGTAGATAAAAGGACAAGTGTAGAGGGCCATTAGAACTATCATTTGCGCTCAAAGCTTTTCTTTTCAGGACAGATTAAAAATTTCGTTCATTATTATTGCGGATTCCTTAATTTGGTTTAGCTTGAATTTTTATCACAATGTGTGCTCTCTCAAATTGACTACAGTGGAAACCATATATAACAGGCCCGGTAATAACAGGGATTTTTTAAATCCCTGTTTTTTCCTACTCTTTGTTTCTATTAAAAGTTATCGGCAATAACAGGGCCTCTTCCGAACCCAATCAGTTATAGCAGGGACAAAGGCCCGTTAACGATATGTAAATAGAAAGAGAGAGAGAAGAGTAATGCAGACTTGATGGAACAAGCCCGCGCAAGCCACGCCACTGAAAAATGCCATGTCAACTCATGGACTAGTTCTTCATTGCACTAGTGATGGCAACTGGGAGATATGGGGTTCTGATTTCATTGACAGAGAAGGATGGGTGATGGTTATGTAACGGTCATTGGGGTGATTTTAGTATAGTCGAGCCTGGAACACTCAAACACATTGGGGAATTTAAAAATACGCTCAACACATTCATTATTTGGGGAAACTGTATAATGAAATACAAACTCTTTTTATCCGGGCTACGACTATACTCGTAATGAGGACCAGTCCGGGCTACGAGTATACTCGTAACGAGGGCCCGGGCTACGAGTATACTCGTAACGAGGACCAATCCAGGCTACGAGTATACTCGTAACGAGGACCAGTCCGGGCTACGAGTAAACTCAGCACAGCTATATGCCACGTCAAACAGCTAGTTCTGCTTGTAATGACCAGAATATGTAAATACGGCTATGCTAGCTCTGTCTGAATATTAAAATTTTCCAATAAACAGCGGTTTCTTTGTTTTTGATGGGTGTAGAAACTTGAAAGATGTCTCGAAAACGCACGTTCACGACTGACAAAGTAATTTTTTGAAGTGGCGCTGGGCTGTGAGGGGGAATGATATTAATTTGATGAAAGTGGCTCCCAATCAAATGCCGTAAATTCCGTTGTGGATGATAACGCACAGGAACTAGACTTTTCTAATAGCGATTCAGATCATGGTGAAAGGGCTAGTACTGGAATTAGCGCAGTACCGATGGGTAGGGGTAGATCTATAAATCCAAGGGGATGTCGTGGGTCCGGCAATCAGGGTCAAGTCAGAGGGTGGAATACACCACAAAATCTACATGTGCAATTGCTGTAATTTCTAACCACATACATTTACAAAAACTACTTTCAATTTCTAACATAACTGCCAAATTTCCTAAAAATAAAAACTTAAGAGTAAATGTAAGGAATATAGGACTTGGAACTATATACACTTTGGATTCCAACTCATACAGCGCAGCGGCCCCAGGACGGGTACAGAGTCCATGGGGGTACGCCAGGATAAAGAGTTAAAGTAAAAGAGACATCAGTCATGGCAAATTGTACGAGCTATCCGTAATTTAGAATTTCGGTGCTCATGTTATCTGTGCCCGACTATTTGGGACACAGACAACTTTCACCCACGATTTAGTTGAGAATGATCTTGATTGCGTAATGCGAGTGTTGGTTGGTTGCTGCAATGACATGGTTCTTGTAAAAATGTAAGTAGTAAGTGTCTGCTAATGTATTTTATTGTGGATGGTTGTTACATATACATGTATTTAATATAATTGTATGCAATATGAAGTGAATGTGAGACGCTTGAAAGTATGAGTATGAATGGTGTTGATTCCTTAGCTTCGGATCATCGTATTTCATATGCAAAGGAAAATGTTTTTCTCTGTAATTATGGATGACAATTATTTCATGAGCATCGTCTCTATTTTTGTTCCCCTGGATTGAATTAAAAAAATATAAAATACACATCACACTCAGTTATCTTTTTTCTTCAGCTCTAAGACTACTAGAAGGTTTTAACTTCCGATGGATGTATAGTTATGAAAAGAATGAGTTTGCTGATGTTTTTTACTCTTCTTATACAGTGGAATCCATATATAACAGGCCCGGTAATAACAGGGATCCGGTAATAACAGGGATTTTTAAAATCCCCATTTTTTTCTACTCTTTGTCTCTATTAAAAGTTATCGGCAATAACAGGGCCTCATCGGAGCCCAACCGGTTATAGCAGGGACAAAGGCTGGTTAACAATGTGTAAAAAGTAAGAGAGAGAGAGAGATAGAGTGACGCAGTGATGATGCAAGCCATGCCACTACGAGCTCACGCAGTGTGTGAAGCGAGAGAGGGCTGCGGTGTGCAGCAGACCTCGATCAAGCCCGAAACCTAGCAACACGCACGCGTAATGTGTCACCACCGATGTCAAGCGCAAGAGAAAATGCCTTTCAATTGGCAAAAAATACGAAATACTCCAGGCTGTTGACAAAAAGCAAGCTCCAGTGGAAGAGATTCGTCGTCAGTTCGACATTCCACAAGGGTCGATTCACACCATTATCAAGGATAGAGAGAAGATAGTGGCAGCACACTCCAATGGAAAGTTTGCTCTGGATCGAAAGAAGATGAGACTATCCAATGCAGATGCTGTGGACCAAGCTCTTCTGATGTGGTTTAAGGAGGCAAGGAGAAAGTTGGTGCCCAAACCCCTGTTCGTGGGTACTTGTGGCAAGGGCAACTACCCATGAATAAGTACTGCTGGATTAATCCACAAATGCTTACTTTCCTTGCATTTCTGATTTAACAGGGATCGGATATAACAAAACATTTTCTCTACTCCCACCATCCCTGTTATATCAGGTTTCCACTGTACTTTGATTGCATTTCGATTATCTCAAGCCAAAAATATTACTAATTATATATATATATATATATATACGGGAAAAATCGGGACCTGGGTACCATGTCGCTATACAAAGAATGTCGTTATATTATATCGAAGGTTGTTATAGAGAGGCTGCACAGTAAATGTTCACTTAAGACATGAGACAAAGCTATATTCCCCTTCGGAAGAATATTTTTGCTGCAGCACAAATTGCTTGAGGGTGGAAAACTCTAACATGTCAGGGATTGACAGATTTGTGTTCAACACTTCCGTATTTCGTGAAAACCGTAGCCGTAATGTAACGAAATATTAAAGCAAAGAGATATCAATTAGTCAATGGCAAATTGTATAGAGTACTTTACAGCTATGACCATGAGCCATCATGATTACAAGTTTTCTGTGCCCAACTGCATTATATCTTCTAAAACATTCTCAATTCACCAGTAGCCAGTTGATAAAATTATAATGGCAGTGATCACATACATAATATGTCTACACAACAATGAAATGGTTAACTAAAGGCAGAATACCAGGCCCTAGGGTGATAGGTTTAGGCTCTTCATTTTGTTGAAGACATGAACAATCCTGTCTTTGGAAAGATACATAATAATACTACATGTATTTCATTATGATCTCCATCTTTCTGATAAATTATGAGGCTCACAATCTCCCTCAGGGGCGGGCCACCTTTTTGATCCATATTATGTTACTGAGAGCTTCGATTATCATAATTATAATGCTTGTCAGCTTGTTTCCAATGACATCTCTGACCATATTCCTGGTTGCATCTTGCCAGTTGTCGGTTTGCAGGGGTATTCAGTTATCTTTATACTTTCCACAAAGAACGTGCCTAATAATATTATGAGCATGTTGAATATTGTTGCTTCCTGGTCAGATGCTAGCTTGTTCTGCTAGAATTTCTCCACTTTTGAAGACCAGTCTGCTCAGGATGTTGAGGACTCGTGTAACTCGTAAGGGTCTGAGGTGAGACATTCAGGCTTTTTCCACTATAAGTACAAGCGAATGAGTGGTCTGATTCCCAAATGATGAAATATGTGTGTGTGCCTGGAGAAAGGTCCCAGTTGTTGGCAGAGCTATTTTTGAGCAACGGGGTGAAAAGCCCAAAAAAGTTGTACACCTGGTCCAAAATTTAGTTCCATCAGAAAACACACGTTTAACCATTTCTTAATAAAATATTGAAAGGATTTTATATTTTAAGTCTAAATATGTATTTATTTGTTATTTTTGCAACATTTTGTACGGTACTTCATCAAAGCTAGAAATTGGGTTTTTCTCCAAACTTTGTTTTTTTAGACCCTGTGTTACAAAATGAGGCAGATCATTAAAACTCCTCAAGATATCTGAAAAAATTCTTAATCAGCATGTTCAGCATTAAATGGCTACTAATACTAATACAAGAATATGCCCTTATTTTAATATATATATATCCAAAATTTCAGACAACGAGGATCTTTCTCCAAGCACACACACAAATTACCTTTGTCTTTTCCTCTTCCTTCCAGCATTCTTTGCAAATGTGGCACACAGATTAGCAATTTGGAAATGCACATGAATAAATAAGGGATGATCTATTTGTCTAGATATGTTTATGGACTCGAAAAACAACAAAAAACCCCACCAAAAAATCAAAGTTCTAATCACACACCAACTTCTTTCATTTTAATTGTATTCAAGTTCAAGCATTGACAAACTCCCCCCAACAAGGCCATCATTCACAAGTAATCTCTATGCAAATCTCATGTACTGGTGATAATTATTACAGTGGGTGTCGCATTCAACGAGGTTGCCGGGACCGGCTTGTTGTCATATTTGGATCCAACCTCTCGTTGAACGTGACTAAGGCTAAAGTAAAGAAAGGAGGCAAGTTATTATAATATTATAGGAAGTACCAATACCAGTAATTAAAACAGTTGTTCCCCCTGATGACGAAAATCTCAAACAGCATCAGTGTGCGCGTGTTTGAGATGTGTTCTGACCGTCATTTCTGCATTAAAAAAATTTTTTTTTTTCGGAACACTTCTCGTGAGGAAACATATCCTCTCACATCTAGGCCTAGATATCTACATATAAAGTAAAGGCGGAAGCTTGGATTTTGTGATCAGGAGAAGAAAAGAAAATTGAAAAAAAAGGTCTTGATCCAGACCTACCCATCCAGAGTTCATCCAGTTTCACACAGCGCGCATCACGTTCCCACCCACCCCCTCCCATCCCTACCATAGGCTAACCCTCGCCCATCCTATTGGCTTTGGCGCCCATATTAGGAGGCACACTAGATCTAGCAATACAATGTGTTCGGAATAGGCGATGGGCCTTGTGCTTCGCGTGAGATGGAGATAAAGTAGAAAATTTTTTCGTTTTGGGGCCGCTAATTCAATTGCTTTTGTTTAGTTATCGCGACCTTGTTGAAAGCGACTTCTGTCTGTTTACTACCTCGTTGGAGCAGACGTACATTTAATTACAAAGAGATATAGAGGAAAAAATTGGGGATTAAGGATTGCCTCATTGGAGCCGACTTCTCGTTGAATGTGACCTCGTTGAATGCGACACCCACTGTATAGACTTGTGTAGCCCATAGCGAACTGTACAGTCAACAACTTCGTCCAGTCTGACATTCATTTTTTAATCATAATCCTAAAATAAAATCGAGGTCTGACAAACATGAGTAATAGTAATGAAACTGACAGAACAGTAACGGAATTACAGTCAATTAAATATTCTGACAACACTTGGAAGGTTACTAAAAATAACAGGGACTCCTTCAAGTGTGTCTGAGATTGTTGACATTCACAGTACACAGCAGCTGGTTTGTTGACCACTGGAGTAGAACTTTACTTTCTGTTAAAAAATAAACTAGTTTTCAAGACCTTTGGCACATTTCGGATTGTCAAGGACACACGAGTGCCCCTTTCCAGTTGATCACCAACTTTGGCTGAGATAAAGTCCAAATTAGCAACTTTCTCGGTAATTACATCACAAGTCCTCTCATCTATGCCATGTAGATGAACTTTGTACATCTCGTCACACACTAAAACAAGGCTTCTTGGTTCCAAAAGAACAGACAGGAAATGTCGGTCTTTGAATGATGAAACTGCTTCTGAAGCAGAGGTTTCACATGAAGGGTTATCTTTTGAATCTGAAGGTGCCGAGTTTCCTGTATTTGTCAAGTGGTAGTAGAAGTCCAACAATGTGTGAGATCCAAGACTAATGGTTGAAACAGTCGGGTAAAACACTGGTCCGTCTTCATGTGGCTGAAAAGAATCATGTAAAGCAGAAATTTGTAAGGGAACTGTATTACAGGTACATGAGCATTATTTGTGGAGCTGCTGGCAATATTCCTTCATAGAGTAAAAATATAATGATCATAAAGATCAAAAGAAAAAAAATATACAGTTAATAGTTGCTGCCGTCGAAAGGTTTCAAGCCAAGAGAGCAATGAAAACATTTGGGGGGGGGGGGGGGGGTAAGTACATGCTCGCAACCGCATAAGGTCATATGAGCACACAGGACACACTAAATATTTTCAATTGGTAGGAAACTTAGAATTTTGCCCGAGTGGCAGCTGAACCCTACTCATTGATTTTGGACCACCAAGGAATCTTTAATGTGCGCAACTTGCACACGGGACCTTCAAAATTTTTTGCCCTTCTCCAAGAAGGCTAGGAGTAAATCTTACCTACCATAAAATCAGATTCAGGGGTGTGGTTGAAAGTGAAAGACAGCAGTAAGAAGGAGCCAAGGAGAAGCAGTAGAAAGGCTGCAGAAAGAATCAGCAGCCCAGAGGAAGGGGCAAAAGGTGGAGATGAAAGTGAAAGCAGACAACAGAACATTGTTAGTCATTAGAGAGCAGGACAGGATGTCAAAAGAGAACATTATTTTAGAGAAGAAAATTTTCGTCGCTATCCTGATTCGGACCCGGAACCTATTGAATCAGAGGCGAACACTTTAACTTCTAAGCCAAGAGAGCCCCCCGCCCCCCCGTTTAAGAACTAAAAATCTTTCTTTCAAAAATTGTACCCAGACTATAAAAAAACGGGGATATGAAACAGGTAAATGTTCTATCAGTTGATTGACATTTCTAGCTATTTCACTGCCTTTAATGGTCATTAACTAATAAATCTGAGCACTTTACTAAAACTAAACCAAATGAGATATCAGCGTGCGCTGACTATTTATATAGTGTGTGATGATGATGGTCATGAAGTGAATTATACATGTGTAATGTTTGTTAATGTACATACTGTGCATGGTAAAAAGATCATAGAGACTTTGAATTATAATTATAATACTATTAATACAGTCTACTAACACTACTAACACTCACATAGCAAACAGATTTCCAAATCCCCAATTTTTTCCACATTAATTAAAACATGCACATAGCAAAAATAAATTATACATAGGGAAAAAAATTGGCGTCAGATAATTATATTTATCGAAACAGATTTTTACCTCATTGTTCAACTACGTGTCGTCCTTGATAAAGCCTAAAATTTGTATACAACAAAAACATTTCTGTGTCCCGCAAATTTCACCATGTGCGTGCTAGACAGCATTTTAGCTTGTTCACTTTCGTTTGACCACGGTTAAACAAAATAAAATAAAATCACTCTGTTCAATCTTCTCGGGTCTTTGCATACCGGTTTAAAATTGGATGACCAACAGATTTTAAAATCCCATTCATAAGAATAAAAGTCACTGCAAACTAAGGTTCAGACATGTTTTCTTGGATGTAAGCCTAAAGCGGGTAAAAAAAATAGAAGGCGATTTACAGCACACACCTTAAACATAAATTTAAAAGCTGACATATTTCCTCAACGCCACTATTTATCGTTTGCCTAAGAAACATGATTCAAGAGACGTGGTGAATATTTTTCGAGACTCACGTTGAGCACATGGAGATGTCAAGACAGCCAGGGGATGAAATCGACAAGCTCACACTGAAATGTGGGGGTAGGGCGGTCTAGGCAAAGCTACTGTAAGTTATTTATTTTAATGATCCTGTGTATGCATCCAAAGAGCGGTTTTTTATATAGGACTTAAAGAAAGAAAAAAACTTTTTTATTACTCGGTCGGGATTTTAAAAAATATATTTGTGTTTTGTAGCTGGCCTGAAGAAGTGCCATGCAAAGTTTCGCGGGCAGAAGTCAATTCCTCAATGAGCTAGAGTTTTTTAACGCGTTCAGACGAAAGTGAACAAGCTATAAATATAATTACCATGATGCCTTGTCCTGCCAGGTATTCATTGACCAAAACATGATTAGGACATCTGTCTTCAAATACTCCAAGTTCATGTATTTTGTCTGCATATGTCTTTAGCCACTGAAACGAAACAAAGAATAATAGATTTCACACATACCCACTCATAATAGTGAATAATGAAAATGTGTGGCTGACAACAAGGCAGACTATAACCTCAAAATAGATAAACAAAGAAACAGATTGCTTTTGACAGTGTTGTGCTCTAATTCTGAGTAACTGGTTTCTTTAAATTTTACAACATGTAAAAAAAACACCCACATTGATTTGAATGATGTGAGAAGACACAAAAGTTAGCCCAGAGTACTTTTTTATATTACAATATTTTCAGTGCATGTCAATTTTTTATTTTATTGAGGACCTGCACATTGGCCTTAGCAATGGCTTCAGCTCCCCCAAAAATGGAAGTAATTTCTTCTGGTTACACTGTTAAAGCAAAACACCATTTCTACACATGTTCTATGGGCAATTAGGATAGATTTTACCAAGCACTGAAACTGCAAGAATAATAATCATCATCATCATAAAAATATAGCCTACTATTATGAGTTTATGGTATGGATAAAATTTGAGAAATTATCTTTCCAATCAGACCACACATAAAAGAGACAAAAATAATGTAAAGGAAATGTTCATTGGCAAACAGAGAGACAGAAAAACAGGATCCACATTTAATCCCTACAAGGGTCATGCCTGCTGAAACTATTCAATTTTCCGTAGCCAACCATTCATAATATTTGTTTCAGTGTGGGGTCCAAAATTTTAGAGACAGGCAGAGCAGCATTTTTCACTTTACATTACGCACATGTCTTCTGGTTTGTGTCTCTGACTCTGAGTAAGCATGGACATAGATGAAGATGTACTGCCTATGATGAGTAGGCCTACATTTTGTTGATGCTGATTGAGTTGACGTATAATATGGAATTAAAAACTATCACTAAAATCTCCACTACATTTAATATGGATAGGTTGACAGTTGAGTACAGAAAGTGCAAAAGTGTCAGTGATTAAATGTAACATGTAATCTGGATAAGAATAGCTTTTCTTCACCTTTTTTATTACGATTTTTAAAGCCTTTTCCAAGAAAAGAAAATATCTTTTTGTACCATTATGAAATTCAAAAATTGGTATTAAAAAATGATTTTGAAAATTGCACACATATATATATATCTAGATTTTTTTTTAAAATGAATATATACGGACAGGGAGCTTTCTTCTTCTACTTCTCGTTCATCTTTATGAACATGTTACATCCCAGTCTCGAGTGTAAAAGCAGAAGCTGCTGTTTGCCGAAGGTCCTGCGGGTCCACCAAGCCCCCATAGAGTTTTGAATCTCTCTGCTTAGGGGTGGGAGGAAATTTCTTTCCAGGTACCTCGTGCATTGTGCATGCTTACAGTAAATGGGGACAGGGAACTTTTTCTAGTATTTCTTCTGTATTAGAGTAGCCAATGATTGCATAAGAATTCTATTCTTTAAAAAATTCACAATTTTACGTTTACTGTGAAATCTGACCACATAGGCCTACATGATTATTCTTGCCATCTTGATTGTCAAAATCAGGCTTGAGTAAAATCCATAGCATACGATCAACAGAATAATAGATAGGCCTATTGCAATAATATTGAAACCATGGGCGTGCTCAGCCTGTTCTAAGGGGAAGTGGTTCGTTAGATAATCTAAACATTTTTTAGACAATGGGTCATGTATCATTAAGACATTGTTGGTAACAGAAAATAACTGATCTGCTCCTTGCTTGCCAAGCCTCAGAATGCATACATGTTACTTTAGCAAAGTGCAGTGCTTATCTCAGGTGCCACATGGATTTAAACTTTTACTACTTTAGAAAGTAAAACAATTTTGCATGTAAGAACAATAATCAAAACTTACTGTGGGTAAAGGCTCTGCTACCATGCCTTTCTGAAGAGGTATACCCCCTGAACGAAAGAAAGAAAAGCATAATTTTGTCAGCCAATGCTTTTTCCTTCTTTATGTCTCTATGGAGGGATAGTGGAATAAAGGAAAATGAATGCACAAGCAATTAATGAATATGGACACTGGGGAAAAAAAGTAATGGATGCATGATGATAGGAATAAAAAGTGTCATGAGGAGGAAAATTGTGGAGATGTGCAGTGCAGGTTCTAAGGAGAGCAAATATAGTGGAGTCTGCTTAAATCGATTTAGATAGTGATGATTGTTGAAAATGTAGAGTTGGGAATGCCGTGCAAAGTGATACCTGACCATATTATCAGAGACATGTGAGATCACAAAGAGGACTGTGGGCGTAGTTGAACTTACCCCAATTCTGCAGCTTTCTATGTGAAAGCTGTGTCCACTTTGGTTTAGGGGCTGAATAGACTTTGTTCAACAAGAACTGCTCTTCATCAGCACTAATAAAATTGGGAATGTAGTACACTGAAGATGGAGCCTGCAAAAGGGAAAAAATGTTTTTAAATATGCATCAGAGAATGCAATTCTTTGCAAAAGTTGCTCTGATAAAACATCTTTCCGGCAAAAATAGATCTCGGAGACTAAAAGATTCAACGTTTCATTCAATGCACTTTTAAGCCCAAAAAGATAATGTGTACAGAGTAGTTTAGAACATCATCATTAATCCTACTGAAAAAGCAGCAGGAAACTGCTACATTCAGCTCGGTCCCCAAGAGGCTCCAGGCAACACTAATTGTTGTCACAAGAAGGGCACATTGATGAGACAGAGAAGAGGGAAAAAGGAAGTGAATTTCAAGCTGTATCTATCCTAAAATAAAAAGGTTGCCAGATATATCTGCGCTACGATGGAACCATGTCTTCCAATACAAGGATACGGACTGTAGTGTTCACGTCAGATTCTCACTCAGCACTGGTACTTGGTACTATTCTTGATTTGGTCTTCACTTTCATCTTTGTAAATGTCAACAGAACAATTGTAGAAGTTGCTCTCACTGGCAGAAGTCATACCATAGTCATGGACTAGTTCAATGTTAACTAAGAATTATGTTCAAGCATTTTTGCAAAAAGCTTCCAAACAAAATGTTTACCCAGAATGTTACTAACAAATTGGTATTAATTTAATACAAATAATTTGAAGTATTGGAAAGAGCTGAAATTGAAGATCAACTGTGGTTAGCTGTGTGATTCTCGGAAAAGTAGTCGAGTACGGTAGCCTACCTATTTGACATTGAAGAAAACAAGGACAGGCCGAGGCGTGAGCCTCAGACTTTTGAAGACTGCGTGAGTAGCGGTCGAGGCGCAGAGCAGAGAGTCGCGACCAGTCAGTGCAAGTTGGATCGCTACATGAGGTGGGTGTGCATAGTTAAACCACATGCGTGTATAGTTAAACTACATCAACACAACCATAAAAAGGAGAAGATGGAGATATCTGTTCTACAAATACCGAAGACAAGATTTGTTCTTTGAGACATACTATTGGAAACCTACTGGAAAAAGAAATGAGGAAGACCATCTGGAAGCTATATAGAGACACTGGATTTGCCAAAATTGGAGGACGTGGCCAGGGACACGCAAGCCTGGCGTAGATTCGACTGCTTTCCACCTTTTGTACCTGACAGTATAGGGATAGAGTAAGCAAGTATTATTATTATTGCACCCCCAGGAAAGATTCTCGGCACACCAATCCACATTGATAAGGCTAAAAATTTCCTGATAAAACTTTGGTGAACAACTGGCTATTCAGTGATGCATTGACATTATAATACCAATTGAAACTGTAGGCCTAGATCTACTTACCTAACTTACTACTAGATCTACATCTACAGTCAAACCTGTGTAAGACGGCCACTCATTGTCAAGGAGAAAAATGGCCGTATAAGACAGGTGGTCGTCTTAGGCAGGACTGATCAAGATGAAGAAAACAAACCACTCTCATCTAAAGTCCCAATCGAAAGTAGCCGCATTGTTGTTGTTTTTGTTGCTGTTGATTTGTATTTTGTATGTAATTTTTATTTTATGCGCAAGGGTGACAATAAAACGAAATGTGTCAGACGAGGAATACTGAGCGCCATGTTAAAAAAACCACATGGATCACCACCACTCAGAGAACGAGCGACGCTTCTGTCAAAAGTTCATGTTGACGTCCTTTATTGTTACTTTGATACAGACTGGTTATACAGTGACCACTCATCTCACTACTGATTTGTCATATATGAGTTCTGGGCAGGGCTTATGGGTTTATGGGATCACACGCTTACCTCACCAGCAACTGAAAATTGGTAGCTATTGGTCAAAAGTGGGAGGGGCCTACGCAACATGATCTGTTGGAGGGACTACCTAACAACAACGACAGGTGATTGAATTATGACGGCTAGCCCACAACGCCAGGGGCCAATGCACAATTTATGACAAAACGTAATGGAGTCACTAAGGTGGCCGTCTAAGTCTAAGACAGGTGTTATTGCTATTTGGGGAGGACTTCCGTGACGAGCGACCACTATGAGACAGAGCAGAATTGAGGGCTTGGGGTAGGGATAGGGGTAGGAGTAAGGGTAGGGTTAGGGGTAGGGTTAGGGTTAGGTTTAGGCCTCTTCTTTATTGTGTTTGATTTGGTGGTCGCTCGTTACGGAAGTCCTTCCGCTATGTGTGATAGGGGTTGTGTGTTAAAAAATGGTGGCCGCGGCCGTGTTGGACAGGTGCCTGTTTTACACAGTTAAAAAACGCAAGGGGGGAAATGGAAGTTTGTACAGGCCGTCAGGGCAGGTTTGACTGTATTATTATGAGATTTAAATTTAGACCTTCTTAGATCTACTAGGGCCTAGACTAGATAGATCTAGATCTAGATCTAGATCTAAAATCCACGATAGTTTAGCCACACTTACATCTTTTAGAATAAACTTCTGCAGTTCTACATTTCGACGGGACGACATGCTGGCAGTTTCCAAATCAATCAATCTGATAACATCTTTGTGAAATCGAAAGTAGATCTTTAGACCAGTGCTGAGTAGTCTCTCTCTATGGTCTACCCTGTTGAAAGTGACAACGCCCAGGTAGGCTAACTGAGTTGAAAGTGATCTATGATGTTTAATTTAAAAACTGCATAGAAGTTGCATATTTTAGGATAGTCTATTTAATTTCAATAGATCTATAAATTCATGTGTTTGAACTGCACTTTCGCGGAATAGATAAGGCTAACTTTTTGTTCCCTTTCTTTTTGCTGCCTGCACTAGATTTAGATTCTATCGGCCCTCCTACTTTTAGGTAGGCCTAGGCCTAGCCTATATTTTGTTGTTAAAGCTAATTTCATTGGTGAAAGCTAACTACTTGACCAATCAACGAACACGTGTCTAGCATAAGCCTTGGCATGGTGGTGAGTGTTGTATGAAAATGGGAAGTCACTGATATTTTTGACTTGATTCTGCAGACAATGAAAATGAAACTTTTCAATGCGTTTCATCCGGCATTGGAGACTATGAGAAAATGCAACATCTGAGCTGTGATTGATGTGAAGGTTGATTCATTTCAATCGCTGGAAATTGTTCAATACCTTTCTTTGTCTTAGGATTCTCGATCTTTTGATGTATTTTTTATTGTTAGATTATTAGATTTCTAGATCTAAATCTAGAATCTAGTCTCTCTAGGGCTCTAGGGGGGTGCAAGGTGAACAACTGATAGATTCTATAATATCAATCTCGCCTGGTTCCATTCTACTTTATAATAAATCTGATCGCTGCTGACTGCTGGGGTTATCTCTGCGAGTCAATAGTGAAAGATAACAATAAAAAACACGCCTCATCTTTATTCTTTTATGGCCACCTCTATTCTCACCCTGGGTGAGAATAGTGCAGGCGAGTCTTTTGGCTATTCTCACCCGGTGCGCGTTCACCGTTATAGCCTAGATCTAGGCCAACCAATTTTGCGTTCACCCTAAACCACAGAATTCTACCCTGTGATTTTCAGAAAAATTGTAGAATCGAAGTGGCTAGCCGTACGTAAGTACGGCTAGACTAAGAGTCTAGCCGTACTTAAGTACGGCTAGACTGCTAGTCTAGCCGTACTTAGATCTAGGTTTGGCTCAATCGACTCCAGCCTGTTAAGTACACAGGTCTCATTAGATCTAGATCTAGTAATTATTCAGGTTCAAATACATGCAAGTCAGTAAGGCACCTTTTGGTTTTGTCTGAAATACAAATACTTTAGGCATTGCAAACTAAAAATTCCATTTACAATTCAGCCATCAATATTAAGTACGGCTAGCCTGACAGTCTAGCCGTCCTTAAGTACGGCTAGCCTGGCTGTCTACCCGTACTTAAGTTTAAGTACGGCTAGACTGGCAGTCTAGCCGTACTTAAGTACGGCTAGACTCACAGTCTAGCCGTACTTATCTTAAAGCCCTATTAACATTAGAAAACAGGAGGTTTAAAATACATGCACTGTCATTAAGGCACCTGGTTTTATCTCAAATTCAAATACTTTAGGTACTTCACACTAAAAATGTATATTTACAATTCAGTAGGCCTATTTTTTGTAAATAGTCAGTCTAGCCATCATATTAAGAATAAGTACGGCTAGACTGTGAGTCTAGCCGTACTTAAGTACGGCTATACTGCCAGTCTAGCCGTCATTAAGTACGGCTAGCCTCTTCCTTGTAGAATTCTGTGCCGTGAACAAACGTTCCATTACTACTGTGAGCCTACTAAAAGCGTACAATTTTGTCTGTGGGCAGTGGAGAGAGAGAGCAAGAGAGAGAGAGAGGAGTAACGCAAGAACTTCCGGGCAAAACAAAATGGCGACCCGCGTAGTTTGGCTCGATTCGAAAAGTTAAATAGCCGTAGCATCTTTGCAGACGACCAAATTAATTTACTTTTGTGTTTTAACATCATTTTTTAACTTTGTTTTGGTCAATTTGATCGTCCACACCGATAGACAGTATTCAGAAAGAGATAGAGAAGAGGGGAGGAGTAGATCTTGTGAGAACTTCCGGGCAAAACAAAATGGCGACCCCTGTAGTTCGGCTCGATTCGAAAAGTGAAATAGCCATAGAGCATCTTTGTAGTCGATAAAATTAGCTTACTTTTGTGCTATAACGTAATCTTTTGTTTGCCTTTATCCATTTGATCATCCACATCGATAGAAAGTATTCCGAAATTAGGAAAAACAGGTCTTGTTTCACACTGGGTGAGAATAGCCTACGGTGGCAAGTCTCACCCGGGGTGAGAGGTCGATCATATTTCTATTCTCACCCCGGGTGAGAATAGCCACTTCCTTCTTTTATATAGCAAATTGATGCAATCAATAAATAATATAGGAAGAGGCTAGCCATACTTAATAGAGTTGGGGCGAGTGGACGGACGGGTTCGTTACTCGCGGACTCAGTCAGAGCGAACAGGTAACGGACGGCCATGAGAGTGAACTACGAACCTCAAGACAGTTCGTTTTTGGGGTCCGCTCCACAATTTGACTCTCTCAACGAGCGGACTGCGGACCTCAAGCCTCAAGTCAGTTCGTTTTTTGGGTCCGCTCCACAATTTTATTCACTGGGCGGGTGGTCAAACGGACGAACTCTGGCAGACGAGATACTCGACGCGAGGTTAGGCCCACAGTCTATTGTTTGTTAATCAGGCCTAGTGTTTCAAACCACTAGCGGTGCTACAGGGAGTGAGAGAGGCTGGTGACGTAGTACTATGTGTGTAACCTTTCACCTCGTGCGTGGGGCACACTGTTTACGTTTCAATTATCGCAAAGGCCGGGGGGGGGGGGGGGGAGAAATTTCCGCCATGAACGCCTAACTACAAAAGGGAGGGGGGAGGGGAATTTTTAAATTAATATTTTTTTTGGGGCTGTGATTACATCGATCTTTATGGTAATGCAATGGAAGGAGTCGCTCCCGTCCGTCTGTCCGCCCGCTCGAATGCATGGGGTCTCTTGGTCCGCCCGTCCGCTCGCTCGCTAAACGAACTGTTGTCTCTGTCCGATGTGTAGCGAGTAGCGAACTACTCTTCACAAGTGGACAGTTCGTTACCTGTCCGCTCGTTTGTGGGTAGTGCCAACGAGTGGTTCGGTTCGTTACTCGTGGACGCTAATTTTGCGAGCCCGACCCAACCCTAGTACTTAATGTCGGCTAGACTGGTCATACTTATGTATGGCTAGCCACTGGCAGTCTAGCCGTACTTAAGTACGGCTAGATTGGTTGGCTAAGCACGGCTAGACTGGCAGTCTAGCCGTACTTATTCTTAATATGATGGCTAGACTGACCATTTAAAAAAAAATAGGCCTACTGAATTGTAAATATAAATTTTTAGTGTACTTAAATACGGGTAGACAGCCAGGCTAGCAGTACTTTTTAAGGACGGCTAGACTGACAGTCTAGCCGTACTTAATATTGATGGCTGAATTGTAATGAAATTGTTAGTTTGCAATGCCAAAAGTATTTGTATTTCAGACAAAATCAAAAGATGCCTTACTGACTTGCATGTATTTGAACCTGAATAATTATAGATCTAGATCTAATGAGACCTGTGTACTTAACAGGCTTGAGTCGATAGGGCCAAACCTAGATCTAAGTTCGGCTAGACTGGCAGTCTAGCCGTACGTACAGCTAGACTGGTTGGCTAGCCACTTCGAATAAAATAAGTGTTACGATCGCACGAATAATCCCGTTATCCCCTCGTTGGTTGATCAGAGACGCTGAGATTGGAAGTTACACCGAATTGAATAACTTTTCCAGAGTTTTCCAGATTTCACACCTATTATGAATGAACATGCGAACAGCTGCTTCAGCTATCGTTCGAAAGGGGAAAAAATGGGATAATTTCCTAATATTTTTTTTATTCAGCTGCTCTCAATTTTCTCCCTCTCGTAGGACAATGGTTTAAAAACCACCAAATATGATTATTTGCATCAGGAAACGTTTTGTGTAAAAATGAGATTGTTTGAAAAATGAGGAAAGGTGTTTGCATTGAAAGATGAAAGTCCTATTTCCTGAATATCCTTTCGAGTCCCTCAAGTGTCTAACTAGGTCAAAATGCTCATATTTTATTGGATAAACGTCTCAACTGACGCTCCGTTATCTCTTAAAGGTTAAGAATGTGGGTCCTGTCTGTTTAGACTGAGCATCATCCACACAGCAGAGTAGGCCTAGAATCTAGCCTACTGGATATCGATACTGATCGATTTAAATATTCGGTAGAGATCTAGATCTAAATCTAGTCTGTCGATGCTTTATCCCCGGGAACGAGAGCGCTGTTATTTTTCAGTACCCTACAAAATGAGCAGTAAAATTTCACTTGTTTTTAACTAGGGGGGTTTCAGAGGGATCTAACAAAACATTGGGGGGGGGGGTTCACTATGCTAGATCTAGATCTAGTTTCAAGGGAGGCATGCCCCCTGAATTTGACCATAGTCTAGTGATAATTTTGTGTTTTACAATTAGATCTCTAGACCTATATCTAGGTTTGTCTCTCAAAAAATAATCATTTAGAACCAGAAGTAATCGTCGGTGGGATCCAAACTACTAGATTAGGACCTCAAACGAGGGGACCCACTTTCTTAAGTTGTACCGGCCTAGATCTACTATACTGACATATAATATAACGTAATATGGTCTCTGGGCCACAGAAGACTATTATTATTCTGTGATAGAAGGAAGAGGCTTGCCGTACTTAAATGACGGCTAGATGACTAGACTGGCAGGCTAGCCGTATGCGTACTTAACACTTTGCCGTCACATCTCACCAAGCGGCGATGTTTACCACACTATTTCTTTGGATTTTCCCCAAAATGCCTTTTTTTTCTCTCTCTCTTTTTAGTAGAGGTCTTACGGCACTCGCAACTGCATAAGGTCATACGAGCACCAAGACCAAGGGGTGGATGTCAACAGAGAAGTCCATACAGGGAATCAGACTTACTCTGCTCACCTCTCTATCTCTTCAACAGCACAGTCTTCTTCGACTATCAAGGCACCCCAGAAATAGCGAGTCACAAGAGTGTGACAAACATACAAAAGTAAAAATAGAGGAAAATGATAGTAAGGATTAGGAAAGAAAACGCAGCAGTTCCATATTGCAGTTCAGGCGCAGTTATGAGCATGACATGAATGAATCAGCCCATTTACAGTTCTACTGTGCATAAGAAGAACAGGTTAATGTCCTCCCTTTGGGAATGGCCTTAAGACAAAATGCCTTTGCCTTTGATGGCAAGGGTTTTTACTATGAGTCTTATGATGGCAAAGTGTTAAGGACGGCTAGACTTGTTTTAGTTGTGGGTGGGGTCTATGGGTTTTGACGAACCATACTCTTTCCTCACCAGCAGCTGGAAATTTAAAGATTCAGGTGGTTAGGGTGGTCAACTTGGGTAGACAACAGTTGGTGGGACCTACCCTACATGATCGGACATTACAGGGACTAACAAAAACATAGGTGAATGGATTATGACAGCTCGTCCACAGCATCAAGGGCCAAAGCTTAATTTATTACAAAGCGTTTGGCGATAAAAGAGTGGCCCTCTTGGACAGGTTATTTCGATTGATCGTTGTTAAAATAAGTTGGCCACGACCGGATGGTACAGGCGAATGTTTTGCCCAGTGAAATGATATATTGTATAGAAAAACGCAAAAGGGGAAATAGTAAGTTGCCGATTGTACAGGTGGCCGTCATGGCAGGTTCGACTGTATTTGAGTTCTTTCAAAAAGATTGAAAATGAGTTTGTGTGTCACTGTGACTGTCGGTCCACTTCAGTGCCAATGTCCTTTGTGAGCATACAGTCTAGTGTCTCTGGTGATGAGTTCAATACACCCAAATGCTTTCAGTTTTGAATGTGAAAGATGGGTTTGAACACTTGTGTCTTGTTAATAAATATTCATAATATACAGCACATTATCGGATTACCTGGACAAGAAGTTCTTTGCATATGATATGTTTGAGATTCAGAATGTTTTGTGTGCAGGGGTGTCTCTGTTGTACAATTCCTGTGATATCTGTGTTTAAGTACTCTTTGAGCTGTTGAGTAGAGTCCCAGAGTGGCTTATAATTGTAAGATTAGTTTGCCTGATACATAATTCACTTAACTTGAACTGTTATGTAAAAGTTATAAGAAAATTACAATTGTAACAATTGTTATAAAAGTACTCTCCCCGCCATATGAATGGATTCTTTTGTCAGAGTTGTGATGGAAAGTAGTCTCAACTCTATGCTTTTATAAGTGTTTTAGTCTATGAATTCTATGATCCTGATGGGAGTTTCAGGTTTATGTTGGTAGGCTGTGAAAGATTATTTTATGGCCTACTGTCTTTAATTATGATCATAATGAATTATTCAGTGTATTTCAATTTCAGCTCTCCGTAAATATGCAAGCCAGTAATGAGGCCCGCAAGGGCTCAAGGTATCATCGCCTGGATGACATTCCTACAAATACATTTACACCTCGCACATACCAGGTATACCTTTCATTTTGTAATGTTTGGGTACTTACCATTATTTATCATTTTAGGGCCAGAAGCTTCATGTTATATGATGACTGTATTCCAGAATAATTTAATGTAACTTATGTTTTATCAGAGGCGTACTTGTAGATTTAACCAAAGTGTAGTTGAATTTGCTTCAACATTGGTTTTGTAATTTGTAACTTGTCATTCTGTGTCCATGTGCCACATGTCATGATTCCTTCTTTTTCTTATCCTTCGTTTCTAGTTGTCCATATTTTTACTCCCTTCTGAATCCCTTTTCAATTTCCCTATACAAATGGTCTTTTTCTTTTTCATAGAAGCCACACTTTGTAATGAAGTGGGGGGGGGGGAGTGTAAGTTTTTTTTGTGTGCATTATGCCTTCTCTTGCTTTTGGAAATAGAAGTATCTAGGAGTCATAGGGCAAGCCGCAGATTAGGGTGTTAAATTCTTATGTTGTGAGCATGTAACCATAAACATGTGAGATCTGGACAGTGTTTCTTCATCAGAAGAAAAAGCTGAACAGTTTTCATGGCTTACAAATTTCTCATAGAGGCAAGGCTAGATTAGTGCCTTTAGTGATAGACAACCACCAATAGTCAATCTTGCAAACATATCATGAAAATTATGATTTAATAACAAATGTTACGTTTTAATTAAATAATTTTACTGCTTTTTCAATGTTTAGATCTACTCCACCTGTTAATCTGCGATTTCTGTGAATGTGAAGAAACTGGTCAAATCCCTATGAGGTCAAGCAAGGGAGTGAAGGAAAGAATGTCATGTAAAGTAATTTTGATGTCAGTTTTTAACACGCAGTTACCTGAAAGACTTGAAGTTTCATAATTGAGACAAGCATATATTGTTCACCTTTGTCTGCTCATGCTTTGTTTTATTACAGATCCAGCTGTTGGACTCGGCACTGAGAAGGAACACAATTCTTTGTCTTGGCTGTGCGAGCAGCAAAGCTTTCCTTGCACTGATGGTAGCGAAGGAACTTGCATCATTCACCAGGATACCATTGACTAGTGGGGGAAAAAGGACCATTTATCTGACAGATTCAGGTATTTATTCCATTTTTTTCTGGTTGTGTACTTATTTATTAAAGTATTAATACATCAGTGACACTTAAGTGTGCTTCTTCAGGCCAGAAAGAAGTAGTTTTTGAAATAGGTGACTCTTTTAATCATAGCGTTCAATAAGTCATGCTCGAAATACATTATAGAGGGTATTTTTATTTTGTAAACTGTTTAAGAATTTTTACAGAAAAAAATGAGAATGGTGAAGAATGGAATAGCATTATATGGCCCTTTTTGTGATACTGCTTTCAAAGTGTATGGGTTGGTTTTAAAGAGATTTACAAATGAGTAATATATTTTTATAGTTTTCAAAGCTTGTTATGATTTGTAAAGAAAGAACTTTCTGTGTCAACTAACAAAGTGGGATTCACTTGAGTGAAAACTCTTTCTTTTCAAGCTTGTACATCATGAAATGAAACACATTGCATGAGGCTGTCAATGTTTCCTCACATGGTAACTTCACTATAACTCACTTGGCTCAAAACGTACTCTTGACTGTAATTTTCACTTTATGAAATCTTAAGTCCTATTTAATATTTTTACTCTTTAAAAGATATGTGGGGATGTACTTTTCGCTATAACGTTCACTTTTCAAAGGATTTTTGTTTTTGGTAAGTGTTTTGTGGGGCTCGCAACTGCATGAGGTCATATGAGCGTGCGGAACACTTAAAAATTTTTTAGTTTCAAAGGATTTAGTGAGAGAAAAAATGTCTACTACACACATTGTACATTGTGAGAATAAAGAAATTGAGAAAAAGTGAGTTTCACCGTTCTCGGGAATGCAGTGGAATCAGCTGCTGCCAGTAGACTTGGCAAAGGGAGAAGCTTATACTGAGGTTTTACTGTATTTGGTTAAATGAATCAAGTTATGTTTTTCTTATTCTATTTTGATCAAATGTTGAAACTGAGCTGTTGATGTGGAAGAAAGTGTTCGATTTCACTCTACAATAAAAAAAAATGTGTTGCACGGTTTGAACCCACCCTAGAAGTAATTGAAAAGGAGCGAAATTCTGTAGACATTTTTCGTCTTGGATACAGGAATTCAGGGTGGGGGGTAGTGTGAGATAAAGACTGAACATGTTGCAACATAGTAAAATGCCAGCTAATATATATTTGCACATGCTCTGATAATGGTATGCGTACTAATCCATTACCACCAGTTCTTGCATCTCATTAGGACAACTGCTTTACCAATTAGATACAGAAATGATCGAATAGCTCCTTTTTTTCCACCTTCAGCCCCCACCTATTGGTGCAATAAGCACACTCAATTGATACCACGCTTCCCCTGTTTACTGCACTAATTCTAGCACATGAAATCAGTTTGGTTTTTTAAGTCATGTCTTTCAACTGCTTGTAATAATGTGATGTAATAAGTAAAGAAGAAAACCATGACTTTTGTGTTCATGTAACGATTTGGGGAAGACAAACAGCAGTCAGATGTCACACCCACACCATCCTGACCATCTGTTTTGCTCAGGGCTCACACAGATGGGGTAACAGCTACCTCCAAATGGCACCCTTCCCCCTTTCCTTGTCTGGCAGTATGGCATGAAGGTAAAAGCCTGTGGAACCAAACTCAATTGGGAGTGTTATAAAATAAATCAGGGCTGAGCTGACAAAGCATTTTCCAGCCTCCGACAGGTCAAATCCTTCTAAAGAGGAGTTTCTCTGTCTGTTCTCGGGTAGGGATGGTTTCTGTCTCAGACCAGACAATGTATTATAGAGGAGTTTATGGGAGGGGGGGGAGAGAGCAGGGAGAGAGTCAGAGTCTGTCATGACAGGTTTCCACTCTTGATAGGGTTTTGACATACTAGTTTTCTTTTTTTTTCATCATTAATAAAGATTATTTCTTTTTTCTGTTTTCTCAGAGGATGAGGTGATTAACTTGTGCCAGACTCTCCCTAATCACACTGATCTGGTTGTTGGTCAGAGTCCTCGCTGTGATGTTGACTTGAGTGAGAGCAACAACCAGACTTGTCAAGCAGCTGCTGATCTGTGGAGAGAAGCCATGGAGATCAACAGCATCTTGGTTTGTCATGGTCCTGTCTTCAGAGACGCCCTCAGACACGCATTCGTGAAACCGACAGATGTCCATCTGCTTATTTTTGATGACTGCCACAGATCCGTGGAGGTGGACAACCATTGCTATGCTGACATTGTTTCTGAGGTCAAGATTTTGCCAGATGAAGTACAGCCGCATATACTTGGTCTGACTGCTTCTATAGCTGGCACTGAGTGCAGCAACCCAGGGAAGTTGAAGGAGACAGTGCACCGTATGGAGAATACTATGAATGCTTATGCCGAAACCTCAATGTTAATTTTGTCTGAGCGATATGGCTGCAGGCCAAAAGAGTCTATCGTTAAATGCAAGGGGGAAGATGATGAAAGTCAAGTGTTACTGCAAGAACTCCTTGAAGATATTCTTGAGGAACACTATATCTTTTTCACAAATTGCCGCATTGCAGTTGATGAACAGACTGATCATAGGAATCCTACTGAAATTCCAATTCAAGTATTATCAGAATGTTTGAATATTTTGAATATCTTAGGCTCTTGGTGCACATCATCTATAGCAGAGTACTTTGTTATGCAGCTAGATAAGATTATTAAGTGTGAGAAGAATGACATTCACAAAAAATTTCTGAGGTGTGTGACGACAACTCTTCGCTTGCTTACCCGCAAATTTGAAATGAACTTTCATCCAGACTATGATGTGGACGAATTGTTGGAATACACAACTCCTAAAGTGCAGGAGCTCGTGAAGGTTTTACGACACTACAAACCGGAAGTAGATTTTATCATAATTAGCAATGATGAAGAATCTGAAAATGGTGATGACTTTTCTGATATGTCGGACGATGATGATGCTGATTCCAACTTGTCTGGTTCAGAAGATGCTGATGAGAATTCAGAATCACAAAACAAATCGAGTCTTTCTTCCAAACCCATGCATATAGCTGTGAAACGCACTGCTGATGGAGGGCATGAGAGGATTGTAACTTATTCTGAAGAGGAAGAAAAAAATCTGTGTGGGATTGTCTTTGTAGAGAATCGTTTCATTGCGTTTGGGCTGAACAAAGTCATAGAGGAGGTGTGCTCATGGGATGAAAATCTCTGTTTTGTCAAGAGTTGCCACATTACAGGACAGGGACTGAGAAATGGAAGCGGCAAGATGAAAGGGAACAAGTCGTACAAGCGTCAAGAAGAGGCCCTGAGGAAGTTTCGTACCCAGGAGTGCAATCTTGTTATAGCTACTCAAGAGTTGGAGGAAGGCATTGATATTCCCAAGTGCAATCTGGTAGTGCGCTTTGATCCTCCTTGTGATTACAAGTCATATGCCTTATCGAAAGTAAGTATTGTCTTTTTTTTTCATTTTGTTTATAAAATGTTATGTGATGTCTAAAGAATTTGGAATAAGACTTATTTATTATGTCTCTCTACTTTTGAAAGGACTCCTGTCAGAGCAGCAGATTCTCTATTGTGTGTATATTGTGCTTTCATGTTGGGTGTTGTGTAGTTTTCCGTTATCACAATTGGTAGACAATGGACAAAAGTTACGTTCGTGTTTGGTCATGGGTTTACATTGTTCACATTGCCAGTTTTTCTTAACTTGTAGAAAACTCATGTGTCCCTTGAAATGAAATGTCTTCATTTTTCTTTCATCTGCCTCGTGAACTAGTGAATGAAATTGAATTCAAGTCTGTTTTTGTGTATTCCGCAATGAGGGTGATTTTGTCATCAGCAGTGAACTTGTGGGCTTTGGGTCAAATGCTTCCATCTGCATTTTTTTATTGCCTATGGTGGAAACTTTCTGCTATAAGACAGCGAACTGTCTGGGCTCAATGTCAAAGTTAGCAAATTTTGATGGAAGGAAGAAGTTATGAAACATGATGTACATAATGTTGTTACTCACACCATTAATATAATATAGGGAAATTATTTAGATATGTGTCATTGTACAGTGGAATCCAACACTCGTCACTTTTTAGGCATATGGAGATATTGGTATAGTCTTAAAGCCTGTTAGTTTACCTTTCCTTTAATGAAAAAAAAAAGTACTCATCTATCTTGAGTAGAAGTTGAGATATTTATCTCTATTTCTTTTTCTACTAATATAGCTTTACCTGTCTTTCTGTTATATTAAGTGAACACATGTCGATTAAAGATTGTGACCAGTGATGTCTTTCGCATGGTGGAATTTTTTTTAGCGTGTGAGGTGCATATGTGAGGCAGCGTTTTGGAATCAGGCTCTCGTCAATTTTTGGGCATCTAGACAATTGGTATCATCTTAAAGCTTGTTCATTTGTCTTTATTTGGGTTTTAAAAATATCAATTTATCTTGCATACAAGTCGATATTTGCGAATGAAGGGGGTGGGGGTCACCTGTTTTCAGAGGTAAGATTTAAGAGAAAATGGCCGCCAAAGATTAGTTATTTCCTTAGCCTACTAGTCCGTGGCAACTAAAAATTTACATTTTTTTTTGCCTTTAATGAACGTTTTTCAGAAAAATCCATACAGAAATGAGTTCTTTTATGGGCATGAAAGGTGTTGAGAAGAAAAAATATTAAAAAATTTAAAAATTCACAAGTCTGTGGAAAAGTGCAAGTTTCTTCATTTTGATTATTTTGACGAGAGCCTGATTCCACCATGCTGCCTCACATATATGCTGTTAAGTCTTTTAAAAAATAGTAGAATATTGACTTAGTTAGCTTGCTTGTTTACTTAATTTTACTGTTTATTTCCAGGGCAGAGCAAGAGCAAGGGATGCAATGTATGTCATTCTGTTGAATCAAGAAAATTTTGAGACTTTCAATGCAAATGTGGGAATCTTTAAAGAGATTGAACAGGTATGCTTGTGAGTTTCAGTTTGAACATGTTTGTCAAGAACAAGTATTTTGTGGATTCGGGAATTATTTGTTTTTGATTTCTTGATCTTGTATTCCCAAAAGTATAAGAGCTGAAATGTTTCGTCATTTTTATGTATGGCAAGACCCTTTTTGGTGGGATTTATTATTTCGCACTTCACTCTTACGTGTTGATAAAGTGCACTTGAGAAAAAAAGTGATGTTGGCTTCGAGTCCTTACAGATGGTTAAGAAAGTAGGCTTCGTTTGTTGTTTTTGTTTTGTTTTTAAAGATATATGCTAGAAATGTGCATACAGAGGGATACACGCTATATATATATATATATGTGAAATTTTTGGCTCTCTGTTTCACTGGCATTGTTCTCTCTAACTTACACTAATATTTTCTCAGGTCATTGGTGGTTTGTGGGTGCTCTGGTGTGGTTTGCTCCTTCTTTCCTATCCAACATCTATCGTCCTAATGTCTCCTTCATTTTGTATATTACTCTTCAGTAATACCCCTAATCTTCGACACTTATAACCTATCTGTATTGCAAGTGCCACAAAACTCTTGCTGAATGGAAACTTTCTCGTAGGTGGCTGGCGGGTGCTCTGGTGTGGTTTGCTCCTTCTTTCCTATCAAACATCTATTGTCCTGATGTCTCCTTCTTGTAACACCTCTATTCTTTGGCACTTGTATGACCTTATTGTGTTGCAAGTGCTGTAAAAATCTTACTAAAACTAAAACGAAACTTTCTCAGGTTCTGCTCGGAGATAAAAGAGTGAGTGGGACTAAGAAAAGCATGCCTGAGCTGGTGTACAGGGAGGATTATGGTCACGATGGGGACACAGACGATGAGGAGGATGATGTCATTGAGGATGAAGACCTCCTCTTGCCTTATCGCACTCTGCCAGGGTTGCAGAATTCTCCTCAAGTGACCTTGCAAGGGGCCATTGCTCTCATCAATAGGTAGGGACCGCTGTATACCTACACTTGCGGAATGTCTTTTTGTTGTGAGGTTTAATTCAATATTTTGCGAAAGGATCATCTTATTATATTACTGCTCACCTAGGAAAACAGGTTGAAAGTACATTTGAGAGGCATCGTGGTGAAATAAGGCGCTCATCAAAAAAAAAAAAAGAAATCAAAGAAATCGGCTATTTTTTGTCCTATGGGCAATCTTTTTCTTTTCTTTTCTTTTTTTGGCTCCACATCTTTAATATCTATTTAAAAACACATTTTTGTGTGGATTTTACTGAAAAACATTGTTTAAAGGCGCAAAAAATGAAAATTTTCAGTTTCCACTTACTCTCAGGCTATGAAAGTTACAAAACTTTGGCGGCCATTTTCTTGCTTATGTTACATTTGAAACTAGGGGACCCTGACCTTCTTCAATCGCCAATATGTTGACTTCTTTTTAAGATAGATTAATATTTTTTTTAACAAAAGGAAGGCAAATGAACAGGCTTTTCGATGACACCAATAGCCCCATATGCCCAAAAATTGACGAGCACCTCATTCCACCAGGTCGTGACACTTGTTGTTTCAATTCACTGTTATGTTTTGTATTTTTTTATCCCATAAATGTATGTTGGTGCACATGTCATTTTGTATTTGTCGCTGCACTGAGTCTTTGACCGTAGTGACTTAGGTTTGTGTGTGTGTGTGTGTGTGTGGGGGGGGGGTCACTCTGAAAAGGAACTCTCCACACAGCTGCCAATCAGTACGTAACAAAACATTTGATACATTCTTTTAGGGTGTTAGTATTGAAATCTGATTATATGTAGGAAAAAAAATGTATTCTCTGTTTTCTGGTATTGCTCCTCACAGACTTGCCAATGCCAAAGAAAGTTTATAATTTTCATGTCCAGATTTAAGAATGATAATGAGAAGGAAGTCCAGAATTGTGCTGAAGTTTAAAGTTGTGTCCCTTACCATTGTTAACTATTTAGCATGAATTTATTTGATCCAGAAAAGTGTGTGCGAAGGGTTTCAGAGGAGAGCTTACTTGGCGAATGTCAACCATCTTGACCCGCCGAGTGGCTAAAGTGGTTTTTTGGGGGGGTTTTGAAAAGTTTGCCTATATGGGTTTTGAAAAGTTTGCATTTATGTCTCCATTCTATTTGTAATTTTATAGCTGTACTATTTGCCTTGTTGTATTCCATGAAAGTTAAGTGACTTGTAATCTGTTATGAGTATCTGCATATCAAAAAGAGGTAAAAAAAAGAATGAGAAACAGAGACCAAGATACAGGTAGATTAAAGTTGATGTGCTCCTCATAACTCTTCTGGATAAGAAAGGACAATTTCTAAGTTTATAAATTTATTGTGTCTTAACTTTTACTGTGGCTATTTAATTGGTAGTTGGCGGTCTTCTTAAGCTGCTCTTTATGTATCCAGCAGAGTTTTTACAGCGTAGATCACTTAAATCAAAAGTGATTAACCCGTAAATCAAATAGTAGTAATTAGAAAGAAAACAATCCCCGATTTTTTTTCCTTCTTTTTCTTTGTTAGAAATCTACCGATTAGTCAACCAAACGAGCAAATGTAAAGTATTGCTCTCCTTGAAATTTTAAAGCAGCATTTAGGGGGCTCTCGTGGCCTAGAGGTTAAGGTGTTGGCCTCTCATTCAAAGGTCCCGGGTTCGAATCCGGGTAGCGACCGAAACATTTTCTTCTCTAAAATTGTCTCCTTTCACCTCCTTTCCTGCTCTCTAGCAATAATAATGTTCTGTTGTCTGCTTTCATTTCCACTTTCTGCCCGCACCCCCTCACCTCCTTTGCCCCCTCCTCTGGGCTCCTGACTCTTTCTGCAGCCTTTCTACTGCTACTCCTTGGCTCCTCCTTACTGCTGTCTTTCTGCCACACCCCTGATCTTCTGGTAGGAAAGATCTACACCTAGCCTTCTCGGACAAGGGTGATAAATCTTGGAGGGCCCGTATGCAAGTTGCGCACGTTAAAGATCCCTTGGTGGTCTAAAATCGATAAGAGTAGGCTTCGGCCGCCACCCGGGCAAAATTCAAAATTTTCTACCAACTGAAAATATTAGGAGTGCCCCGCGCGCTCATATGACCCATGCAGTTGCGAGCGCCGTAAAACACTTTACAAAAACAAAAACAAAAGCAGCATTTTGTTGAATCAAAAGAATCTATTGTTTGTGTGATTTTTTTTTCATGTTTACAGATACTGTGCCAAGTTGCCTAGTGATGCCTTCACCCACCTTACGCCCCAGTGTCGAGTTGAGAAGCAGGCGGGGGATACACCAGTGTTTGTCGCCTTCTTGCGTCTGCCAATCAATTCTCTGGTGAAAGAAGAACTGAAGGTGAGATACTAGACTTGATTTCCATTCTTAGTCACACCTCTCTTGTCATGCTGGTTGATCTTATCGAGATTTGATCTCACTGGCCTTAGAGGGTATTATTTTCTTTTATTGAGGAGATAGACCAGATTTTTGGATGTAAGTTATACAAGATAAATGAGCTTTCACTGGGAAAACCTCTTTGAGACTTTTATTTCTTATTCATGTAAGAACTTTTTATTCACTGACAGCTTTTTTCTAAGACATTTTACCAAGCTACAATTGCATAGTCAGTATTTGTCTGTCTTTAAATTTAGACCCACTTATGGGGTAACCAACATGAACATAAGGTTAGAATTGTAAGGAACTGTTATAAAGTACTACTATAAGAAAAGAACTCATTTGAGAAACCAAGACATGATATGTTATTTTTGCCCCACTGGCAGTTTAAAAGCATCATTCTAGAGTTTAATTTGTATTGTCATCTGCTGCAAAATGTAGTCCTGTGCATGAGATTCCATTGTATTGAAATTTGAATGTATCAAGTATTTTACTCTTTCACATGTGGAAAAAGACATAACACAGCGTTTCTATTTTTATTTTCTGAAAGGGACCGCCAATGAAGTCCAAAAAGCTGGCAAAAATGGCAGTGGCTTTGAAAATGTGTGAAATTCTGCATGGAAAAGGTTTGTATTGATTGTGTCATGCTCTGTGTAACTGGTTTCTTAAATTTGTCAACAGGCACAAAAAGTTCCGAATTAATTGATGAGAGATAATACAAATGTTAACCAGTTGCTATCAATGAAGGTACTGAAATGGGATGATGTGCAGACATGCCTCTGAAAATTTTTCTCGCTCTTTTGGCTGTTGCCTTGAGTGCAAAGAAAAGTTAAAGGAAAGAAAAGTCCACTTTATATGTCACCATGCAGGGCTCCCCTTTTCAGACCAACTGAAGAGGTTCCTTGACCCTTTGGTTTTCTGTCTTAAGGGGTATTTAAACCCTTGTTTTAGATTTAGAAACTTAAAGGGTAAAAGTCAATTATCTCCTAATTTTATAGTAAGAATTTTTGCTTGTAAACGTTTAACTTGCACGCACATTCACACAGACAGAGTGACCATTATTATGATTGAATGCTGACGATTTTTAATTAACTTAAGGTTTCATTGTAACAGCAAATAATCTTGACTACAATTAAAGTTGTGTCCATTTGGAGGGGGGAAGGGTAGTGGTAGTTGAACCAATCAAAAGTAAAATAAAGTTGACAAACCAAAAGGGGTCAATTCCGACTGTATTAATACACAAAGAAAATCAGACCTGTCAATCTATGAATTCTAAAAGTCAGGATCTCAGTGGGGAAAAAAAAATCTGGATCAACGACAAATCTCCAAGGTCACTGCCAAACTGACTTTAGAAATTTCCTGGGATGTGTGTGTGCGTGTGTGTGTGTGCGCGCGCATACGCGTGCCTGTGTGTGTTTTACCATTATTTTTTTAAAATCCAGAAATATCACGTCAAGCTCTCCTGGTTTAAGTGTTTTACACGCCCCCACCCTGGATAAGTCCCGAAAGACGTTTCAGCCGGTGTGCATGAACTTAAATTGACCCCGTCAACAGTCCCCGACACACGCGGAACTCACTCACGTGGTGCGAACGAGCGATTGAAGCAGTTTTAGTCGGACAAAGCTTGAATTGAAAGCATCAGCAGAACTACGAAAAATATTGATCATTTGTGCGTCGCAATTTAGACTAAACAGTTATTAGGCCATCATCGGAGAATTGCGAGTTGAAACAAAAATAAACGCGAAAATGATCTAGAGCCTAGATCTTGAGAATGTCCCAAGTCGGAATGCCAAGCCAATACTACTTCTATTATAATGTACTGAAAATAACACGTGTGTGCAAAGATCTAACACAACTACTAAACTCGGCATCGACATTTCGGAAAACAGTGCTCCTAGTTTCTGCTGACAAAAAATTTAACGAGTTTCTGCTGACAAAAAATTTAACGAGTGCTTCCCTTTACAGAAAAGAAGGCAGAGTAAGATTTTTGAACAGACGGAACAAAAATAAATAAATAGGGATACACGCGATCAAAATCGGGAAAATCGTGATGCTTGAAATTTGGGGCAAAAAAATCTGGATGTCCTGATTACTTCGGGATGAGTGGCAGGTTTGGAAAATAAACTAATTCATTATTCTGCAAAGCCATCCCAGTCTTTCGATGGTGGACTATTCATGTTTACTAGATCTAGTGTACTAAAGAAGGATGGGTGGTAATCTAATCTCACGGCAAGGGTAAACTCAAGGCATGACACCGGCAAATATAATGCGAGCGACCAGAATGTGGGCGGAGCTTCTCTGCTCAAGAAAGGCCGGTGTCGCCGGAAACTTCGCGCAGCTAATAAGTAATAAGTAGATTCTTGGTGGACTGCTTCTGACACAGTCATAGACAGACAAAAGGTGACGGCGGTGTCATGTGTGTGGATGTGTTGTCAAATCATTGACTCGGCTTCGGGGTAGAGAAGGGGGAAAATGATGATTTTCAGACGCACACCACCTACGTCTTAAAGCGTACGCAAACCCCCGAAACGAAATTTTAAAGAGTAACGCTCACGCACCACCAGAACTTTAAGGGGGTAATCTGCAGGTTTAAGGGGTAATATACGCACATATGTGCGTAAAGGGGAGCCCTGCCATGAAAAAAAGTTAGGTGCAGTGTTGTACATTTGAGTAACAAGGAGCAACCTCATTCAGGACCATGGTGGGCAGACAGTAATGTGGCTCTTGCTCAAGAAACTGGTATGCACTGTGGGACCAGCTTTCAAAATAATGTCAGCTCTCTATGTCACTCCCCCTTTTCCTGCAAGTAGTGTTTGCTGTCTTCTTGACTACTAGGGAGATGAAGATGAAACAGTTTGCCACCTTGTTTAATGCTTAGTTTTGTTGTAACAATAGGTTTTATTGTTCAATTTTCCTTTATTATATTATACCACTGTGTGTCACATTTATTAACAATTCTCAAATTTTTTATGACTTATGTATGCACAGGAGAACTGGATGAAAACTTGGTGCCTGTTGGTAAGGAAATGTTCTCATATGAAGAGGAAGAAGAATGGGTGGAAGAAGAGGATCCTGCAGGCCAGGCCCGACCAGGAACCACCAAGAGAAAACAGTATTACGTGAAAAAGGTGAGTTGTGTCATTTTATGCACAGTGATCATGGGCCTTAATGACACATCATTCATTTGTAAAGAATTTGAAACATAGAATCAGTACTTTTCCTTATACATGTTTGATTTGTTGAATGTTATAAAAAAAGGAAAAAGTTGTTTTCTGTTTGTGCTTCAGAGTACCTAGAGACTTGTTCACTTTTTTATTGTACAGTGCTCCTTTGTGGCATCACTGTTTTAGGATACAAAGATTCCACTTTGATTGTGCAGGTTGTAGTGTTGCTTGTGTTTGACATAGAGAGCCTTACATGACAATTATGAAAATGATAATTGACTAGTTAAAAAGTTGGCCTTTCTCTTCTTGTTCAAAAGTAAAAGGTGTTTTTTTCTTCAGGCCTGCGATTCCAAATCTTCAATTCTAAACATTTTTAATTAGTTTTTTTCACACTGTAATAGACTAGACTCTGATAAGTTTAAATATATAATGTCACCCGCTTTTTCTCTTTCCAGAAAATGTGGTTTTCTATAGTATTTGTTGCTTTTATTTTATTTTTTTAATGAACACCATTCCATACACGCAGCATGTAACTATAAAAGTTGAACTCCATACGTACCTGGTAGGCAGAGCTGGTTGTAACGGAGTACAAGTAGGCCTACATTTTCCAATTTGGATACTTTTTCCTACTTTCCGACCTCTAAGACTGACTTAAATTAATTTGATCATATTGTCTTGCTCAAACAAGTTCTATTCATAATATCACTTACTCACTAGTTGCGTCTGTTTGTTTGCTCTTTTTTTTTTTTCAATTTCACAGACCATTTCCACTTACATTCAGTGCGTATATTCAAATGCTTTGTGTACTGTTTACATTATTAGTAATAAATGGCCTAATTTTTCAAATATACTAGATATGTTATTCAATATGATGTTTTGCATTAGCACTGAAGTGTTTTATCATATTAGCAGAAAGTACTCAAAATGTACTCATAAGTACTTTTTTAAAAAGTACCTGTACTCAAGTACATTATACAGGAAAGTCCTTTTACTGTACCTAAGTACATATTTTAGATTGTTCTTAAATTTGTACTTAAGTACTTTTTTAAAAGTACTTTAACAGCTCTGCTGGTAGGGTACCTGGCATCACCCAAAAATTGAGGCTCTAGTTCCAAATGGGTATTCTACCTGCAGTCAAGTTTATGATAAACCATGCTGCAGCGCCTCACTGTCTCTTTCTGTTGCAAATTTTGCTATTGCCATGGGATCTCATGGATTCATGGGTGTTTCAGTAGTGTGGATGTTTAAAAGTACAGTCGAAACCTTCTCTAACGGTCACCTGTGTAAGGCAATTATTTTTGTTGTTGTTTACGTAATAATTTTGTGTAAGATGGCCACTTCAGGACAATTTGTGATCATTTTTGATAATTTTGGCTGTACTTATTTGTGAGGTTTTCTCTAGAAAACAAAAGAACCAAGTCAGCTTTCATTGTTTTAAAAAATTGTTTATGTTATTGTCATTCTTCAGGTGGCTGATGCTCTTGCTCAGTGCCGTCCAGTGGAGGGGGAGCCTTGCTATCTGTACCTGCTAAATCTGAGACTGACTGGACCGATCACAGATGAGCAGAACACAAGGGGACGTGTGATTTATGCCCCTGAAGACACTACGCAGACACTAGGCCTGCTGTTGTCCAAAAAAATACCTCAGGTGTGCCTTTTCATGTCTTTTACACCTCTGAAGAGTCTTTTCGGGCTTATTGTTTATATATACAGCAGTCATAACCTTAGAATCACCCACTACAACAAAAAAATTATTTCTGTCATCAGCATGCTCTTCTGCCAGGTTTATACAACAGTGTAAAAGTAGGTTGTAAAATGAGAAACCTAGGCTGTAAAACGGCAAAAAATCTCGGGAATGATATTTTGCATTACTCAGGGTCCCCACCAGGTCGGGAATTTTGAGATGGGTCGTGAAAAAGTCGGGAACTTTGTAATGGGCCGGTAAGTCGGGAAAGAATAGGGCCTGTATAATCAGTAGTGTAGCTATCTAGATAGTATGGTCGATGAGTCGTGAAGAGGAAACGTAATTGAACCGCTATTGCGGAAGTGTATACACCGAGGTTCGATCGGGAAGAATCAAGATCTGCTTTCGTTACCACCCAGAAATTTTCCGGTAATAGTCTGAACTGATAGATAACGCAACATATTTTGTAACATGCTGGTTGTGCATTATGAAAGCTGTGTCGCCTTGAAAATAAATCAATATTAAAGATTTGTCCTCTGCTGTCACTTGTGAAAAAAAAAAGAAAAGAAAGTTATACAAGCGTCTTGTCACGTTCGCCATCGTGACCGTTCAATGAACGTCTGTGAGTGTGAGTATCGGCGTTCTGATTGCTGTGAAGTGTAGGACTCCGGAATGGGGCGGGGGTTACTGCTCTTTTTTTTTTTACATAAGATACACTTTGGGGAGGGGGGATGCTGAAGGCAACGCTAGAGGACAAAAACTGAACTTGGAAGCAAATTTTTAGCATTTAGAATTTTGATAACTACTAAAAGAGCTCTCTGCAAAGCGCGCGTTGGTACAGGCCTTGTGTGGAATCGGGATCCGTCATGCCTTGTTATTGAACTAAAGTGTTCACGTTTCATTGGATGTGGTGATTGTAATTTATACATGTATCTATATTTTAGCTTTCTTTTCAAGATTGGCAGACTTTCAGTGTCACTGCATCTTGCCCTCCCTCAGTTCTCACACCTTTCACACTAAATAGGTCTACTTGAGCCATTCAGGTTATTACTAATATTACTCAACTTTGAGTTTGAGCAATAGTTTTCGGCTTCACGTTTATTATATGAATCAGGACACCCAGACTGGTTATTGACAGTCGATGTTCTAGTTCTAGATCTAGATATCTAGGTCTTTTCTCAGGCTCACAACAGGATTCATTTTTTATACACGTATAGAGGGCCTATAGTTTCTGTAGGCTAATATGATGAGGGGAAAATATAAATACAGTGCTTCCACTCTTCTGTATTTTTACGGAAATGCGTACTTTCTGCCAGTTCCGTACTTGTCCCTCCATCATTATCTACTCCCTCCTTTAAAAAAACTGCGACAGTGCAGGACTGCCGAATTTCCGTACTCGCCTTCGTATCGTCTTGTATAAGGTACGGATATTTACGGTAATTCTCTCGGCAACAAGTTAACGTTATAGAAACCTGCCAAATTGCGCATTTTCTGCAATCGGACATTATACTGCTATGTCCCAGTCCCATGCATTCATTGCGTGTTGGTCGGCAGTGCATTTTTTACCTGCAGATGGATCAAAATCTGGCAAAACTTTTTGTGCCAACTTCCTCCTTTCTGTCATTCACTCATTCCTTCTGTCTGTCTTCGGATTGTTGCCGCGGCTGGAAAATCTGCGCGTTGATCAAGACTGATTTTGATCTTGGACAGAAAATTACTGTCGGAAAGAAACTTTTTTCGCAAATTTTATCTAGATCTAGAGAAATTATCAATGCGAAGATTCTACGGCACGTGAACGCAATATAAGGGCCGTGATGAAAGAAATATATGCTGATACGGCCGTGCCCACTACGGACGGGATCGGCTGATTGCGCTGATCGCCCGACTCGGTCGAACAACCGTGTTTGCTTTGAAACTGAAGACAAAATGTTGGTGAAAAAATAAATATTATGGGCTGTAGGCAATATCTTCAAACAGGCTCCCAAATGCCATTTTCTACCCTCAAAAAGCACTAAATTCCGAGGTTGTGACAGGCGACTTTCAGACATGAACATTTAGGAAAAATGTGGGTATACGCTGCGCAACCGTATTTTGAAGGTATATCTATTCATTATTCCCAGGTTTGCCTTCTGTCAATGGTGCGACTACAAATTAATTGAATTATAGTAGCAATGAAAGGGGAACCTGCTTTTAAACATTTCCAGCATTGGAAAGATATGCTGGTGATGAAGTCAAACAAGACAAAATGTTGGTGAAAAAATAAATATTATGGGCTGTAGGCAATATCTTCAAACAGGCTCCCAAATGCCATTTTCTACCCTCAAAAAGCACTAAATTTCAATTTCTTCGGGGGCTTCGCCCCCTGAACCCCCACCGGGACGCTGTGGCCCCCAGACCCTCTGCAGAATTTTCCTTACTTTTCAGCTTCAGCTGGTGGAAGCACTGTAAATAAGTAAGAACAGACTGAAATACCAAAGTCACACAAGATCCCAGTGCCACACTGACATGTTGTTGACTGGATATAATGTACCTACATGTGTGTGTGTGTGTGTGTGTATTCACAACATATACATATATTATATTAGATATAAATGGAGTATGCGCTGTCATTGTTATGTAACATGCCCCTGGAAAATGGATGGGGCCCTCCCTTGGAAAATTGAGAAGCTGGGCTGGCAGTCACCCAGTAATTATTTGAAGACTATACTACAAAATGTACATGTGCATTCATTTAAAGACATTTTGACTTTTTATCATTAATAGATGGGCTTTTTTGGGGATCATTCTTGACGCGCAGCAGCCTGATTTTTCCCTCGAATTGGGGTCTTGAAAAAAATTTTGGGGTCTTGAAAAAATTTTCCAGGATTTGGTGGGGACCCTGATTATTTCTTTGGTTGATTTGTTCATGCCATTTATTGTGACGTCACTGGTTCTCAGGACTTATATCACTTTTAAAGAAAATTTGGTGATGGACAAGAAAAATACCCCATCTGGTGAACCAATGAAAAAGCAATGTGTCATTCCTGTAGGTGGTATTTTCAACAACATGGTTTTCTAGACCTAGAAAGTTTGTATAATGTGCAACTGTTACTCACCTATGTTGCTGTGGTATGCAGGAAATAATTGTATAGTCAGTCTTTGAAGGTACTGAACTACCCCCCGGGAAGGTGCTTCTAACCTAAGTGTCTTCAGGCCATTCCCAGAGGGGGGATATCAACCTGTTCTTATGCACAGTAGAGTAGTAAATGGGCTGATTCATTGATGTCGCTTTTTCTTTCTTAATCCTTACTATCGTCATTTTTCCTCTTCTTCTTTTGTATGTTTGTCACACTCTTGTGACCCGTTATTTCCGGGATGCCTTGATAGTCGAAGCAGACTTTGTGCTGTTGAAGCTAGAGAGGAGAGCAGAGTAAGTGTGATTCCCTTAAAGGACTTCTCTGTTGACATCCACCCCTTGGCGTTCATATGATCTTATGCAGTTGCGAGCGTCGTAAAACCTCTACTAAAGCTAAAACAGAAGGTATTGAACCTGCTTTCTACTTTTGCAGATGCCGTCATTTCCTGTGTACACAAGATCTGGTGAAGTGACCTCCTCTGTAGATATGCTGACCTCTGACCTCATCCTGTCGGAAGAGGAAATATCCCAGTTGCTCAAATTTCACCATTTTGTCTTTTCTGATGTACTTCATCTCATCAAGGACCCCATGGAGTTTGACCCTTTGAAAGCTGATTTTGGCTGCATCATCGTGCCTCTAAATGGTGATAAACCTTAAATCTTTTCATTGTTTAGTGTTTTGATTGGTGCTTCATTAATGACCTTTACTATGGCATGTGTTCTTTCTTTTTATCTTTTGAGATTTCAAAAGGTTGTTTTTTTTATTGGCAATGTAAGTAAATCTTGTTATTTTGCTCTTTATATACCAGTGAAGATAATTATTTAACTACCTTGATTTTTGTAAGTCTGAATCCTTAAATTGTATGTGTTATCAGAGAGTAAATAGAGGTATACCATGTTATATGTCACTGGAAAGGTTAGGATAGAAAGTAGTTATTTAGTCTGTCTTGAAAATATTGGATTATTTAAAGGATGATTACATGTGGTGAAAGCACCTCAAAGAAGTGTTAAATATTTTCTTCTTGAAAAATAAATTTTTTGGGTAACCAAATTTGAGGCAAACCAGTCTGTGGATGGGTGAATATTTGATTCTGTAATATGGTGGCATTGGAAATGAGAGAAAAGATGGTAGATGTCCTTGTATTTCAAATATTTTTTGTGTAATTGTTTCATGGTTTAAAATGATGTCTTGTGCTGCTGGAGCGTGCTTCCAAGTCTGCCTCTTTGTGAATGTCTCTGTCTTTCCTTCCTTCACTTGTTCCCCCTTGTTGATTTGTAATGCCTGTATTGAAAGGCTGTTAATGACTTTTTCTAATCTTTTGCTTGTAGGGAGTCAAGATCTCACAATCGAGTGGAGTTTTGTGGAAAAGGTGATCCATTTCATGCAGATGGAGAAAAAAGGAAGTTTCAACAAGCAGAAGAAGAAAGAATCATTTACTTTTGATGTTGAGGACTTCAAGGATGCTGTTGTCATGCCTTCATATCGCAACATTGACCAGCCTCAACACTTTTATGTTGCTGAAATTCGACAGGATTTGAACCCACTCAGCTCTTTTCCATCTCCGGAACTGTACAAAACATTCCAGGTGAGCCATTTATGGTCCCTATTTGCCAAGTACCTAACAGCGTTGTTTCTAGTCTTTTACATTGTGGGGAAAAAGGTTCCTTTCCCTAGTGGGCCCAGTTTGTATAAGTTTGAAGAAAATCTTCCCGCAGTAAAATAAATTTATTCTCAGTATCTGACTCTACGTTCTCCTGTCACTAACAATTTAAAAATTGACTTTGATTTTTAAACAACTGCTTTGAAACTTTTTGTGTATAAACTCAGTGATTGGCTTTTTGTTTTCTTAAATCATTTTTGTGTCACTCAAAACATTTCGGGGTGTTTTAAGTGCTGTAAAATTATTACCAAAACTAATTGGTAACCCTTTGTTACAGGACTACTACAGCACCAAGTATGGCCTAGTGATCACCAACACTGAGCAGCCCCTACTGGACGTGGACCATACTTCTGCCAGGCTTAACCTCCTAACCCCAAGGTCAGTGGAATAAGGCTGTGGGTAGGATGTGCATCACTTGTATAGTGTGTTCAGTTTTGTCTGTTCGTGGGTAAAACTAGATAGAAACAAATCGCTCTATTTAGTCTTTTCATGTCTTTGTATGTGGGTCTAAAAGTTGAATGACCATCAGAATCTAAACCCCTGGTAATGAAGGTCACAGCAAACTATGGTTGTGACATGTTTTCTTTCATGTGATCCCAAAGCGGGGGGAAAAATAATGGAGATGTACAGCACATATTTAAAACTTTAAAAAGTTTACCCAATTTTGTCAACCTCAAACTTTTGCACATGCCTTTACAATATGCTCCAACAGACGTTTGAGAACTTTTCGAGACTCATATGGAGATGTCTTAATGCGTCTTGGGATGAATTTGACAAATTTACACTGAAATGTAGGGGTAGAGTAGAGTCATTATCTCAAAATGAGCAATTTGTAAGCAAAATTATTGAAAATCATTTGTTGTGGTGATCTTGTCTCTGCACGTGAAGGGCGGTGTTTAAAAAAAGAAACTTTTTTATTACACGGATCAAGGTTTTTAAAATATATATGTTTGTTGGTCGCTGATCAACAGGAGTGCAATGCAAAGTTTGGTATGAATTGGTAAATTGATAAATAAGCAAGAATTTCAAGTGGACAGATGAAAGTGAGCAAGCTATAGATGTAGCAGCTTTGTGGTGTGCTATGTGATGTTTCAAGCTTTTTTAAAAACTTACAGAGTTCAGAGACATTGTGACATTGTTGTTTACCTGAAGCAAAGCTTGTTTGTTTTGGGTTTTTTTTAATGGTTTCATTTAAAGTTATAAGTAGTCAGATATTTTTTACTGTATGTGTTCGTTCAAAAAAGTCATCTAAGGAGTAAGACATACTTGGATTGCCAAAAAAAAAATAGTAAGAAACATATTGATATTGTTTCTGTTGAGCTCTCGTATGTGACCAGAAACAAATGAAGTTACTGTGTACTCTTATGTCTCCCCTAGCTCTTACCCAAATGCCATGATATAGATGACCATGTGTATTTGTTTCTTCTGGGTTGTTTTAAAAAAAATGAAATTATAGCTCAGGTGTGACGGTGTACCACTTTTTTTGTCTGTCTGATGCCTACCTATAATGAGAAAGTTTTAATGATTCGTTGTGTTTCCATTTTTCTGTCCCTTCCCAGATATATGAACCAGAAAGGTGTTGCGCTGCCCACCAGTAGTGCAGAGACAAAACGGGCCAGAAGGGAAAACCTGCAGCAGAAGCAGATCCTGGTGCCGGAGTTGTGTGATGTCCATGTTTTCCCGGCCTCTCTATGGCGGAAGACAGTGTGCCTGCCTGCCATCTTGTACAGGACAAACTCTCTCCTGTTGGCGGAGGAGCTGCGCAGAAAAATTGCCAGGGAGACCGGAGTAGGGGTGGAGAATCTGCCACTGGGATTCCAGTTCCCTCAACTTGATTTTGGCTTTGAGACAAATCCTGAAAAATTGAAAGGGCCAGACAGTAATGACGGTGAAAAGAATGATGAAAGCTGCGTAGACCAGAAAGTTTCTGTTGATGGTGACTCGAAAGAAGCGGGTGATGACACTTATGTTGAAACACCACCAGATGATGCCGCAGAAGTCACTTCTGGCAGTGAGAATGAAGATGTAAAAGGAGCAGTGGAATCGGGTCACGATGAAAGTGATTTGGGACGAGATGTAAAAAACGTCAAAGAGAAAGTTGATTCCTCTGCTTCTTCTGACAGCGACTCGGGAATAGTGTCTTCGGGATCCGACTCGAACATAGTGAGTCTTGATCATGGGTCCCAAACGCTGGAGAGTGAAGCCAACCACAAGTCACTGAACATGATTAACAAAGAGAAAAGTTCATTGTGTGTTGAAACTGCTGAGAAAAAACTTTCTGATATTTCGTGCAATGAAATAAAAAATGTAAAAAGAGAGGAGATTGTGAACCAAGATGTGAAAAGCAATTGTATTCCAGTGGCATCGCGATACATCAACTCAGCTCAATGCAATATTTATAGCCCCGAAGGAAAGCAGCCTACTGTTTGTTGCTCATCTGTGGATGTGAAGACAGAAGGCAGCACAAACAGCTGCAACAACTTTGATTCTACCTCGTCTGTGATAAATGAATATACCACATTGTCAACCTTGCCACACTCTCAGTCCAATCATCAAAATTCCACCTCAAGCAGCAAATGCCATAGTTCCATTGAATGTCCCCCTGACCTAGGGGAGCTGCCAGGTCATATTGCAAGCAATGAGCCATGTTTTATCTCTCAAAATGTGCCCGGTTCAATTGGTGCTATAATTGATGCAACAAATACATCATTGCCTTGTTCATCACCTTCATTGTCATCAGTCAGTTTACCTGTAACATCATCTAACTTGCTATCAAAAACCTCTCAAAACAGCACAAATGATTCTACCACAGTGGTGAAGATGGTTTCACCTGTACCTGTGGATGAGGATAGAGAGAGTTCACATGTTGCTCTTTCACTTCCCGCTGAGATAGCTGAAGGTGGGGATCCTGATCTGCCCAACTGTAATCATCAGTCTGATCATAAAGTTCATCTCCGTAATCACAAAGTGCAAGCGGGACAGAGCTCAAAAGAACATGTTAACACAGAGGGGAAACCCCTCGCAGCCGTGCCCTGCCCCAGCTCTTCTCAGGCCCTTCTTGGTTGTGAAACATCCGACTGTGTGGTCAGTGCGCTCCCGAGCACCAGTCTGGTTGCTGCTGATGCACAGTCTGCCTTAGCCTCGGCTGATCATGGGGAGCTGTGCCCGCCAGGCATTAACCGCTGTGATATGGTCCATGCAAGCAGCCCACACCACAGCTGTCTTCTACATTCTGATGATAAAGACCACCCATCTCAACCTCACCATGCTGGCCTTTTGTCTGAGGAAGTCACCGATTGTCATGTTTTGTTGGGAGAAAAGAATGCTGAAAATAATCACCCTTCTCAGGCTGATGCTAGTATTACTACTGTCCCAAGCTCGACTCAGGACCATATCCCAGCTGCCAAAATTGAGCGCAAAGCCCAAGGTACTAGTCAAGATGGGGCCGGTGTTCTTGCTGGAGATGGGAATCTGAAAAGTACTGGCGTCCCTCTCAGTCCACGGGTGCATGAAGCTGACCCTGCAATAGTAATGAATACTCTTGGCCAGGAACTGAGTGACCTTGACATTGATCTCGTCTGCCCTCAGGCAAGCACTTCAGAAACATTCCAGGAGCAGCCATGTGGCTGGGCTAGTGCAGAGTGGAAAGAGCCTCCGTCTAAACAAGGATGTCATCAAGGCTCACAGCCAGACGCCAAAGCACGGCAGACTCAGAAAAACTTGGAAGAAGATGAAAAGTACAGCAGAAAGAATGAAAAGGATTTTTCCTCTGTAGATCCAGCTACTCAGTCTGATGACGTGTTAGGCTCCCAAGCCAATGATTCAGATGTCATAAAATTTTCATTTGATGCCAAGGCTCCTTCAAGCAAAGACACTGATTATAAGATGTTCTCTCCACATTCCCATCAAGGGTCCAATGACAAAGGCAACAGTCATAGCTCAGAATCGTCTCCACCAAACACAAAAACCCTTGATGAAACTAACAAGGGGACAAACTGCAGTGCTTTTAAACTAACTGCTAGCAAAGTAGGAGCAGGGACCAATGGGGTGAAAGAATTTCACATTGGAGTTTGGAATTCCAACAAAAACTCTAAAGTGTTGGCCTCAAAGGACAAGCATAATGAGGCTCAGCCTCTGCGTGAGGATTGCTTACTTCCTCCGAGAAAACCAAGCGTTTGGATACCGGTGGCAAACTACTGTGCTAATGGTTTGCTGTCTGTAAGTCTGGATGCTGATCGTGATCTGAAGACATTTGTGGGCCCCAGCCCATGCCTCATCTTGCAGGCACTGACCATGTCCAATGCCAATGATTTCTTCAGTCTGGAGAGGCTGGAAACTATTGGAGACTCCTTCCTCAAGTACGCGATCACTGTCTACCTCTACTGCTCTTATCCTGGCATTCACGAGGGCACGCTCAGCTATCTCAGGAGTAAACAAGTCAGTGCATTGCTTCTTATTTCTTCTATAAAGGCATCAGGATTCTTAGATCATTTGAGTTTCCCTTTCACTGATCACGTAAAGATAGTGAAATATTTGGAAAAATTCTGTTGTGCCCATTTGTTTTTGTAATAGCACCTAGAAGCTTTTTATTTTCAGTCCTCTCTTTTTGAGCATCACATTTAACAGGGCTAACGGAGGTCAGGTAATAGTGGTTCAGTTTTACCTCTCTGATTCACCAGTTCTCCTGGCATTTTTTGTTTTAACCCTCATCCTGCGGGAGCCGGGTTTATGTAGCCCGATAAGCCTATTTCGGCACCTCGCCTGCGTTCTGGTCCCGAATCAGTGTAGCTCCTGGCTCAGCGCACGCGCATCCTCTTACGTGTCATTCGGGTCCCGAGTCGGATCCCCATTCACGCAGGTCAAGTGTGTGTTCGTCAGTCTGCTTGAGTTTGTGTGCGTTTGTGGCCTTCTTCTAGAACCACCTGCGTTGGTTCGTAATCGAGGCATACGTCTCATTCAAAACATGCCAAGTTGATAGCTCTAGATGTTCGTCCAATGAAATTATAGAAGAAATTGACCCACTTAGACATGAGAAGCTCGAAAGGATAGTCGGGAAACAAGACTATCATTTTTCTATACAAAATATTTCAAATGAGCTCTTGATTTTGTATGAAATGATACTACCTGATAAAAAATAAGCTTGTTTGATAGTTTTGAATACCCTTGTGCAGGTACAAAGAACAATTTGAGTGTAAAACATTCGGAAATTGACCTAAATTATCCCCTTTCGAACCTCAGGTCATTCATAACAACAAGAGCGTCCAGAAAGATTATTCAAATGGGCGTAACTACTCATAATGTCTTATCAGCTTGTGAGAGGGGGTTATTCATGTGTTTGTAACACTTTATAAATAGAAAGCTATGAAAGATAGAGCGTTATTTTCATCATCAGTTAACACACTCCCGCGGTATTCATGGCGAAAACACACGTTTCCCGGCGCGCACGCTGTACACCAACAGTACACACTGAGTGACCCCGGCGGCCTGCCCGGCACGTCCGACGTAATCGGTTGCTGATAAGATACACATCTGGGCACAGACGCAGGATAAGAGTTAATTAATTATCATGAAAATATTGGAAAACTGGCCGGTTATGTCAATTTGTTGAGTGCCTCATGTTATTTAATCAATGTGATGAGGGTTTTTTTTTAAACTAGTGGCTTTTGTTTTGCCTTTCCTTGATTCTATTTTGTGCTTTTGCATCCTCACTAAAATTACCCTCTTTTCAGGTATGTAACTACAATTTGTACCGGCTGGGCAGGAAGAAACATGTGGCTGAGGGCATGGTGTCCACAAAGTTTGAGCCCTATGAGAACTGGCTTCCGCCAGCTTTTGTCATCAATGAGGACAGAAGGAGGGGACCAGTGCCAAAGGTGGTCATCGTTACTCCGGGCTTGAAGCAAAATAATAGTGTGCGAAACTGCTGCGTGGATGAAGCATCTTGTGCAGGTACATAAAGATTTAAGCTTTAGTGTGGCCTAAGTTTACATTTCTGTGTGTGCTTGGTTGTATGTGCTCAGAATTCATCTGAGTTTGTCCTTGGATTGCTATGAAAATGAAATTTAATAATGAAAACTGGAAGGGTTGATTCCAATGAAATGCCAAGCTTTTTCATAATCTTATTTTTAAGATTTGTCACTAACCCAGACCTGCCACTCATCTCGATTTAATCGGGATATCCTGATTTTTTGCCCCAAATCTCAAGCATCCCGATTTTCCCGATTTCAATCACCAGTATCCTGATTTTTTGTTGTTGCGTCTGTTGCATCCATTTCTCAGAAAAAAATAAAAAACGTTCTGCAATCTCTTTTGTTTGGAAGCACCGATTGGACTTCTTATCAGCAGGAACTTGGTACGCTATTTTCTAAGGAAGTTGTTAGCGCTACCTACTCGGGGACTGTACAGCCCCGTAGCGCTGCTTTTGGCACTGGGGGATTACAAAGAAACAACCTATGACCTTTGGATCAAGGTCAACAAGCCATCATTAGACATCAACAACATTTAAATTTCCTCCCTTGACTAATTGACAACACGATTTCTGATTTGACTGTTGGCGATGTTTTTGGCCGCTATGATGTACTGCTTGAAAAAATTAATGAGTATCATATGGTAGAGTCACCCATTGTTTTTGGTGAAAGGCGAATGTCGAAAGGTTTGTTGATCCTGTAGAATTGACGTAGAATCTAGTGTAGATCTAGCGTAATAGTTCGTACTATGTAGATCCAGATCTAGATCCTACTGATACAGTACATAGATCTAGTAATTGTTACGGTAATGGGTGTGGTGGGAGAATCTAGAGCCAAACACGGTTTATTTAAGGGTAATTTATAATTTATGTCGACAGGTTTGTTGATCTAGAATTGGATCTATCTAGATAAGATCTAGATTCTAGATCTAGATCTAGAATCTAGTAGTAGTACTACTTATGACTTTAGACGTTATAGACTACACTATATGGTAGGCCTACACTTTTTTAATTTAAAAGAACGAAATGGCTAGCCGTAAGTACGGCTAGACTGCCTGCCAGTCTAGCCGTACTTAGATCTAGGTTTGGCCCTATCGACTCAAGCCTGTTAAGTACACAGGTCTCATTAGATCTAGATCTAGTAATTATTCAGGTTCAAATACATGCAAGTCAGTAGGCACCTTTTGGTTTTGTCTGAAATACAAATACTTTAGGCATTGCAAACCAAAAATTTCATTTACAATTCAGCCATCAATATTAAGTACAGCTAGACTGACAGTCTAGCCATCCTTAAGTACGGCTAGACTCTCAGTCTAGTACGGCTAGCCAAGAAGTCTAGTCGTACTTAAGTACGGCTAGACTCGTACTTATCTTAGGCCCTATTAACATTAGAAAACGGGAGGTTTAAAATACATGCCCTGTCATTAAGGCACCTTGTTTCGTCTCAAATACAAATACTTTAGGTACTGCACACTAAAAATTTATATTTACAATTCAGTAGGCCTATTTTTTTTTAAAATGGTCAGTCTAGCCATCATATTAAAAATAAGTACGGCTACACTGCCAGTCTAGCAGTCATTAAGTACGGCTAGCCTCTTCCTTAAAAGAATTGCAGTCTGTGTCTATAATATCTAAAATCTAGGCCTAGATCTAGATCTAGATCTAGATCTAGTATAGTAATACCAAAGATTCTCAACTACCAAGATATTGCAATGGAACTTTTAAGGGGACTGCACAAAAACTCAAAACATAAGCGAAATATATCTAAATCTAGGCCTAGATCTAGATCTAGATTCTAGGTCTAAAAAGGGCGGAAACGAAAAAAGCGGGTGAGAATAATATTATGTGGTGTATTCTAACCCAGCCGAAAGAAGGATTGCAGTACCTTGGAAGTAGAGAATCTTTAGTAATACAAATACTAAGTCTACTACTAGGCCTAGATATTATAGACACAGACTGCAAATTTTTAATTGAAAAAGTGTAGTCTACAGTCTATGTCATAAGTAAGTACAACTAGATCTAGATCTGGATCGATCAACAAACCTGTCTTCATAAATGATAAATTCGCCTTACATTAACAGTGTTTGGCTCTAGATCTAGATTCTCCCACCGTACTAATTAACTTAACTGACTTAAGTAGATCTAGATCTAGATATAATGAATCAGTAGAATCTAGATATGTCCAATGATGGCTTGTTGACCTCGATCCAAAGGTCAAAGGTTGTTTCTTTGCAGTCCCCCAGTCCCCTAACAACTTCCTTTTTCTAAAGCATCTATGCGGAATCTAGTAGATGACTCACGCACGTTATTTCAATTAAAACTGACGTAGTATCGATTTTGAATTCCGACTTGGATACGCTCAAGATCTACTTTCGCTTTTATAACCCAGAATTCTCCGATGGTGTCCTGATTACTGTAACAATTATGACATGGGCCTAAGAATAATCTATTCGTTGTTTTGCCGTAGCTTTAAAAGCAAGCTTCGTCTAAGTTTTCGTTAGTTGGGCCCTTCATCAAGACCTGTCAGTGAAACTTTCAAATGCTCATTCGCATCACGTGACATGACCCCGTACGTGTAAGTAGCGCGTGTGTCGGGGACCGTCGGTTGTCGGGTCAACAAAGTTCATTCACACCAGTCGCATTGGTCGAGGTGTTTTCAGGACTTAACCAGTATGGGACGACCGGGGGGAGGGGGTGGGGGTATTTTCTTTACACTTGGGCTTAAAGTGCGTGCCCTGATACAAGTACTAATTGAGGGGAAAGGAATAAGAAGAAAAAATAAATGAACAACCTTGGCGCAATCTCTTTTTCGGGGGGGTGCCTTGAGTGTATATGCGTTGGAAGTCAAACGTTGTTACTGTATTAGAACGTGGGCTTTTTGCATGGATGATTAGAGTTATGTGTCAGCTATTTTCAAGACTACGAGAGTTTCAGTTTTACTGCAACCTGCGCTCCCCCAGTCTATCTAACTCCCGACTCGATTACATATAATAATGCTGTCTTTCAGTTTTCTCTCGATTTAGAAAACTTATTCCTGCAAAAGTTTTGTCTTACATACTTGCCTCATAAAAGGGAACCAGGACCCCCCCCCTTCCCCAGTGCCCCTTATGACTGATTTGCCATTGATCCCGATTTTTTTCACCAGATCCTGATTTTTTAAACTCTAAAATCCTGATTTTTAGATTTCATAGAGTGGCAGGTCTGCTAACCTTAAATTTGGTTTTGTTTTGAAAAATGTAATCCTAAGATCTTACTTGTGACTTTGATTATGTCATTTGCAATTTTTCTTTGTTCATTGCATTTTTTGCTTGTGTACATATTAAACTCTTTCCCACTGTATCCTTTTCTTTTTGTTTCATACTCATAAAAAGTTCATATTCAATATTGCAACATGATTTATATACACTTACGGGAGGGCCGTCATGAAGATGACTCAAAACCAAAAATGATAGGTACAGGCCGAATTAATATTGTTTTTTAAATGTTGGGATTGACAACATCAACGCCTTAGGGATGAATCTTATATTTTATTTTGGGTTTAAAATATACTTTAAAAAAATGTTTCTAAGGTAATATGTTATTTTGATGATAAAAAATACTATGTCATTAAAATTAAATGGTAAGTTGGAGCTAAGCTCTGAAATACCAGGCACTGCATTAATAAAGTAAACTAATGTAATTATGACATCAAGGTGTTCTGAAACAATCAGTCATTGATAGATTTTTTAAAAAGTCTGAAGATATCTAAATTAAAGTCTTGTCAGTAATATTTTTGAGCACTCAAATTGATTCTCTCAATAATTTGTTGTTGAAATGCTTAATTTTGGTTGTTTAAACCAATCTATGATAGACGGGAAGCAGACGACACGACCCTTTCAAGTTCAGCTCATTTATTCTTGGCTTTTTAAAAATTACATGAACATTCCTCTCAACGCAATGATAAGATTTTTCGTATTTATTTATTGCACAAATATGAAAACCAATAGGGTAACAGATAAATTATGTGTACTTATGTTGATAACTGTGTTCATCCTATCAAATGTGCAACCTTTGTTCAGTGGACAGGCCTTCTGTGATCCCCTTTCTGTTAGTTCCCTTACTGTAGGATTTGTGATTTGATGGTGTTTTCAAACCCACACTGCAGGTGGTTGGTGTGTGCTCTGATGTGGTTTTTATTCTTCTTTCTCACCAAACATTCATCATCCTTATCCCTCCATCTTTTCTTTGTATGTTACTCTCTAGAAGTAACATTTCTAATCTTCTGCACGTATATGACGTATTTGTCTTTCAAGTACGTAAAACTCTCACTAAAACATTAAAATATCAACACTGATGTTCTGTGTGTCTGCCCCTGCCCCCGCCCCCGAACCACTTCCAGGTGGTAAGGTATCAGGCTCGGCCCGGCCGGACGAGACAGCTCAGTTTGAGAAGGAGCTGCAGTGGATAGAACAGAGCCAGGAGGCAGAGCAGCGTGAGGACCTAGAGGGGGCTGGGCCGGCCGTGCTCACCCCGTACAGCCTGCAGCGTCACCACGGGCTGCCGGACAAGAGTGTGGCCGATTGTGTGGAGGCACTCATTGGCTGCTATCTCACCACTTGTGGCAGGAAGGCTGCCCTCATGTTTATGTCTTGGCTGGGCTTGAAGGTTCTTCCCAAAAAGAAGAGAGGCAGCAGTGAGAAGGGAGACGCCGATCTCAAGAAGTCTGGAGAAGGGAGACAAGGGAAGACCTCCTGGCAGCAGGTGAGAGAATTTGCTTTTATTGGGTTTGCTTGGTGGACATATGTTCTATTAAACTTCGATGTAATGATATGAGGATATGAGTCCTTACATGTCACTGTATCAGGGTACCGAAAAGCCATGTGGAGCTTGGGTTTTGCCTTAAACATATGAAAAATTCCAATCTGCCTGAGATTTGTAAAGAAATACCAGTGAGGTGCAATTTTTCCTCGTTACTGTTCAGATTTTTTAAAAATGACAGTATGCGCTTCTCAATTAAATCCCATCATTTTCATTTCTACATTTCTACTGAATGGTACAGTCCCATCCATCATCATCAGGGAGTGCCACACCTGAAACAGGCATCTGTGATCATGATTTGCCACTTGTTTCTCTGCTTGGATGTTCTTAAAAAACCTTGATTTGTCATCCTGAATATTATTTTTTATTTCCTTATTATCTCCTCCATGTGCGTGTGACGTTTTCCAGCGCAACTCTGTTTTATCTGGTCTGGTATTTAGGTAAAATTCTGCTTTTTCACCGACTTAATGGATTGAAAGTGGGTTTCATACAGACGCTGCTTATTATGGTTTCTTTTTTCAATGTTCGCACAGTGTTCATGCGTTATAAAAGTCAAACTTAGGTCCCCAATTCTCTTTTCCATCTATTTCAGATTTCTGAACAAGAGTTTGATGAACTGCGTTGCCCACCATCGCCAATGTTTTCCCGCAGCCCCGAGAACATGGTTCAGCTCAATCATCTACTGGAAGGTTTTGAAGAGCTGGAGGAAAAGATCTGTTACAAGTTCCAAGACCGCTCCTATCTATTGCAGGCCTTCACCCACGCTTCGTACCACTATAATACCATCACAGACTGCTATCAGCGGTAGGTGGAATGTGTGTGGGGAAAAATGCCTCTTTGTGTATAACCTTTGACTGATGACTTATTGGCCCTAGTTATGAAAGGGGGGCGGGGGGGGGGGGGGGGAGAAGCTACAAAAGCTATTACATTATCTTCTCAGGTTAGCCATTCTGTGAATTGTCTTGTTAATCAGGAAGAGTTGGTTAAAACACAGGCAGCCCGACTCCTCATTTGTATATTTTGCATGTATGTAGTCATGGTGAGCATTCTTATTTTCATTACTGCAAAGTTTTGTTGTATCTTTTGTTTGACTCAGATTGTTGCCACTACTTTATAATGTATATTGCAGAGACACCACTGTCAGTTTTGAAGCTAAGAATAATTATGTACTTTTCTAAAATGCCCAAAAATGGTTGAACATTTGTTGGTCATGTCATCTCCTTTTAACTCACTCGCAGGCGAGCATTTTATGACTTCACATCCGAAGAAGGCCAAGTGTTTTGACACCTACTGAAAAGAATGATTGTGACCTTATTAATAAACACGCAATAATGAAACTTGGTGTGCAAAAAGGCAGTGAAACATACTTCAAAATGCAAAAGAAATTTCAAAGATAATATCTTGAATGTTAATTTTCAGTGTAATCTTTTGCAAATATGTCAAAATATTTTGAAGAAAAAAGTCCTTTAAGAAAATTAAACAACTGGGCCTGGATTTAGATGTCTAAGTTCACAGCCACGAATCCCTACAGCCTTTAACCAGCCTCTGCTACACTTGGGTCAGCATTGCTGTCATCCTTTTCAAGCACAAGAAAAGTTTATATCCAACCAGACCTATTGATGTAATATATAGGTCCATCAGTTCGAAAATGTTGCAAGGTTCGTTGATATTATGCCATAATGTATTTCCACAACAAAAATCAAAATTTTATTCAGTTATCAAAGGGTGTAATTCAAACAACGTTCAATCGACTTATAAAAGACTGCATGTGTGCACCCTTGAAGACCAGCCCAGAAACACATTAGCTAATAATAAAAATAAATAGGAAACTAGAAAACGAAGGGTTTCAGTAATATATGTACTCCTTTCTATCGATTTCATCTGAAACACTTTGGGTGTGGCAGTAAGTGAGTTATGCTTCTTTGATGTGATAATCCTGCTGAAATACTTACTAAAGTCTGATTTATATTAAATTTTTTTTCCTTCTGTTTATCTAACTTGGTAGTGTGGAGTTCCTTGGAGATGCCATCCTAGACTATGTGATCACCCGACATCTCTATGAGGACTCGCAGAAGTATTCTCCTGGTATACTGACAGACTTGCGCTCGGCCCTGGTCAACAACAATATCTTTGCTGCCCTGGCGGTCAAGTGGGGCTTCCACAAATACTTCAAGGCCATCTCGCCCTCTCTGTTCTCTGTCATTGACAAGTTTGTGAAAAGGCAAAAAGAGAAGAATGAGGATGACATTGACATTGATGAAGAGGTGTGACATTGGTTATTCTTTCTCTGTCTAAATGTAGCTATGTTCTTGGAGTGCTGGGCTTTATGTGAATATTGTTGATATAGCCAATATATATATAATAAATGCATGTATTCTGTAAGTACTGATGATATGAAACCCTTGAAACGATTGTAAGTTTGGATGCTTCGTTTATTTCTCAGGGGAGAAATGTAGCATCTTTTGACATAATTATTCATCATTAATGTGACGATTGGTGACATGCTATTAACGTTGTTCAGTAGACACAATTTTGTAAGAGGTATGATAATGATTTGTTTCTAAAGCATTGAAGTTACCCTTATACTCTAAACTTGAAGAATGAGAAGAAAAACGATGTAAGCAAAGAAGACTGAGTGAAATGTGTTGTTGTTTTTTTTTCTGTGGACAGTTCCGCCAGCTGGAGGATGGAGAGGTTGAGGAAGGAGCAGAAGAGGAGGAGGATGAAGAGGAAGTAGAGATGGAGATTCCCAAAGCCTTGGGGGATATTTTTGAGTCTGTGGCTGGAGCGATCTACCTGGACAGTGGCATGTCTCTGGATGCTGTGTGGCGAGTCTACTACAGGATGATGAAACCTCATATAGGTGAGGGAGCTGTGACCTGGTCTAAGACAAAGTATCTCTTTAGAGTTCAGAGAGTTGTATAGGATATTGAAGGAATTCCTTGTTCTTGATTGGACTGAAATTTCAGGTTCATGGAGTCTCCTTCTGCTTTCTTTTTCCCCCTCTCTCCCGCTCTCTCTTTCTCCCATTTGTCTTTTTTCCTCTCCTTGTCTCTCTGTCTTTCTCCTTGTCTCTATTTTAAATCAGGGCAAAGTCTTTAGAACCTTTACAAAAGATGAAAAGGCACCCTGATGGTGATGGACTTGTTGAGTAGGGCTGGCCAAATTTGAGAGTGACGATTCGCAATTCAGTCGGCTTCAAAGAACCGCGAGTATGCGAGCGCTCGTGGAACTGTGGCGCAACACCGACTGAAACAGAACAGTGTCATGTCAACGCCACTTGGCGAGTGCGAGTACCACTCTTGTTGTTCCGCCATCCTCTCCGCCGCACACCCTTTGTTGCGCTGCTCTATCAACTGACCTCAATTAGTGACCCCATAAATCCCCCCCCCCCCACCCCATGATTCGTTAAAACAATGGCTCCATAAAATGCCTTCTGTCTATTGGTTGGACCCCGTTCATTTTGTTTTAATAGGAGGGTTGGACTATACCATCTTTTGTGAAATAAGGGTAGCCATACTAAGTGTTCCGTTCAGTTCTTGCGCTCGTGAGCAGTAGGTTAAACAAGCCACAAGGTGGTGACAGCGACTGGGGAGTGAATCGGGAATCGTTTGGCGATACTGTTCCGCGTTCCGCTGAAGTGAATCGCGTTCCGCAGGCAAGAGTGGTTTATTCAGTTCCGTTCTCGCGCTTGCGACCCAGCTCTATTGTTGAATGTCCAGTGGTGTTGCTTGTTGAGAAAAGATCCTGTGACAGATGTGGAGATCTTACTGAGTGGTTGGTCTTATGCAAGGCTCATGCAGACATGGCTACTGAATGACTTGTTTTTTCTTTGGTTATTATTTAAAGCTAGTTTTTCTCTGCCCTGGTCTCTTAAAGTAGAAAGGATGTACTCAAAAGTCTTCCCTGATGAGGATGAAAAGGGTGGGTGATCTGTACATAAATTGTGCATGTGAAAGAACACTTTAACTGTTAAAGGTAGAAAAAAGCATGTCTTACCTTGCAATAATCTCATTTTATTACTTTCGAAAAGTGAAAGAATGTGGGAAAATCATGATGACTAGGGGTCCTGGAAAAACTGAAATGCTTGCTAGGTTGGCTATTGAAAGAACACAAGCTCAAATCAGCAAAGACAGTTTCTGAGTTGGAACTTTTGTATATATGATAAATGAATGTATTGTTATGTCTACAATGCATGCATAAATCTTTTTCTGGGCAATCGCTTACTGACCTGTGAAATGTTTCATCTGTCCTCAGACAAGTATTTGAAGAGTATCCCCAAATCACCAGTGAGAGAGTTGTTGGAGACTGAGCCTGAGACAGCCAAATTTGAGTGAGTCAATCTGTTGTGTCTTCATGTTGTATTGATCAATGCAAGGGTTTATTGGGGGGTGGGTTGTCAGCATGAATGACTTATTTCTGTTCAAGAGACTGTTTGTGAGACTATTCTGGTTCCTGATGTACCTCCTGGGATGCAGCGTTTGGCAATTATTTTACAAATATATTTTGTTAGCTTGAAGCAGATAAATGGTATTTTTGAAATACAGGCCACTGTAATTAGAGGTTGGAACAGGAATTTTGTTTTGCTCCGCCAGCACTTGTCAACTTTCAGGAAAACTCTCCAAAGATAAAAAAGAATTGAGATTGTAATAGCATGGGTCTCAATATTCCGCTCCTTAGCGGATTTCCGCTACTGCCATGTCCTCCGCTAAACTCCGCTACTGAAAAAGCGGGTCAATCAGAAAGAGAGTTGCTGGGAGCAGAGTGACTGCCAGGCCTCGGGAATTACCTGGGAATTTGAAAAAAAATCGCCGAGACGAGGGAAAATACATAAAAGATTTCAAACATTATTTGAAAACCAAATCCGATAACGTCTTTAAGTTCATTTTTGCCCGTAGGGATTGTGATGTTAATTCGGCTTTTCCCGGTCTGAGAGTACGTTTCAAGCGAACAGGCGGCTATAGAGGCAAGCGGAATTGTATGTGACACCGAGGCTCGACCGGAAAATCAAGATCTCAGAAATTTGTCTGTAAAAGTCTGAAAACGCAACATTTGTAACATGCAGGTTCTTCATTACAAACGTGGTGTCGCCATGAAAATAATGTTCGTCACTGTGCTGTCGCTTGCTGGGGGGGGAAAAAGGGAAGAAAGTTACACAAGCATTTTGTCGGGCTCGTCATTATGACCGGTCAATGAACCTGCGCGCGTTCTGAGCGCTGTGAAGTACAGGACTCCGGAATGGGGGGAGATTATCGATTTAAAAAAAAAATACACTCGGGGATGGGGGGATGGCTGGACGCAACATTAGTGGACAAAAAAAAGAAAACAAATTGGCAGCAAATTTTAATATTTAGAATTTTGATTACTACTACAGCTCTCTGCAAAGTAAAGTGCACGTTTGTACATGCCTTGTGTATAATCGGGATCCGTCATAACTACTTGTAAGCGTGTTAATGAACTTAGGGCAGAGGCCTAAGTGCTCGCGTTTCATTGGATGGGTGACAGTAAATTATGTCTCTATATTTTAGATTTTTGTTAAAGATTCACAGAATTTCAGTGTCACTGTATCGTGCCCTCCCACAGTTCCTACACCCCTCTCACTGAATAGGTTTACTTGAGCTATTCAAGTTGTTACTCTACTCTACTTTGAGTTTTAGCATTAATTTTGTCTTTCACGTATATTATATGAATCATTACACCCAGACTGGTTCATGACAGTCAATATTCTGGTTCTAGGCCTTTTCCCAGGCTCAAAACAAGATTCATTTTTATATAGTTTATATAGGCGAATATGATGAATGTAAAATATAAATAAGTCGCACAAGACCACAGTGTGCCTCTACTTTCTGTACGTAATCAAGATTGTAAATATTTGGTAAGTGACTCTTACTTGAAATTATCTTCCAAACCCTCAAACTGGTATGAAATAACCTTGCTTTGATAAATTGATGGTTTTTATTTCAACATTCTAGGGTCCCACAGTATAATAATAGTGGGTGTCTCGCAAAAATGGGCTTCTGTCGCGATCACATGGAAAGTTCCTCCTTTTAAAAAAATCTGAGTTGAGACCCATGAATAGACGAAGTGAAATTTCTATCTCTACATGTAATGGGCATATAATTGATGAAATATAATTTCCATCGCTACATATAGTTTTGCTTTTTGCTTTAAACATGAAAAATACCTTGCTCAGTATAATACCTTGCCTGTTATCATGACCTCTACTTGGCAGCAAATGGTTTGATTTCAACTTCAGCAAACTTTAAATGAAGTTATTGGTGCAGAATTGGTTAAAGTATACTTGTCAACTTGAAAAATAGATTGTTTTAACTCATCTGGTCTGAAAAGTCGGTGTTGTATGCATCGTGGTGGAAGCTGCCAGCAATATGTGGTCAACGCTCAGTGATAACCTATTGAGGGGTGCGTGATAGTATATTATTTAGTTATTGACATCAGCGTCAGCTGTCTTTTTTTTATATTTTTTTTTTAAACCTAAAATCAATTCTGAATTTGAAGAAAAGGGAAGAGAGACGCCAAGGGAATGTATGCATGGCATCTGACACACTGCAACAGAACTGTGACAAATGAAATCTGTCTGCCCTCTCTCTTAAAGGTTGTCAGTGCGTGGTTGGTGGATGCTCTAGTGTGGTTTGCTTCTTCTTTCCTATCGGACATCTGTTGTCCTTATCTCTCCTCACTTTTTCTTTGTGTTAATTACTCTATTGTAATAACTCTAATCTTCAGTACTTTTGTAACTTGGTTGGCGGGTGCTCTGCTGTGGTTTCCTTCTTCTTTCCTATCAAACATCTGTCGTCTTTATCTCCCTTCCTTCTTTTTTGTGTTTGTTACTCTCTTGTAACACCTCTAATCTTCGGCACTTATATGACCTTATTGTGTTGCAAGTGCCATAAAACTCTTGCAAAAACAAAATAAAATAACTGTGTTGCAAGTGCTGTAAACTCTTACCAAAACAAATGTTAAAACAATGTGTCCTCCATATCTCCCTTCCTTCTTTTTTGTGTTTGTTACTCACTTGTAACACCTCTAGTCTTAGGCATTTATATGACCTTATTGTGTTGCAAGTGCTGTAAAACACTTACTAAAAACAAAAAAATATGTGTGTCCCCACTTCTTTGTTGCAGGCGGCCTGAGAGGACGTTGAATGGAAGAGTGCGTGTCACTGTTAATGTGGTCGGTAAAGGAGTGTTTAGCGGTGTTGGCAGGAACTACCGCATCGCAAAGAGTGCAGCAGCAAAGAAAGCTTTACGCTCCATCCGCACCATGACTCAGAACTTAATTGGATAGGGCAACCACTGCAAATTGTGATAGATCATCAAGACAAAGATTTAATATAATCCATATTTCATTGACAGATGATTTGAGACTGTGATGGAAGGGAACATATGCTTTGCAAGCTTTGTGATGAATGAAATGTTTCCTTTTGTGGATTCAGGATATATGACGGTGTGTTTGTTTGTGTTTATATTTGTCAGACCTTATGCTGGTCGTGGCTTTGACACTGTTTGACTGACTTAAACATTAGCTTTTGTATTATCTTCATCTTTCTACATTTTCTAAAAGGCAAAACTTTTTTTCTCTCTCTCTAATCCTTCCCCATTTCTTATTTCCTTTCTTTATTTCCTTCCTAGTTTAACTCTGTCATGACCTTCCATTTAAGACATGCGTTACACACCTCTCTTCCATCATTGTCGTCAGCATTTTTGAAAAAATCAATCATACTTCATAACAAAGTACCAAGCATCAAAATGTACCATAGCACAGCTCTGGTTGAATTTTATAATGCAAAAAAATGTTTTTAACCCACTGGGTATTACTGACTCCACAGTGAAAACCTGCTTCAGGACTTCACATGGGAAATAACACTTTGTTTTTTCACACTTAGTGTGCTGCTGTAAAAAAATCTGAAAACTGCTCAGAGCATGTATACCATTTTGTACAGAAATAAGTTTAACATCAAATAGCTACATTTGTTATCATGAATAATTACAAAGTACACTTTGTTTTAACTTAACGGTAAGTCCTCTTTTCTCATCAACTAGGTATGACTGGAATGACAGTGTTCATTATTGTTATCTCATTCATCTATAACAGCTGAGGGAGCAGTTTACTGGTCTAAAAAAAAATTTTGATAAAGAGATATGGGCAGTCAGGGGAAGCCATGTTTGAGTTCACTTTCAACTGTCACTTTGAAACTTCCTGTCAGTAGTTGACTACTGTTCAAGTGGAGGTCACTCCAGTAAATAGATTCTACAACAAAAGGATTGTACAAAGGCTACTTTACTTTCGTGTAAAATATCAAAGCAGATATAAAGCATAAGTTCAGCTTGGAATTAAACAGTAAAGTCAAAACCGACACAAGTGTAGCCTCAGTTACAGCAGGTGACTTCTTTTCCCAGACAGACCCTTGTGTGGCTTTAGTACTTTAGTAGTGAGTGAGTTACCGTCCTCTACTTCACTAAGTTTTTTGTCTTTCTTGCTTTTGACTACTTGCCTCTCTTTTTTTTTTTTTTTCTTTCATGAAGTCCTTGTATTATCAAATTGTGAATGAAGCACAAATGTAAACAGGGTATGAACTGTTTCTGATCTTTGGAGGGCTGTGCTCAAGAGTCGTTTATCTGCATTAATGGCTCATCCTAGTCATGAGTCTTTGTTGCTTGTTTTGTTCTGCTTTTTTTTATATTTTTTTTTTTATTGATTAATAAAATGCGTTTGTGCTGTTTAGTCTTTACAAGACTAACCTTGGTTTTTTCATGGTTTTGTTTTAGAATAATATGTTTGATGAATTTTTAACCCATTCCTACCTATATGCCCTGTAATTGCATTCTTGCAACCAGTCATTATTGGAGTTGACCCTGGACTGCTTTCAAGGGAAATGTAATTCAACCAGCATTGTCAACGTGACTTGATTTGACAAGATCTTCTGGCTTCTGCCATTGTTTAGTTTTGTTACTGGGCTACTAGAGAGCAAATCAGGATTGTTTAAATCTTGTGCTGTTATCAGCACTTTGTGGAACTTTTTTTTCAAACATCTTCAACTTTTTTCTCCACATCGAGCTTGAATCTAGATATTTATTTTCTTCTGTATGGTTGTCATAGCAATAAAGGAGAGGGCAAAATGAATGAGGAGTCAATGCCAGGTCAGAAGCAGGAATCGGACATTGATCATGATTCAGATCTAGATCTAGTTGCTAAACGGGATAGTGAGGACGAAAAAGAAGAAAATATAATTAGAACTGATCAGTGAATCACCCTTGACCTACCAGGAAATGGGGATAGGTCTAGAAACATTCACTGCTCTCTGAATTATTTTTTGTGTTCTGATTCTAATTGTGTTCTTTATTGACCTGAAATATTGAGGTCACTATCCTATGTTCATCTTACTTAAAGTTGTCAAACTTCATGTCACTGTTTTATGCTTGGACTTGAAAAGACATTTTGTCAGCTGCTCCCTGTGCACAGTGTGTGTTTTGACCAGCCTTACTTTCTTCGCACACTGCATGGTGCATGATTACTCTCAGCATTTTCCACAAGTTGAAACAGACAAGGTAATGCTCTGTACACAAAAACTATATGTTTGATTTAATGGTTGTAAAGCGCGTAGAGCATGCTGTAGAGAATGGATATCCGCTACATAATGCAATTATTATTATTATATTTGTTATTATTATTACATTTATATTAGTGTTATTATTATTTTTATTTTTATTATTATTAGAATTTCCAAACGAAGTCCCTAACATAACTGCAATCAGAGTTGGATGGAACAATGGCCGCCCTGACAGTGCCTGGGATCAGAGTTCAGTGACTTTTCAGGATCGTATGCAATTTTTGCTATCCTTTTGATTTTTTTTTAAAAAGGATAAATTTTGATATTCTACAGTTCTCTTTGTATAACAAAAGTATGTTTCTCTGGCTGCAACAAGAGCAGATGCAAGAATGGTTCTGGTTATACTGCATGCTTCTGGGACAAAAATAGTGGTATCATGAATATTTTATGTGATGCAGATTGTACATTTATTTCTTGCTTTGTGGTCAAGATATTTATTATTTAGTTTGTTGTTTGCTTTTTGGTGTTTCTAGTCTGTCCATATTGTATATTACGCTTTAATGTTATCTTTATTTGTCAAGAGTTCATGTTGTTTTATCAGCTGTATTTGTGTTAATGTTTTGAAGATACTCTAGTATGGTCTCTTGTAATTGGTGTGAAGCCAGTAAGATCAGACACAAAGGGTACGGAAAAGATTCCTCTCAGTCGGTGAGAGCATCAACAATCTTCATACATGTTACCTTGGGGCAAAAGCATCTTAAGTTTTGTTATACTTATTATTTTCTGCTGAAACTGATAAAGCTGGTGGAATGTTGTGAAAATGAACGGTTTGGAACCTCTGGTTGTGCGGTCAGTTGAACAGATATATTTGGATGTGGAGCCGTTTTATTTTTTCCTTCCCTTGTTTGACTTTTCATGGCAGATGTGGGTAGAAAAACCTTGGCTTTGTCATCATTGTGTTTGTGAAGGAAGCCTGTGATCATTGTCAATGCAGCCAGGTGAAGTGAGGCACTTCTGGAGAACTGAATGTTTCAGTTGGTGGGGAGAAAAGATCAAAATGATGGATATTTTGTGAAATGTCTTAGCTACGATTGGTAATAGTTTGTGATTTGTCCTTTCCTCTCAACGTCCGATGCATTGCTCAAATCATGTACATGTCATGCATTGTGTGAGCTGAGTCTTGCCCTGTTGTGGGCAACCTCCAGAAGGATTGTCATCTGGAAGGATTTTTTTATTGAATTTTTTATTTGAGTATAGTAATTTGGAAGTGGTGTACTGTTGTTTGAGCTTGAGATTTCCCCAGCTATCATCCTGGTTGGCCTGAGATACTTGAATGGCCATACTTGGCAGCCAGTGGCTTTATATACCCTTGCAAGCCTATATATGCAATCATATACTGTGGGTTGGTGGGTTTGTCTAGTTATCAGAGCCTTTTTTCTACCAGTTCTGCCAGACACATATACATTGTTGGTTTGGTGGTACTCTGCTGTGATTTGCTCCTTCTTTCCTATCAAAGTGTTAATCAAAATCTGTCTATCCGTTTATCTCTTTTTTTTTTGTATGTAACTCTTGTTACTCCTCTAATTTTTGGCACTAATGTGACCTAATTGTGTTTTTCAAGTGCCAGAAAACTCATACTAAAACTTAAAAAATCTGACACATTCAATTCATCTCTTCTGGGTATGCTGGCACTGGTTTGCAGTGTTTTCTGGTTGCCTTTCCTCAGTGAGTGGGTGTGGACCACACTTGATGCAATCCTCTCTTCTCCCTACTCCTACCCAAACTGCCTTACTTATAATATTTACATGTCACCTTATATCTTTTGGTGAACAATGATGATTAGCTTAAAAGAATAGAAAAAGAAAATGAAGACAGATCCCAAAGGTGTTACAAGTTAAGATTAAGTTGGATTAGTTATGGCTTGTTTTAGTAATTGTGTTCATCTGTGCACTCATCAACTCATCACTCACTATTTGTGATATGATAGGCATGGTAGAAGTCTCCACTACTTTAAGGGGAGATTAATTTTATTCAATCATGGGTTGTTCTTTCTAGTGCGAATAACACTGTTTAGAACATTTACATGTTTAATTAAATTTTAAAGTAAAATACATAAAGTGAATAGCTTAGCTCTGGGTACATTAATTCCTGCTATGCTTACTTTCTGGCTGCAACACCCACCTGACTTGCTTAATAGTATCACAAAACCAGACCGCTGACTCGTCAAGAAAGGATTTTACCTGAGGGTTGGGTTGGTATTTGTTGTTAGTCTTTCTTCTTGTTTTTTTTTGAGATGGTATGACTTTACCCCCATTGGTTCAAGGCATGTATAGATCAGATATGTGACCAATGTAATTGAAAGTTCGATAGAAGGTCTTTCACTTTAGCCTACAATATTTACATACTTTAAAAATGTTTTCTCTTTTTGCAATGGAATCCAAGTATGACAAACCCTGATGTAATTCAGTTTCACATAGTTTTATAGTTATTTGTTGCAAAACTCCTGCACCTGACATTTAGACAGTTTTACGGAGAGCAGAAAATCTGTCCAGATTCTTATTTCTAAAGATGAAGTTATAACTTTTGGAGTACCATATACATTATTTACACTTATCTTGCATATACTGTGCTGTTTGCCATTTTTAACAACTTATTGTAAATGAATAAGTGATAGCAGTGAGTTTGAGGAATTCATTTGGAGAATGTCACAAGCCACACACAAAAAAAATGACGTGGTAAACTCCCATGAGCCGCTTGAATTATACTTATACCTGCACGAGTTACACATCATGGAATGATTCATTACGTCACGTTTAATTTGCTTTCAGGAAGTGTTTATCAGTGAACGAGGCTGAAGCACCTTTTGTTAAAGCTAAAGTAGAGGAAAAAAGAAAAATGCAAATGTATGCAGCTGATAGCTCTTCTTGTAAAAGAACATGCCCTTATTTGTTATGCCTTAAAGTTTTTAAGACCGAAACCATAAAGATTGCAATTCTTCTTTTCTTTGCATGTTACTCTCTTGTTGTCACCTCTAATCTTTATGAAGCACTTATATATATTATGTCTATTTGTGCAAGTGCTGTAAAACTCTTAAATAAAACAAACAACCCTCGTTTTATTAAATTGAAAGAGGCTGAAACAGCTTGAAACGACTTATTTATTATAAAAGGAAGCCTGTTGAACCTCGTAGGAGTTCCCACTGTTGTGCAAATAGTCCTTCTTCCCTTCCCCTGTATTGTGGTTTTTATCTCTTCTTTCTTGCTTTTCCCCAACATGAAATGATCAGTATTGTATTGATACTGTTGTTGTTCATGTTTGTTCAGAAACTTGAACAACACAGATTGGTAGAACAAGCTCTTCTGTTGGTGAAATGATCAAATACAAGAGTATATTTATTGTTGCTCTTTCAACTGTTTTCTTTTTTTTTTTTTTTTTTTTTTTAAAGTGCAACCATCATTCTTCTTTTTGTATTGCTGTAGTCATTGACCAACAGTTTGTTTGATATTTTGTACAGTTGATCCTAGAGATGAACCGACTTTTTATTGTGTGCTTCACTCATTTCCGGTAGTGAACCTTTGTGTCTGATGCCTTTTAGCCTACCTGCAGAAAGGATAGCGTCTCTTGCTAAAATTACATAATATGTCATCTGCCAGCTGTTCAGATGTGCTCCCCAATTTTTGAACACTTTTTTTTTATAACAGTTTCTTAACTTGTGGTATCGGATGCATGTGCTCAAGAAATATCTTGTGAAAATTCAAATTTTAAATTTGGAGAAAAAACAAAGCAAGAAATACATTCTGTAGGTACAGATACAATAAGAAAAACAATTTTGATCTCTCTCCTGAGAAATGTTGCTTTTTGGACTTAAAACAGATGAACAGCTTGCTGACATTGTGCATTTTGCAATGTAAGTTCTTCTGTCCATCTTTCTAACAGAATTGTTATCTCTTTTTTTATAATGAATATCTTTGTACTTCCTGTGTTGATGTTGTTGGGAGAAGTTTAAGTATACCAATGTTGTTCAGAGCACTGTGTATGTTGTTCAGAGCACTTTTTGTTGCCATGGATGGTAGGCAGGAAAGCATTAATGTGGCTCATATGTTGGTATCTGGCTTTTCTGTCTTGATTTTGTGCTACATATACTCAAAGGATGACCTATGATGGACTGTCTAAGCAAGGAACTTTGTAGTAGACTGCTCCAGTTATTGGAATGTCTAAGTGAAAAAAAACTTGAGCGTTTGACTAAAATAATTTATTGTAAGTGTTTTTAACACAATTTAGATCCCAGTCATTTAGGAGGTGGGCTTCAACCCTGCCTGTTAGTGTTAGCGTCAACCTTGACATCAGTTTGCTGGACTCAAGCTGCCCTACACAACTTTGAAAACATAATCACTAACAGCAGTGTGAAGGATCTGACTGAGTTTTATTTTTGAAAAAAACGTATTACGTTAGGGAAAAGTCTGTTCGACTACATTGTCCATTACTTGTGTGTGTTTCTGCTGGATGTTCAGTTTTTAGTTAGCTCCGTTTCAGTACTTCCGTGGAATCCTTGTTATTTTCTCATTCCTGTAGACTTTGGTGTAGGTGAAGTTTCTTGACTGTGCTGTCCCGAGTATTTATGATGGGGTCTTCTTAACACTTTGCCGCCTCATCTCACAGATTGGCGATGTTTACCACCCAGTTTCTTCGGATTTTCCCCAGAATATGATGGCAAAGTGTTAATGTACAACGAGCATGATATTGATATATTATAACAGAAGTGTGGCCACACAACGTAAGTCGTGTGCAGAGGTGACAACACTGTACACCATGTGACACAGCACTGTATGTCAGGTACAGGTGAAATGTCATACGCCATATGTAGAAGTGACACCCAACCATGTCATGTGTAGAGGTGACGCAAACCATGTGTCATGTATACATGATATGTCGTCATACCGTACATCATGTGTAGAGGTGATATGTCGTCATACATCATGTGTAGAGGTGATATGTCGTCATACATCATGTGTAGAGGTGATATGTCGTCATACATCATGTGTAGAGGTGATATGTCGTCATGCATCATGTGTAGAGGTGATATGTCGTCATGCATCATGTGTAGAGGTGATATGTCGTCATACATCATGTGTACAGGTGATATGTCGTCATACATCATGTGTACAGGTGATATGTCGTCATACATCATGTGCAGATATGACACATCATATGTCATGTTCAGAGGTGACACCAGACCACATGTCATGTATATATGTGATATGTCGTCATACATCATGTGAGAGATGCCACAATATATGACGCGTCATATACAAAAGTGGCCACAATTTTCCAACCCTTTTTCAGCCTACCTGCTGGCAGAGATCAAGATTTCCTCTGACATTATGGCGGTCAAGTGCTTTGATGTTATACATTACCTGTCTTCAGAGTCAATTATTATATTTAATCTATTTACAACAATGACAAATCAATTAGAATGAGAGTTGAAGACAACAAAAGGATGAGACAGTGTGAGTGACACCTTGTTTTTGAGAATTGGGAAAATAAATATTGATGAATGAGAAAGATGTCAAAAGTACGTTGTTTTTTTAAAATTTACTGTTGTACGAGAACTTTCTTGAACTTGATTCTAGTTTATGTGAGGGTGAGTGTTGGATGGTGGGATGTGTTTGAAGATGGACCGCTGTGTTGTCTGTGAATTATGTTTGTGTTTGTGCATATCACAACCTCAGTGTTTTCTTGTCGTATCTCCATTTTTAATAACTGTGAAAACAGTTCATAACGAAGAGTGAGCTTAAGAAGAAGTCACATTTTCACTATTTAAAAAAATGGAGATACAACAAGAAGGCACTGAGGTCACAACATGTTTAAAAGCGAAGGTATGGGTCTTGAATACTTGAATGTAGAACTGGGGCCCTAGGAAGACGGGGTGCTCCATGCTTCCTCTCCCCTCTTCATAAGGGCCCATTTTCAGTGTGGGCAGGCTGATTGTCTCCATCATCAACAGGTTGTTGTAGCATCTGATGGGGTCACACAGGTTGCTCCTCCTTCCTTCACCAGGCTGAAGCACTCCTTTCTCAATCACATTCTCCTTCGTGAAGGAGTTCCCTTTACAGCTGCTGGCTAAGCGTTCTTGGACAAAGGCTATTACAGTTGGAGCATCAAGGGTAATCACTCCCTCTATGTTTGCGGAGCCTGCTAGCTTATCTGCTCTTTCGTTACCCTTGATTCTTGCATGTCTTGGGCTGAAGATCCACTGTAAGCGTCTGATTTGGCTGTCGGTCAGGATCTTATCCAGGGTACTCATTGTGAGTAAAATAGGGATCGGGAAGTAATTACTCAAGAGGGGTGGTTGGCGTGCTCTGATCAATGGTTTATCATATATTTTGGCCTTTTTGTCGGGATGTTGTGTCCTCTCAGCCCGGATTGGCCCTGACAGGTAGGGTTGAAAGCCCATCTCCTTAATGATCTAAATTGCGTCTAATGGGGAAATAAATTACCCATACTGGTATGAACACATCATCCCGACATTGACACTGTTCTGATTGTGGAAAATTCTCAGAATAGCGTTCAAAGTTCACAAGTGAAGCCATAAATAAGAAAGTTTAACTAACCATATATAATTCAACCCTATCCGTACGTCGTGTTTTACTATTATATCAATATGATGTGGGGAACTCTGTGCCCCCTCTTTCCAAAGTTTATTTTCACTTACGATTACACTTTCTTGTGGAATCTTGTTTTGTTTATGACCTTTTCGCTCACAAGACTAATTATTTTCAAGGAAATGCTGAATCTTTGTCCCTTTTTCCCGTTCTTTGTTTTGCCTACCTTCTGAAAGAGGTGGGGGGGGGGGGATTTTCCAGACAGTCTTGGTGTCTATTGAAAATACCACTCCACGAGTCCGATTCCCCCTTAAATCTACCCCGAGCTAATTTGTTGTTAGTAGTATTAGAAAGAGTTTCACGGCACTTGCAACATAATAAGGTCATATGTGTCAGGACACAGTGGAATCAGGCACTCATTGATTTTTTGGCATATAAGGGTATTGGTTTCATCTCAAAACCTGTTCATTTGTCTTGTAATATTTGGTGAAAAAAATAGTCATCTATCTTGAATAGTGGTCGAGATATTTGTGATTAAAGGAGGAGGGGTTGCCCTGTTTCAGAGGTAAAATAAGCGAGAAAATGGCCGCCAAAGTTTGGTTACTAAAATAGCTTGAGAGTCCTTGAAAATGATAAATTACATTTTGTGCCTTTAATCAACGTTTTTCTGTGAAATTCGCATAGAAATGTGTTTTTATGTGGACACGAAAGGTATTGAACCAAAAAACGAAAATTCTATAAGTTTCCAAACTGGTGGAAAAGTGCCTGTTTCTTCAATTCCATTATTTTGAATAGCGCCTGATTTCACCACGCTGACTCACATATACCTTATATATATATAAAAGTTTAAGTGATGAAGTTAAGAAGTCTTACTACAGACAGTAAAAAACACAAAAAATTAAAGGAGGAAAGATCAGGGCAATAGATGTTCAAGTTTGATAAGAAAGAAAGAGCAAACCACACCAGAGCACTCACCAACTACCCTCTAGCTAATTTGTGAGATAATGTAAAACTGTTAAAAAGAAAGCTAGTCATAACTATTCTAAATACCTCAACTGCGTCACACAGCCTGCTGATTCAGATTCCAGGAACAAATAACTTAGCTGGCTTTGCTTGTCTGCTCTTTCTAGTACATTTTTTTTTTTTTACAGAGTTCTAGATGGTAGAGCTTCATTCATGGGGATGAATCGATTTACAAGAAAGGGCAAAATGTCTTGATTTTTGGTGTATGAAATGTCCTTTTGATGTGCAGATTTTAACAAGTGTTGATGAACAGAAAAACGTGTTTGTTTGAGAAAGAGAAGCACATCCACACTCAATAAAGGTCAATGGGTGCTGGGAAAAAGCAAGTGGGACAGACAGAAACAACAGAGGGTTAAAAAGTACATGTAGTAGTAGTACATGTACATGTAGTAGTAGTACATGTAGTAGTACATGTAAGATCTTCCACTGGCACCCTCCATCTGCAGAAAGGCTAAATTAACCGAAACAATTTATAATGAAGAAAAATGTTATATTTGACCCTGAACAGCGATCTTCAGGTGCAGTTCCCCTCCTTTAAACAACAGGCAGGCATGCCTTTGCAATCAAACTTTGCCTGTCAATATTGCAGTGCATAGAATTTGTTAAGTGTTAATCTAGCATTTGGAGCCACAAACTCCTCCCCCCCCCCCAAAAAAAAAGAAACCAACTAACAACTCAGACCAGTCCAGCCTTGAATTATTGTCCATTTAAAAGTAATTATAGTCAAGCTACTGAATGGACAGCTCACATGAACTAGTTTTCATAATAGACCACTAATTTGAAGAAATAATTATTGGACCAATGTCACTTTAAGATTCCAATACTGAGAGCAAATTACTTACGCATGTTCCCTTCCATTGCATTTCTTTTCAATATGCATGCAAGTCTTTCAGCAAGCCAAAATGTTGCTGGTTCAAATAAAAAAATGAGCACAGTGTGACACATCGTACCTTTAGACAACAGTGCACACACCAAATAAAGAACTTTCAACACCGCCACGCCACAGGTGATAGGATGGGTTAAAATTGGTGCAAGAACTAAAGTAGAGACTTGATGGATTGAATGTAGCCCTGAGGTGTTCTACTAAAAATATACATGTATTGTGAAGACGGGCACTACTGAGTTGTCCACTTCCTATTTACAGTCGGGTTCAGATAACTCCAACAAGTTGGGGATCGACAAATTAGTTGCGACACATCCATAATTTGGGTAACCTGATAAGCCAAACATTACAAAGATATCGGTCGAAGAAAGGCAAATTTACGAGCTATCCCCGATTTCAAGTTCTCCGTATTCACGTCATCTGTGTTCGACTGTAAATGAAATGTTTATATCTATACTGCATATAAGAACTTGCTTGTTTAATTAGATAGAATAGAAGCTCAAGGATACAGTAATAATGACTAAAATCTAAGAGCAGGGAAAGAAAAAGACAGACCTAAACAACTGGGGGAGAGAAAAGGAGAAGGACCTCCCAGTTTGTGTATTCCTTCCAACAAATGAAGAAGAGCAGGTGAGGTAACTGATCAGTTTGTCCATGGTCAACACTTTTTGGGCCTTTTCAACCTCCAAGACCAAATACAAAACTACTCGAAACTCATCCTTTATACCATAGCCTACATTTTATGGAGAACCCCTCCCCCGTAAAACTGGCAAGACTAATGACAATTTACTCAGTCATAAGCTAAGCTCACAGAACATAATCTTAATCCTTTTAGTTTGATTTTCTATTCACAAAATAATCAAATTTTTTGTAGCTGTTTGGGAAGCCGACCTGGTGGCTGTAAAAACCTTTTTCAGATTTTGACCCAAAGAAAGGGATAAATATAGGAATAAAATTAGGACACACAAGGGACTGAAAGCCACTTCAATCAGTATTGATTGGTTTATTATATAAACAATGCAATGATAGCCAATACAAAGAGACAAACCTCTAAATCAATGCCTATAAAGTTGCCTTTATTATGTTTGAAGGAAGAAAGAACAAAATCTGGATAAGAAACGAAACTTATCTGCTGAAGGAAATGAATACCGTATCACATACAATATTGCTTGACAAATTGTCAATCTGTTCAAAACCTAACAAGCGACATAAGTGCTTACCAAAAATATTTAAAAACTTAATATAAAAAAATAAAAGTGAGCTATTAGTAATAGTATTACTGGCAAGTCAGATTATAAAAACAGCTGTCAAACTATATCACAAGTTACTGTTAATAAAAATTAGATTATAGAAGCAAGTAAACGTAACCGGTGTAAGTGATTTCAATTTGAACATCTCTTGTTTTGTGTTTCACAGCATACCAAAACAGATTAAACTCAATCTTTTAGTCTACCAAGCAGGTTTCTTCACTTAATTTTGTACTTCAGTTTGAAGCAATAATTATTAAAATAAAAATCAGCTTTACAAAGGAATGGAAAGGAGAAGGAGGATGCACAACTTGGGTGAGTGAGGAATAAAATATGATGGGATCATTTTCAAAAGTCTGGAGACTGAGATATTGCTATCATTACTCTTCACTTGTTAAAGTTACTTTAAAATTTAAGCAATTGTTGAGAATTGTGGAGGAAATGGCATAAAATATATCCAGTTTCTCAACCACTCAAGCTTATATTTGTTATAGAGGGAAAAAAAAGGTAAAACAAAATTTCCTCATGAGCAAAACCACAATATCTTAAGAATGTGGCACATACTATAAGATACAATATGTAAGCAGAAAACTGTTAGATATATGTTTTTTGGTACGTACTAACAGAAGGAGAAACTGTGTATCAGCAAAGGCAAGTCAAGCCTCAAAGATGCATCATGCAGAAAAGACCATACAATGTCAACTAGCCACTATTAATACCTCCACAGACTTTCGGCATCAATAGACAAGAACAAAATTTAACAAATTACACAAAAAGGCACCAATTGGCATTTCTCAAAGGGTGGGTGTGTTGATGGAAGAGTGAACACAGAACTGAGACCCACAAGACTTCAAGTTAGGGAAAAAAGATTAGTATATTATTTCTAAATCAAAGAATTCTTAAGGAAATGAAAATAAAACAAATTATGTTAGAAACTCTCCCCCACCAGAACAAATGTACACTCGCTAAAACAAGCACACAAACCACCCCCACCCACCCCCAAAAAAACCCATACAACTCTTCCATCATAAAAAGCAAAAAAAAGTGGAACCAAACCCCCCCCCCCCCCCCCCAAAAAAAAAAAATCCACAAAAGACAAACAAGTGCTCTTGTGCAAGTCATGTCCTCTGACATGTGTGTCAAGGTCAACAACCTCTGACCTTGTACATGAAGGTCAGTGTTCTCTGACCCTGAGTGTGACAGTCAAGAATCATTCCACAGAAGCAAACACACAAGACATAGCCTCTACCTGCAGGCTAACAGCGGCCAGAACAAAGCCTAGGTCTTTCCCAAACAGTTTCTCCTTCAACTATGAAATTAATAGAAGATAATGCGCCTAAATTCTGCTGAAGAAAGCAATACAATTACTTATCTGAAATCAATAGAATAAAGATAAACACACAAAAAAAGGCTGGGAAAAAAAAAGGATTGGCAAAGGACAGGCAGGAGTGAAAAATGGAACACAAAGCATATCATTTTAATAATTCAGCATAAATCCATTCAAGAATAAATATCTCATACCAGTAGTCCAATAAGTTATTTTACATTTCTGATTCAAGACAACATTCAATAATAAACATATTCATTTATTCTTAAGTGCACCAAGATCTAAAAGAGAGTAACACAGCTGCTCGTCTTCAAAGAAGCTATCCAAACGACAAAGCGACTTATTCTTTGAAAAACCTCATTTCCCAGGGGCTTCTTGGCTGCTTTCTATTCTTATTCCGACATTGTTGTAATGGAACTTTAGTGCCTAAACAAGCAAAAACAGGGTACCAGTGTGAGCTGCATTTTTTTTCTTTATTCAACATCGATTATATCTCACAAACCAATGTCTAAAATATAGGAGAAAGATTAAAGTGAATAATAATCTTTCCTTGAACATTTTTCCTCTCCATGAAATAAGTAAACATCCATCCAAAGTAATTCTCCACCCCTCCCAAGATTAAAAAAGAAAAGCATTCAAAAATGGAAATCGTAACACTCCAGAATTTAACAAGTGATCATGTGCTCAAAATGATAACACAGATTGGAATTCCATTAACTTCACAATTTTAATAAAGAAATCAAGAAACCAATCTGAGCAAACAAGCAATAAAGCATCTTGTATTTGACACTAACAGTGTCCCCGTGCCTTGAATATTGAGCTCTCATTTCACCACAAACAAGCTGAAGGACAAAGGACATTGAATGAAATATTTCACAACAACATTAACACGACTGCTTTGTTCATTTTAAACTTGTCAACATGATGTTTCTTGACCCATAAGTGTGTGTGTGTGATAGGGACTCGGAGGTGAAAACAAATCACTTCCATTCAAAGTTTGTCTAAGGAAAACGATAAAAAGAGTGGGGATTTCAAAGCTAGCCAAGATGAGGGGGCAGTAAATGAGCAATACAGCAAGGCTTTTCCTGTTTTGAGGGAATTTTTTTTCTCCACAACAGGACAGCCTTTTGATTCTTCCTGATATGCTGTAAAATATATAAACAGATCATCCTCCTAATAGAAATAAGAAGGAAGCTATAAAGAACTAGAACAAAATGTTCTTGTATGTCAAGGTGAGCGAGGGGGAACGACATGCCAATTGAACGTGACACTGGCACTTCAGAGGGGAGAAAGATAATGACCCGCAAACCTTTCATAGTTTGATAGACAACTATGACCCTTAACAAACAAGTATAGATATATTTCTAAAAAACAAAAAAACTTATACAATGGAAATGAAAGGGGTTCTCATGAAGACTGAAGCACAATAGAATATAAACAATACAAATAAAAGTTAAAATGTACATTTTCATTTCTAGCACAATTAAGGTATACTTTTGTCCATACCTTCCATAGCGATTATCAATACATTCCCGAGGTGCATACATAAAACTGACAAGCTGCATTTCAATGATAAATGTTTTTTAAGAGGCTGATCACCACTACAATAAATATCTCATTCCTCGCAAATGTCACTTACTACAAAGTCCGACTGAGTTGAAATCTAACAGATGTTTCTTAAGTCTTTAACCACAAAACAACCTGGTAAAAATCCCACTTCTCTTAGCTTCATTCCACCGACGCCTTTGGAAAAAGGGCAAGTGTACCAAATATTCCAGATTCCACCATCCACATCAGATAAGTACAAGTTTCACTTTAAGCCAATAGCAGCCAGGACCTACTTTGTAGCAAGCTATCTTTGCTTTGGAACGGGTCAATTTGTTTTTAAAAACCCAACTCCATAAGAATTAGTAGTATGTAAACACACCGATTCCAATTTATCAAACCAAATCTAGACTCAGAGCATGCCTTTAATATACAGTAGATTTTGTTTAACACGAACCTGTTTGACACCAAATTCCTGTTAATGCGAAAAATGTGTAAATTTTATAACCCCGTTCTTTCCCCTTCTTTATTCTATGCATTGCAACTTCTCTTAAAACAATAAGAAATTCCAGCTGATTAACACTACTCTCTCACCACCTGCTGTTTACAGGAAATGCGTGGGAAAAAAAACCTTGAGATGAGACACTATGTGTAACTGTCAACCATCCCTAATTCCAAAAATGTCACACACCTCATTAGAGGCAGCCCAGGGTGTTACCTTAAAATGGGTATAATTCAGTCAAATATCGACGGATATGTTTGAGTGTGAACTCAAACTCTACGTAATTAGACAGAGACTCACAGTGCAGGTGAAAATAGCTAGTAAATGTAGCACAGGAGTAGGGGTAGATCTTGGGGTTGATGAAATAAGTGCCCCCCAAAAATGCCACTTAGGTGGAGATCCACTAAAACGCGGAGCCAAATATGCTGCTGAAGTGGCATCCTGGAATCAAAGAATTAATGGAAACATCCAATTTTTCAGTTTTCAGATATCTTGATAATGTGCTACCAGGAACTATTATTTATTAATTACATTAAAAAGAAGAAAAAAAATTTGATCTTCAACTTGAACTGAGTATTAGCATGAAAACCATCAAGGAAATAGCTACAACTTCCCTTGAATCTCATTCTGTGCAGTCAAGGCATCCATCTAAGGTTGAAAATATGGACGCCCCTTTCTCAATCTCCAAAAGTTAGCAGCTCTGCATGTGCTATTAATGACAAAAAAATAGGTTCCACACAGCCCAGCATGTGATCTTGTCAGTTTTGGTTGCAATGTACAGAAAGGAACAGCCTTCCCATTTTACAGGTTCTTTTCATTCGCACTTTGCTAAACACAAACAAATTCTCAGGTCTCGTGAAGTTCGTTTTATCAGGGTTTTACTGTATACTACAAACATCTCTAGAAATCAGGAAAGCAGTTAAAAGAACTCATCTGTGCATAATCATACAGCAAAACCATAATACCGGTATAGACATATGGCAAACTCCATGAAGATGTGAATTCAGCTGGAAAAAAAATTCAAGTAAGATCCGTCTTACAGTCTTTGAGATGTTCCTCCTCAGAAAGTAAAACAGTATTAATTATAGAATCTCATGGGCGATCAAAAAATATTTGAGAGCACCTGCTCTGCGAGGCAAAGGACAGACTCATTTTACTTTATATGACTTTATATAATCTATATACGTTTTTTTGCTAAAAAGGAAGCATTAACAAGTAAAGAGAACCAAAGACTTGACATCTGCCAACAAATACAATCATTAGGCATGACATAAGGCAGGTAAAGCAATACAAGCAAAATGAAAGTTAATCACATAAATCTACTGGACTCTCAGGCTGGTGGCTCAAACAGAAACTTCTTAGCTGAACTTGAAAAGCAAAACTTTTTGGTAGTATTTCGTCATACTTCTACATACTAGAGAACCTGTCCTTACAGCTAATAAATATCACAATTAGCGAGCACTGACTGGATATCACAGGTCTTTAGTTGTCAGTCATGATCAATCAATTGAGATGTTCTTGTCCGAAACAGCTGTTGTAGTCGACAATAATTTAAGTCTGTGCACAGGTAGATGTTACTGGAAGGGAAAAAAATAAAGATTTTCAATTGATTAAAATGAAAGACAGTTTGCAACATGTCGCATGATACATAAATATATACACACGCATACTTATGGCCACATTACAAACAAGGTGGGAGAAACCCACATTAAGAACTGATGTATCATACCTTGCCAACCAAACAAAACAAAGTCCAGTTTGGGGACCAAATACGAATTCTCATCTTCTTCTATAAACTACTTCAGTATATAAGCCACACAATAACCATCGGACTATTTTTGCAGCAAACATGTTTTTAAAAAATATATGAACAGGGCAAAGAGTTTGTCTCATGCCAATGTACCATATCTGATTTCTGTAATGTTTCTTGCTAGTTTAAGTACATTTCATGGAATGTAAACAGATGCGAAGTCATTTTCTTCTTATCACTATATACCTGGATAAGTTCAATATCATCCTCTGAAAAATCTGGTGCTGGAAGGCTGGAATACCTCAGTCGAAGCAAATCTCCCACATCATCAATGATCTGTATGGCCTGTGAAACAAGTAATCGACTTGTTCAAAAATTCACTGCAAACTGCAAGTTTACTCTCTTGTAAGGAATAACACATTATACACCATGTTTCTACACTTGAAAACAATTGAGTATGCTACAAATTCCCCGGTTTACAATTCTTATATGATGGGTTTCTAAAGAGTGAAATCACTTTCCCAGTATATCAAAGTAATAATGTTTTTTATAAGAGAGGCGGACACGGATAAGGATGGTATTCAAGGTATATGTCGACACATGCATATCTCAAAGCAGAAGTTTTTGAAGGACATTTCATTAGTGGGGAGAATCTGCACTTTGTGCTGGTGGGACAGTAAGTTATTTACAAGTCGCTACCCTAGAATTACACAGTTCTATCTGCTCACTACCTAGTTTTGAGAATTTTGACATTAAAATTTTGAGTTTCACAACATGTCAAGCTTTTTTAAATGCAATTCTTTGAATACCTTGACAACGACTCTGAATAATCTTTGAATAATCTTACGATTTTGACGGAGCAGATAGAACATATGGTTTCTGATCTCATGGTCTTAGTTACTTAAAACAGCCAGAAATGTCAGATAGACATTTTCTAAGGTAGTAAAGTATCCAATCCCCAATCCCCCCCCCCCACACACACACACACACACGCGCGGTAGATGATGTGCTAAATAAACATGCTTCTCACTTCGTCCAGCATTTCCTTCGTGTGAGCTGCAGACAAACAGAATCTGGCTCTTGTCTCAATGAGGGGCGTAGCTGGAAAGCCTACCACAACTGTGGCCATGCCGCGACGAAGGGTCTCTCGGCTGAACATACTGAAATATAAATACAGAAATTATAAACACACTAGACCGCTCACAGATAGGAAAACTTCTGCTATAAATTCAAGTTTAGAGTTGAATAAAAAGCAGGCCTGTTCCAGAAAACCCACCATTATTGTCAGGAAAACAAGCAAGACAAAGACAAAAAGGCAGAAGCTGTTTTTGTTTGGTAAAAAAAGTTTAAGGCACTTGCAGTAAGGACATGCAAGTGGTGTCTTGTTATATTTGGCTGAAGCTATGCAAATGGTACAGCAAACATTTTAATAGAATTTTTAGCAATGATAATGAAAAATTCACTTTTTGCTGAAAATGCTTTTAGAAAAGGTTAACCCCTGTATGATGGTCAATGTGGCTTTAGAAGGCATACATTAAGTAAAAGAACTATCAAAATGATGAGGCAATGCTGAAAACTTACGCGACTTTAGAAGGCATATAGAGAAGTAAAGGAACCACCGGGGAGTCTTTGTTGCCATATAGGATGTAGCCCCTTTCATGCAGACGTTTCCGGAAGTAACGCGCATTCCATGCCAGCTGCCTGATCCTTTTCATGCCTGGAACAACAAAAAAACCAAATCTCCATAGCTATGTGTGAAAATTTTGAAGACATGTCTTCAGTACCGAAACTAACAGCTGTGTTGTGTGAGTGTGTGTGTTTAAAAAAGTTTTAGTAAGTGTTTTATGGCACTTGCAACACAATATAGCAATGCCAATCGGGCTTTCCCGCGAGGCGAAAATTTGGTCCCCGTTTACGGGCGATTTTGCGGACCCGGCCGAAGCGTAGGTGACTAACTTTGTCAACCTCGGTCTGCTCTATTTCCGAACCAATCCGAATGAAACTCGGCAACCAATCAGAAAATAGGGCAAACTAATGATATGTGGACGTTGAAGTTTGTACACATAAATTAACCTATACTTTTGGTGTCGGGAACACTTTCGTATCGTGTACACCGAAAACTATAAGGAGTTTGAATTTCAACGCCGAGATGGTAATAGATCTATCTATCCTCTACAGTGTGCTCAAATTTGAACGTTCTGTGTCAAGTAGTTGTTTAGACCCGATCATAAATGCACGACTACCCCTCTATCCAAAGCGGCTTCGCACGAAGACCGGCCATTTTCCCCTCACTCTCGTGGCAAATGTATGTGACCTACAAATCCCCGCATGACTATTTCGGGCCCGTTCATTGGTCACTTGAAATAGGGCAATGGCGGGCGCGCGCATCCGGTTGTTTTTCTCTCTATTCCCCTGTAACATCGCGATGGGGGTATTCCGAGGCAAGGTTATCTTGTCTCGGGGTGTTCGCTTTTCAACGGGGAAAAATAATTTTTAATTGTACGGCATGCTAGATTGAATTAACTTATCTTTTAAGGTTGGCATGGTCTAAAGTCATCATAAAAAGCTTTGCAATTATTTAGTCACGCTGCCGACATATATTCTCAAAGATCCCATGTTGTGATACGATGCTATAAATAAAATGGACTCATCCCGACACCCCTTTTTCGCAAAATCGTAATATGTACACCACAATTTTAATTGTAACAAAATAACTACGAAATTGGTGGTAGTAAATCTGACAGCAGAAATGATTTCTACACTCAAAAACACATCGGGTAGCCAAGTTTCTCTCGAACACTCCGATTAGTTACCGAGATATCTTCGATTTTCTTACAGAATCTGCTTCTGCGTGGTCCACTTTTTTGGAGTATTTTCCTATATGTGGGTCATCCATATTTTGCCGACCTTTACAACCCCATAACTTTTTATTTATGAACCGATTCTCAAAATTCAAGAAGCATAATTCTTAGAATTGAAAATTCTTTCTTAGGTACCAAAAAAAAAGGGGACAAAAGTGAAAATTTAAATTTTCATTGGCATTGCTACACAATAAGGTCGTATAAGTGCCGAAAATTTAGAGCTGTTTACAAGAGAGTAACAAACACAAAAAAGAAGGACAGGAGATAAAGACGATAGACGTTTGATGCGAAAGAAGAAGCAAACCACACCAAGGCACCTGCCAACCATCCACTGCGTGTGCGTGTGTGTGTGTGTGCGTGCATGCGTGTGTGTGTGTTTTAATGCTTTGCTTTCATCTGTGTTGGTACGCAAGAGGGAGAGAGTGTTCCTTGTTCGCTTCAGAAGATTAATTTACAATCAATGATCACCCTCAGCATCTGTGACCACCCACTAACAACGTAGGGTGAGATTCAGGGCCACCAACTACACCAAGAATAAAACAGCAGGTTACTGAAGGTGAAACCAAGGACAGCCACTGCTGCAGTGCAAGCACTCACCTTCCTGCGTGCCATCTTTACCCATGATGGTACTCATAGAGCTGATGATTTGCTGCACAACAGGCGGTGACATGGCAGTCGAATAGATGCAGCTGTGGGCGTTGGCTCTCAGGTGGTTGATCAGACGCTGTGCACAGAGACGAAAACGTTACTTCAACTGTCGGTAAACATTGTACTATAAATTCACACTACAGGATTAAAGCACATGAGCTAACAGGCTATACTTTAGTTTCAGTTTTACTAAGTGTTTTACGGCACTTGTAACACAATAAGTTCATATAAGTGCTTAAGATTAGAGGAGTAACAAACACAAAAAAGAAGGAGGGGAGATACAGATGATAGATGGTTGATAGGAAAGAAGGAGCAAACTACACCAGAGCACCCGCCAACCACCCACAAAGGCTATACTTATCAACAGTACGGCGTCTTTACAGTAGAGAGAAAGCACATTGACACAGTAATGGTCATTTAGAGCATGTGTGAGAGCATTGCACACGAGCAACATACACTTCATGGAACAATGAATCCATCAGTTTGACCAGCTACTACACACACAAAAACTGTTGGCAGGCCTCTTGTGTGGCTTTGTAAAACACTTGGTTCACACTGGGCTAAACATGGAATGCAATAGCAGAAAGAAGGAAAATCCTCAGCTCTCAAAAGTCGACTGGATTCTGTTCCCTTGAGTTCAAACAAACCCAAAGCTAACCTTTTTATCTAACTTTTAACTATCATAACTACACCTGATTCTATTGCATATGATGCGTCTGAAAATTTCAAGCCCCTTTGTCCACATGAAGTGGTGTAAAGGTAATACTCACTCCCTTTCAAGAGAGCAGTTTTTACAATAGGCAAGCCCCACTCTTCCCAAGTTTGGTTTGTTTTTGCAAGCACAACTTCCTAATTAAAGACACTTAAACAAAATAATAGGCCTACTGAGATTGTAAAAACATCATTGAAGTTAAAATATCTTATACAACTGATTTCTAAGTATTCCCTGAAACAAAACCCACATTCTACATTTTCTGGTGAAATCATTACAACATGATTCACTGCACGCTGTCACAAAATGAAGACAGCAAGGAAGGAGTGGGGCGTGGTCGTCTTTAATAGTAACTGACACTGAAACGCATCAGGTGAGACTACACTAAACACTCTGTGACAAACTGTAGGCCTACCAGAAGAACAGAACAGACTAACTTGCACGAGTGCAAATCACTGCAGAAACACATGTTAATAACCAAACAGGTCTATCAGCATGGCCGGTTGCTTATTTTAGGTGAGCTTAGGGAGGCATTCACCAAGCCCACACAAATTTCTTTGGCCGTACCGTCTCTCCAGCACAGTACAAGTACACCACAGAATTTTCTTCGTTATACTCTCAGAGACAATTCCTTTTAACCCCGTCCAGTCGAAACATTCTGATTTCCTGCGAAGAAGACAACTGACCCTGGTTCCACCAATGTATCCTCCGGCCGCTCCAAAACTCTTGGTGAATGTTCCCATCATGATGTCCACATCACGGGGATCAAGGCCAAAGTAGTCGACCACACCCTTTCCATGGGGACCCATTGCCCCGATGCTGTGAGCCTCGTCCAGGTAGATGTAAGCCTTGTACTTTTTCTTCAGCCTGATCACATCTGGCAGACGCACGATGGAACCCTCCATACTGGAAAAAAGGAGTCAAGAGCAAGAACAGTCACAAACCAGTGATGAAGAGCCAGTTTCATAGCAATAGTTATAGTCAATGTTCCAATGTTCCCTGCTCTGCGGACCACCTTTTTCATCCAGTAATCTAAGAGCAGTATTCTGACATACAATGACACAGTTATAGGCCAAACATTGTTGGCAGGGGGAAGTCATACATTGCACAAACACAACAACAACAACAACAACAACAACAACAATCTAAGAGCTAGAGATGGGTGGGAAAAAAGAATGGGCACAGCACATTTTGCACACACTTAAAAACAAAGGGGCGAAAACTATATCCTACCTGTAAACACCCTCCACAACAATCAAAATTTTCTTCCAGGGTCTGTGTGTTCTGGGCTGACCTTCTGTTACAGCATCTCTCAGTTTCTTTTCCAGGTCTCTCATGTCTACAAGAAGGACAGAAAAGATGAACCATAGAAACATAATTTTGCACTGACAACAGAGGCATATTGCAGTGGAAAAAAAACCCTCCAATGCAAGAATAACTTATAAAAAATACTTAAGCCTAGGTGATTGTAGCGCTAAGAAAAAAGTACTCTGCACAAACAGATCGCATCGGGGCAAAATTTCACTAGGGCTAGACTGGACCCTGTCATGACGCAAACCAGAACTGAAAAAGTGTGAACTAGGAAAGCAAGTGTTGATTGGAGAAAGCTGGACACATTTTCCCACAGAAGATGTAAGAAAAGGGATAACTCTGGAAGAAAAAGCAAACAATTTGTCAACCATTACTTGAGCTTTATGGGTATCAACATTTTAAAAAGTAAGAGGCTGGAAAATTCAGTAGGACCACTTTCTGCTTATGTATTACTTCAGGCAAGAGACTTGACTAGGAATAATGTAAACAACAATCGTGGAAGCAGATAAAGTCTTTCCATAAAGCACATCAAAGGATATTTTATGTCCTCACCATTGTGCTTGAACGTGCGAATAAGAGCACCAGTCAGACGAGAGCCCAGGATCAGGGACGCATGATTCAGCTCATCACTGAGGATAAGGCTTCCCTGAGAAGGAAAGAAAGAGCATGAACATTTTCATTGGCAACCCCCCCCCCCCCAAAAAAAAACAACTAAAAACAAGCATATTTCCACACGTTTCAGGCAGAGGGCAAAAAGACTGATAAAAAATTGTTTACCTTAATTTCATATCAATGTGTGTGCGTATGCGAGTATCAGATGAGCAATTTTTTTAAAAAGGAAAGCAACTATCTACCTGACTCAAATCTTGGTTTCATTTGCCAGGGGCAATCCAACATGTTGTTCTATTAGTGGCGAAGAAACATAAAAACAGCCATCCAAAAATTTGATGGTAACTGTAACAGCAATCTGCAGCTATTTCACTATGCTGGGTGTCAAATGTCCTAAATCTCTAAATATGTTCACATGATAAACTTCACATTCATATCACAGCTCAGGATCAATGGATTTTCTAAAAAGAAATCTAAAACGGACAATATTTTGGGATGATCTAGCTAATTCACTAACACCAGCACCCCTGGTCAGGTGAAGTTTTTACAAAACTCTACAAAATAAGCCTGGGAACTGCCACAGACTATAATAAATACAACACAAATACAGCATCAGCTAGTTAAAGAGAATTTTTAGTTGAGCATCCGAACCCAAAAAAGTCTTTAAATTTTCTCTGAGACTACGAAAATTTTGAGTTCTCAAGAGCTCACCTTGCCGACAAGGGAAGGCATGTTCATGGAGTTGGTGGCAAAACCCATGGGCACTGTGATAGCTGCTTCCACCCCTAGGTACTCCGCAGTCAGATCATCCAACTCACGATGAATGTCCATATAACCTGACAGACAGCACAATGATTCTTTATAATAACAACCGAAGCAATAAAAACTTTTGAGTAGTTGTAAAGAGTAAGTTTATTCAGTGTTTAAGGCCACTGGCCCACATCAGATCCGACAAAAAAGAGAATAAATAATGTAATGTTCACTTAGTTTACTTTCAGTAAGAGTTTTACAGCACTTGCAACACAATTAGGTCAAATAAGTGACAAAGATTAGACGTAATAACCCCGAAATAAGGAGAGATAAGAATGACAGATGTCTGATAGGACAGAAGGAGCAAAGTAAACCAAATCATCTGCCAAACGATGTCCATTTACAGAACCTAGCCTGAACCTGTACTAAGGGCACAGGGGGCATTGAATTATTGTATAAGTAAGAGAACTGCGACGAACAGTTGTAAAGAAGTGCTGGCACAAGCAAAATATAACCAACAACTGACACCCATCAATTTAATTCCTGTGGCAGAATAGCCAACAAATGATGGATCTATAAAAAAAATAACTCACAGGAGTTGAAAATTGATACTAAGGTTGCAAACACACTATACATCTGTGTTAACATTTTACTCCACAAAGAGTTTCCTCAACTAAAAAAAACAAAAACAAATCAATTAAACTCTCATAATACTTATAATGACGAGTAGTGGGCCAATAGTCATATTAGTACTTCCTAGCTTTCCAGCTGTGCTCTCACTGCCCAGTGTAGAACAAAGGGGCAGGAAATAGTATTGCCCTGGAGAGTCCATGGTGCATTGTCAGGGGTTTTTTTGTTTGTTTTTTTAACTAAGCGCATTACAAAACCCCTAAATTAAAAAAAGAATAGCATTGTTGTTACCCTTTTATAATAAATAACCCCTGTGAAATGTGAAAATCATGATGAACAAAGAAAGAAAAGGAAATAAAAGGCGACAGGTTTATTTTGAGTGAGTTTGAAGGATAAAACAAGTCTAAGGCCCCGCGTCCACTGCGCTTTTTCGTCACTTGCAGGCCAAGCTCACATTCAAATGAGCTTGTTCTTGTCAGTCACTGACTGCCTTTGCCTGACTACGCGATTTTCCTGCATGCAAGCTTTTTCGTCAGTCGTACAGGGGACTAAGAAAGCCTCGATTCGACTCATTTCAGAAGGAAATTTGCATCTTTAGGTACATTTTTGCTTCTTCATTGTACTTTACCTGATCAATAAAGTTGTATCTCATTATAATATATTGTACAATAGCAGATTTGTGCTGAAAAACAGCAAAATAATGAAATTAAAGCACTTGACCTAGATCTAGATTATTTCGTTCTCGGGAGAGCTAAAAATAGGCCAGGTAAGACCTAGCTAGGGACGTATCTAGATCTAGATCTACGTTCTCTAATGTTTAGAGCTTCCAATTTTCCGCAAATTTTTCGTTTTCTCCAGACCTTATCTGCTGGTCCACTAGACCTAGATCTAGGCCTAGATTCTAGATCTAGATCTACATCTCGATATATTATGTCATTTTGCCTTTCCTGAAACAGTGCTGTAAATATGAAGCTTAATTTACTCTTCTCTGATGAAAGTTCTGATGGCCGAGTGAACAGTACATTGTATGTCTGCGTTTGGAGACAAACATAATTTCGTGACCGTAGGTTTGAATCCCAGTCCAAGCTTTTTTTTTTTCTTCTTCTTCTCATCCTCCCAACTTACCAACAATTTTTCCCATAATCATAATTTGTTGCTTTTTAGTTTTTTAAAGAGGTAAGTAAATAAATAAATTGCCAGTGCTGTCTGTTGCTCTCGTAATCAGAACACACTGGACTAAAAATAGGTTTAGCCGGTCTGATGTCGGTGGACACGGATCTTTTTGAGTTGGCTCTACACCATGAAAAAACTTCGTACATTAGCCAGGCCTGGAAGTGATCTTATTTTGGTGGTCACGTAGACTTAGCCAGATCAACTCAGCACAAGGCTCATTTTCCAAGGAACAAAACCAGACACGTTAGTTGGAGCAGCAGACACTTTATGTTGGGGAATCTAACACTTTTGTGTCCGGCAAGGAAAGTACATGCATGGGTTGTTTCAGGTGGACGCAAGTCCTGTGGCAGGTGCATATATCACAACAATTAGTCACTTTTAAGGACAAGTGGACTAATCCAGATTTCAGGGGTTTCCAGAAATCTTGACCTACACCAAAAGTGGGCATTGCCCTACCTATGGGAGAAGTTTGGTTTCATTGGCGTGTATATTTGTTTGGTTGTAGAGATTTCTAAAAACAGTATTTTTTGGGATAGCCCCCTTGTGCTTAAAAGCGACATTAACAGACTTGGCACTTGCTCTCCCCCTAAAATCTGTCACTTACCCATCTCCTGACGGCTGGCACACACACCCACTCCATATTTCCTTGTTGTTTCTTCCACTTTATCGGCACACGGGCCTGTGTTCTCTGCAAAACCCAGGTAGTTGTACGAACCAAAGTTCATAACATCCAGCTTTTTCCCCGTCAGTCTGTTAAAAACATTGCAGCCTACATTAACGCATGTCCATGGAAGTAACAGAACATAAAATTCTACATCAAGAGGCAAACTGTGTAAAAAAGGAGAAAAATTCTGAACCATATATCTAAGATGTGATCATATCTTGAAATTACCCAAACATAGGAAAGCTCAACTGGTCGAGGTTTGAGATAGACCATTAAATCTGCAGAATCAATAAGTTAAAAAGTGTTCAACATTCCTTCAAACTTTATTTTTCTCTTACTACATCTCTCTCCATGAACTATTGTACAAGGAAAAGGAATAAAAGGATTCAGCCATGACTCAGTTGTCACTCTTTCATTTCAACAAAATCAAGCCAGTGTGATTCCTGAACCCTCCAACAGATTCCAATGAAAACATGGATGGTAGTTTTTCACTATTAAATCCCCCTTTCATACTTGCACACAAGGAAAGACAGAGACATAAAAGGAAAACTTTGTCTACTACCAGAAACCAATGGACAAAGAACAAAAATTCTTCACGAATGAAGACAGAAGGGAACTCACATTTTTTGCATAATATGAGGGGGAAATAACATAAATACATAGATTTGTGGGCGTGGATAAAGACTGGTTAATCACGAAGCAGCTGATAAAAAATGAGTAGCTGGTCAAAATAAGTATCCAATATGGACAATGTTTCAAGAAGAACAGGGCCATGTCATACCTTTTTCAGTTCCTGTCTTCATGAAATAACTTGGCATCATGTTTTTTAAAATATCACAATGGACCCCAAATTTTGAACACTAAATTTATTTAGCCAACACAAATCTTGACAGCTGACCCATTTTCTTTGAAACCCTGACAAATACAAGCTCTCTACTCATCGGCACATATAGGGTAATTGTGCCAAACCCACATATATTCAGAATTGACAGATTCAGAAAAAGAAGAAAGAAAAACTTGCAAAAAGCCATACAAACATGGGGATGCAGGATGCTCTTGGGTAATGAACAGATATGTGATACTGGAAACATATAACGTTACGACTATGAAAAACAAAGCAAAAACAAGGTCAGAAATCAAACCAAAAGGAAACTTTAAAGTTTTTAAATACAAGAGCAAAAACAAACCCAAAACCAAACAGAAGACAGAAAAAGACCCCAAAAGAAACAGTTAATCTCTTTGCTAAACTTTCACAGTGGCACAGAAATAAAAGAATACAAATCAATAACACATTATTTCTCCTTAAGAAATTACACAAGTTTCCACAACTATTTCCTGGCATCATATTGCATGGTAAGGACCTACGATGATACATCTTTTTCCTGTCAAAGGAAGCTAGGTATAGAGTGAATTGCTCTGCTTTTCCGTTAAATACGGCATGAGAGAATTAATGGAAGGGGGGGGGGGGGGGGGGGGGGGCGCATTTGCATTCGTGCTATTTAATTTTTTATCAGAACCTCTTTTCCTAAACTTAAAATAAAATTTGCAAAATCAAGTTAGAAGCAGTAAACAACAAAGAAGATCTAACTAAACAATGCATATACAGTCAACTTTGTGGTTAGAGTAAGATTTCCGGAGAGGGTGGGCAGCACCTACAAATGAGAGTTTCAGAGACTTAAGAGCTACATTTTTCTTTACAAGATCTATTACATTTCAGGGAGCACAAAGCCATTTTTGTTCATACAACTGACAAATACATCCTGTAATAACCTTAACCACCCTGCATATTTTTGGCAACAACATCTCCCCCACCCCCCACCCCTTTAGGAAAATCATAACATCTTTGTACTCTAACTTATCTATACCAAAACCCAACAATCTGTTTGGACATCTTTGTTCAACAAGTCCACTAGACTCTAAATTATTCAACCTATCAGTTGTAACTCTTGGCTCTTGGCATGGTCCCAAGCTTCCTACTAGTATAACAGAAAATGCATAATTGTCCTTTTAAATCTGAAAGAAACCTCTATTCTATATAATATGCACTTTTTTTCTCTATTGAAAAAGTAAAGATAGTGATATTTCCACAGCAATTGAAAGTCTGACCATAGAGAAATGTGCATCATCCTTCCACGTTAGGCAAAGTGTTGACAGTAAACAATTCTATAAAAATTCATCCCTGAAAGACAAAAACAAACTTCAGGTGCTGCCACCCCACCCTCCTACTGATCCAATCTATTTCAAATTGACAAATGTGCCCCTGTGAAGCAAAGTGGTATTATTTTACAACAAGATGGTATAAAATCTGCCTGGTAAAGTACATGGAATGAGTGAGAGACGCTCAAAGCAGGATAAACAGCAAGTACACTGCTGAAGTAGAACATAGTTGGTGACACTGGGTACAGAAAATGTAGCAAACAGAATCACATCTTCATTTCCGTCACTGGATAAGTTACGTGAACAATAAATACACATACATGCACAAAAAATAGAGGGGACGAGGAGGAATAGAGCAGATGCAATTCATGCACATGTATCAGTCACTGAACTTGGGCATTTTCCAAAGCAAAATTAATACCCCCTAGGATAAGAAGAGGGTTCACAATTAGTTCCCAGTGAGACTATGTGCAGATTCCCAAATTATATATGAAGTCATATAGATTTTGACAGCTAGCATCCTTCCAAACAAGTGATTTACTTTTTGTAAACATGGATTTATATTTACATCTTGAAGTGATGTTTCCAGGAAATCAGAAGCAATGTAAAAATATAAGCCAGAAAGAAGTTTGGGACAATAGCAACAAGAAGCCAAAGGCACAACTAAGAACAGTATCTTCTTTTGAAAGGCAATGGCTAGACAATGACACATACAACTTTCACGTTCCAATAAGATGTTTCCAACAAGAGTTGTCACATCAAACCAAGCCTGAGACACAGAAGAGCTATCTCACGAAGTAAAAGAAGTAAGAGGAACATTGATTGTCATAGAAAGCTGGAAACAAGCATTGAAAGAAGAAAAAATTTCCGAGGAACTGGAAGCAGCACAAGTACCCCTCATTCTCTCCAATTATTTTTCTTAAAAAAACCCAGACCTGTCCACAAGCTACATTCTTATTTCTGTTCCGTCTGTCTCATTTCAAATTAGTATTTAAGCGAATGTATCTAAACTGAAGACTGTCAATAAGTTCATGAGGGCAAAGGCAGAAGAGAGATAGGTAGTAGGACAACAGCATTCAAATTATGCTAGATAAACTGAAAATGGTACACAAAAACACAAAATAAATAGTAGAAAAGTGGTGTCTCTTTCTCCCTGACCAATCATTATAAAAGCAAAAAGAGGAATAGAAAACAAAAAGAATCACAGTATCCATCAACTATCCCCACAACATAAAAGGCAAATTTAGAAAACCAGATGGTATCTGAAAATGGACATTAAGTTGTTACTAGTTTCCACAGCAGGCAGATGTAAATTAAAACAACACTGGAAAAAAACAACAAAAGTTAGAGCAGACCAAATGAATAGTTAACAGCCACATGTGCTACTAAAATAGAAAATGAGATTCAAGCGACAACACACGCAAAAGAGCTACAAGTATATCCTATCTTCCCCACCGCCACCCCCCAAACCAGGAGATAGTGTCGTTTTGTGTAAGGCAAAAATCTTTGCACATGTAATATTACGTTGACACACTCATCATTGCTTGCCCAGTGTGGTCTTATCAGAACATGAAGGGAGAACCTAGAGAACATAGGTCATTGTAATATAAGACTACATTCATAGTTTTGAGAAGACACTCTGGATGTTTTAAACAGGCTTCTAAATACACCCGTTTTACTTTTTTTCTTAGCATTTGAAACTTTATTTTTCATTTATTGCAAGAATTCTAAAAGATCTAGATCTATAGCAAATACAGTATTATACAAAAATCTTGTCTCAAACATCAAACTGAGAATTGAATTGTAAAGAAGCTTCAAGTGACATGATCTGTGTTTCACTACTGTTCTATCACACTCTCTGCTCTTGAGAAGGCATAGATTAGATAATGTATCTAAATTAAGTTGCATCTGTCATCCAATAAATGATAAAACGTTTTTCCAAATTTAATTTTTCCCTCACCTCCAAACCTAACTCATCTTACACATGTTTACTTTGAAGTCTTTCCAATTCTTCATACTGACAAGAAAATTCCCATCTTTAGTGTACAGAACAGGATTTGAGTTCCCAACTTTCAAGAATTCAAAATAAGGTCATATTGTATAATACCCATTAAACTGATAGAAAAACAGGTCAAGTATACCACATCAAAGCCACCCTCCCTGTCAACGGCTCACACTTTGGAGGACATTACAGACTAGAAGTTTAACCCTGTGCAATTCTGATTATTTCTACACCATAATATATTTCAGGAACATCTGCATACTGTTTTGAGAGCTATTTCATATATGCATTTAAAAATGTGCATGAACTATGTATTGTAAAATGTTTCATGTACACGATACAAGAGGACGATTCATGACTGGCCCAAATGTAGGCTTGACAGAATCAAAATCTATACTATAGAAAGAAATCATACTCTTGTTGTTTTAAATATAATTGAACATTACAAATTACGGAAGAGGGGATTACTGATTACGTCTTCAGTGTGCTCAACTTCTTTTTCTTAACTTGAACTCCCGTGCAAGAGAAATCATATTACAATTTTTAAATAAACACTCAACAGGACTGTGCAGTATCTCTTGGACCACCATCAGTTTTCCCTCTCTAAATTCTCCCTACTGCCTTGAGAAAAAAAAGTACAGCAGAAACTAAGACAACAGCAACAGTGATCCCAAGAACAAGAAGAACCTGAATTGAACACTGACAAATGTACAGCCCAAGTAATCACCATGAACAGTCAGGAATGTTATCTACCCATCACACACTACACAGTAGAGACAAAGGCCAGGAGAAATGAGAACAGAGGGAACAAGGTTAGCATTGTTAGATATTGTAACAAACCATAGCATTGTTAGATATTGTAACAAATCATGCATTTCTCCTATACAGAATTATACAGATAAAGGAACGCAAAGGTATCAGTTGAAAGCAGAAACAGAAAATAAGGAGATCTCCTACCAAACAGTTTGAAGACCATTCACTAAACCATGAAATACTTTTTTTAGTAAGAGTTTCACTGCAAGTGCAACACAATAAGGTCATATAAGTGCCGAAGATTAGAGGTGTTACAAGAGAGTAACAAACACAAAAAAAGAAGGAAGAGAGATAAGGACGATAGGTGTTTGATGGGAAAGAAGAAGCAAACCACACCAGAAAACCATGAAAATGCAAGGGGAGCACATTACATTGGCCTGTGACTTAAAAGACACCCTCCCAACCCCCATTTGCTTTTGATATGGCATTTTGTAAGATGACAGACGCGTGGCTAGCTATAATATGATGCAACAACCCTTTTACAATATCTGAAGCTAGAAAATATCCAGGTTCAAATTCTGGTGGGAATCACTGCACAACAAAATGTGACGAAATAAGGGGGGAGGTGATAACACAAACAGAAACACCTACTAAAAACACTTAACTAAGACGTTCTCAAATTGATGGGTAGCAAAACAAGGCAGAGCATGAGGACATTTATACTGTCTAGAGCAGAAAAAGGGATCTATTCAATTGGCTTTGAGCAGCTCACAATAGACCGCACAGTGTACAGTACTACTCACCATAGACAGTGCAAATATGTAAAACATCATTGTCCGAGTCATTAAGTAAAGTGGGAATAAAACAGCTTAAATGACTTATTGGACCTGAAGTACCTTAGAACAAATTATGTTTTTGTGCTTGACTTAGTGGTTCCTCTACAGTCAGAAGGGCTTTCTGCCATGCTGAGAACCATATTCAAGATACTGGGCCCTTTAATCACTTCAATCTATATCAATCTTTAAAAAAACAACCAGTCTCTGGGTAATCCATCCCTTTTGAGACACAGATTTGAACAGAGACTTGCACCTCGTTAACAGTGCTTATCTTGTTCTGTAAGGCACTGATGGCACACAGTTCCTGTCTACCTATTTCTTGAAGGAACAAAAAGAGGTAGCAATTTCCCAACGTTAAATTATTCCTGCCCTTATTCCTCTAGCATCTAATCTGAGTGATCACATAGCAGCTTTCAAAACTAAACCTGCTCCTAGAGCTATCAAAAAATAGCGATTTCTCCTTTCAAAAGCAAGCCAACTGAAAGGATAGGGAATGGCTAAAGATGCAAAGGGGAAAGAAATATCAAGGTAACCGAACAGGTAACACCTGGGTCGAAAACTAAAAGGTGTGATTACAGGGAAGATTATTTCAAGAAGGCATGGGGGATACAGCGCAAAGACAGATAAAGGAACAGTTCAGAAGATGTAATTTACACACGAGGGAACACTTCAATGGGACTCACAAACAGTACATGTACAAAAACAACTTGAAAAGTCTAGTGAGCAAACATCCATTCCTATTTTGTGGTGAAAAATAACCCAAAATAAGAAAATGCTTAAAACATTTGAAATCCAAGTAAGTGACAACCTCTCAACTGAATACACAGAATAAAAGTCAATTCAAGGCAAAAAAAATGTTAGTATGCCAGAAGGCTTTGCGATGCTTTAGCATTATTAGCAAGCAAATGAGTTTAAAACCTCTATGCCGAGACATTCAAAAATTCATATGAACAAAAATTAGATTTAAAATTAAACATGATTTAGTTGAGTGGAAATTCACACCAAAACCAAATTGAAATAATTCTTTGAGAAAAAAAAACCCCTTCCATTAGTATGATTTCAAATCCGGACGCCTAAAAAAAAACCTCAGTGGCCGTGAGATGTTTAAAAAAAAACTGCAACAGAAACAACTTTATGAATGTTCAATATAGAATTTCAAAATGAAACCTGTGTGGGTATTCTCTTCTATATATAAAGGATTTTTTAAATACTAGACTCATGAACAATGGGCTTCGGTGCTACAGAACAGGAGAGAGAGATAATAACCAGTGTGGTTGAATACTGAGCTGTTCATAAATAAAATCTGCAAGTAAACTGAATGAAAGCAAAATGAGTAGATGCCATTGTCCCCTAAATGTGCTTATAAAACCATACAAAAGGAAAAAAAGCCCCAATACGTGAGAAAGATTAAAATTAAAACACCCCCCCTCCCCCCCTAAACATAAACAGACCTAAAACCACAAATTCAAAACCCAATATCAATGTGTATAACTTAGCTGAAGCCAGTGCTGGTTAGTATCTCCATGATATGGAAAAATTTGGAATCCAGAACAAATGTAGAAAATCATTTCAGATTTAAAAATACATTACACTCCATTTTTGCAGGAACCCTTTCTACTTATAATGATCCATCAATGCCATTTGGAGTTGGCTTTCTGGTTTGTTCTAGTTTCATAACTTGCCAAAGAAGGTATAGAACCATAACTGCCATATAACAAAATCGTGTTTGAAAACTAGAATTAAAGAAACAAGTCAATAAACATTAATAGTGCTATTAGTATGCACTCCCACATCCATCTACTTTCTGAATAAAAGTAAGGAAAAAGCGCTGAAGCATAAGAAAGCTTTCCACTGCACGTTTTGCAAAGAAGTTGGGTGGTGATTGGTTCCTGTCTGTGAGTGAAACACTAAATCAAAAACTGAACTGAAATGTGAACTCCAAATTATTACTTTAAAAAAGACTGACCCGGGGAAGGGGGCTCAGCAATCAACAAAATTTTGTTGCATTTAATAACAAAAACACACCAAACAACGTGCATTAAAAAAAATTAGTAATGGAAGTAAAAGTAAAAACATTCACAAATTACTTATCGGTGGCCTGTCAAGACAAAGAAACATCGGCTGTTTCGCTAGATATTTTCTGAAACTTTCTCCATGTTGCTGCTGACAACATTGGGACTTGAATAATTTCACTCTCAATCCCACTACACACACTTTTTAGGAACAATTTTTTGAATTTATCATGCATTTAAATTCCTATTCCAAAACTGTCAACCATGAATAACAAAGGTCAGAGGTGTTCAAATGTGAAAAATTACTCCACCTCTGACAACATTCCTCCCATAACTTGAAAACTGAGATAAAACTCATTCAGAGGCCCTAACTCTGACAAAGTTTTGGCAAGTGAATGAGAAAAACGTTTACAAACTTTGCCAGTTGATTTTGCGAGGTTGACAAAGCACGCTCTGCTGAGCAAAGTACAGAAAAACATAATGAAAAGTAACTAGTGGTGAGGCACTCTGTCAAGAAAACCTTGGGGAGAAAAGCGCAGCAACACAGCCATACATACTGAAAATTCCATCCGTAATCAGGAGAGATTCTCTCCATGACATCAATGCGCCCGCCAGCGCAACTGGAGATAGGTCTGTTCCAGCAGTCACGCGCACGTCTATATAAGTTTCTGGTGTAAAAGCTCTCCCAACTCAAGAAGAGCGGCACAAAGCCCTGTTGTTGGAAGTGGGGAAAGATTGAGAACAAGAAGCAAAAAGAATGGATTGAGAATACAGGCTGAGCTGGTAGATAAAGTCTTCTCCCTTCTTCTCCTGCTGCTATCTATGGAGGATATCAGTCTACTCGGATTGCGTACAGATTCCTCTCTTCCATTCTCCCCAGCAGGAGAGGGGCAAAGAGAGACTCACAGCAATAAAACTTGCTGTTGAATCAACGAAATTGCCCAACGCGACCACATCATACCAGTGTTATCAAAAAAGAGGGTCACTGCAAAACCAATGACAAGCTGTTGGTGTCAACCTATAGCTAAACACCCTGCGGAAAAAAAAAAGTGATGAGGAAGGCTGCAAAACAACAGATTAGGTGTTCTGAGGTAGTCATTAAGAAAGCCTGAAAGAAACCAGAAACGGAAATCATTAGAAACAACATATGACTGAATACAACAGAAATGCAAATGAAAGGGATACAACAAACTTCATGACAAATACTTCATTCCAAATGCTACCTACACTCATGCCCTTGTGACAAAAAGCTATTAAACAAACTGGCTGCCCAGGGGGAAAAAAGATATATTTTTTAAAAACGGACCAAGCGAACAAAAAATCAACAAAATTACTATAATGGTAGGTTTGAGGATTAGCTTCACCGATATAACGAAAAAACGTTTTCTGGCTTTGAAAAAAAAAATCAAATCAACAAAAAGAGATGGACATTTTCAAAGGACTTATTCGGAGCATCACATTGCAACTCTTATTAAACATATTTGTTTTAACATTCTCCAGATACAGATTTCAAAGCACTGAAGGAGTGCAAGGAAGAGCATCAGGGAGGCATGGAAAAAACAAGCTGCAAGATGAGCAAGCCTCATGCCGGAAATCAAATATCAGCCCCTTGCCATATATGCCCAAAGCACGCACACGCACACACACACACGAGCGCACGCCACATTTCTGTACAATGTGAGATACAGTTGACAAAAAAAAAAAAAAATCACTACGCACCACAACAAGTAGACGGAAAGCATTCCCCAGAGTTGAGAGCCAACAGAAACAATAAGGGACATTTAGATACCAGGTTTGACATGCAGTTAATGAATAACGCAGTTAACACTGTTACATCAACCGGCCAACCAGCACAAACAAGATGACAATGATGATGCTAGCTAGCCCGAACAAACAATGCCAAATGCTTCCACGATGCCACAGCAAACATAAATGCAAAGACACATTACAGAAACAAATGCAAGCCTGTCCTGTAGGTTGTTGAACTCAGACGGAATGGG